ATTTGAAGGTTGTGTTATGGCGCGCAATATAACCCTTCACTTGAGCCCAGATGAGCTCTATTGGGTTCAGTTCACAGTGGTAGGGCGGTAACCGCAGCACAGTGACACCACATCAGTCACGTAACTAATGTTCGCAGGTTTGTGCTGTTTAATTTTTTCATACAATTCCGCTTTCACACATGAATCGTCAAACGGGATTCCTTTTTCGCGCAACCATTGCTGCATGTCACTTTTTCGAGATCCCATAGTCGGTACACGTTCGGCTCGACGTCTATGGTAGGAAGCATTATCCATGACGATCACAGAGTTGGGCTCAACTCGCTGAAGCACCCCTTGAAACCAGCTCTCGAAGCAGCTGGCATTCAGTTCATCATGGTAATCACCTCCTTTCCTAGAGACGAAAATCAAGTCACTCTCTTCTAAAAAGCCACTATCGCTACCAATATGAGTTACGATCAATCTTTGACCTTTCCCTGACGGTCCACGAAGACCTGTTGATAAACCTTCAATGCTTGCTTGTCGGTTACTCACTACGTTTTTGTCTATCCAGGTTTTTTTTATCTGTGTGACCCGCATTTACCCGTGTCTCGTCCAAATAATAGATTTTTCTGTTTTGTCGCCTATATTCAATCATTTCGCGTAGGTACTTTCGACGCCAGGCGACTATTTCAGGTCTCTCTATCAATACTGACTTCCGATAGCGCGTTTCGTAACGAAAATGAATTTCGTGCAGGGATTTCCTCATTACCTCGACGCTCATTTGGGGTATAATTTAATTTTCCTTGATCGCTGCATGTACAGCCTTGAAGGTTGGTATCCCATTCCTAAAGAAGAATGAATGTACGGTTCGCCTTAACGCCATTTTGCTATCGTCATCCAATTTAAGGGCCTTTCGTCCCTTCAAATTAAACTTTGGATCAGTAGTAGCTCCAGTTTTCTTCTTTTCATGCACCACCCTGCGAATGGTCCACTCTGGAACGCCTGTCATACTTTCACAACACGCGAGTGCATCTCCCTGCGACATAGTTCTGTTCAGATAATTGAACACGTTGCGCACGATTTCTTTCGCGTCCCTCTTCAGTGCTTTACGAAGCCGACTATTTGTTCTCTGGCTTTCAGTACTTCCACTCGTGCCATTTGTACTCTCCATGGTTAAGTATAACCAAAACAGTAACCACAGAAACCACAACAATAACAATCACACAACAATTCTTATAAAAACACACAATATGCGATCGCTCAACGAAACACGTTCCAATGCGTTGCCGACGCCTATGAGTCTGCCGGTCGAGGCGCGTCTTTGATTTCATTGCTTCTACCGGCGGAGAACAATCAGCCATTATTTCCATCTCTGGCTGTGCTGTTGACCACCGCAAAGCTACAGAAACGACATATGTCGTACGCTATACGGCTGTACTGGAAGGAAGCCGGGATCGAGCTCTGATCACGTGTTGATCACGCGTATGAGTCATTACAGTTTTAAATAGTTGTAATATAGTTTTAATAAACTTGGTAAACTGACTAGTGTACAAGGTGAAAAGCAATGGTCCCAACACAGAACCTTGCGGCATACCCAATTTGATTGTCATGGATGCAGATTTTCGAAAACCAAGCTTGACTGTTTGACTACGATTTTACAAGTACGATTTGAAAAGCTGCAAAGGCTCAATCATAGATAGATGCCAATAGAATGATTGTAACATTTAATATGTCATCCCACGCTTTTCACTCTGCATTGAATCATTCACTTAATAACATATACCTCATAATAATTTTATTTTGATGTCATTATGTAATTATGATTGATTGTTCGACTATCTACTACTACTCATATAATATGAACTCTTTATAGTTAGAAATTATTTTCTGCTTTTTAGTTCGGAGCTATAAAAGCGAGTTTTTTGTTTTTTTAACTATTATTTGTTTTTCATTTTTTAGTTCGATTTATTAATAATCATTTTTTGCATATATCTATTCGATAAAAAAATTTCATGGATTAAAATTTGTTTTTTTTTAAACTTTGCGTTGCGGTATAAAAAACAATACAGGTACCGATTCAAATCGCCTGTCAGTTGAACCGTTGAGTGGCACTTGAGTTTTTCCAAGAATGATTTGAAAAGCTGCAAAGGCTCAATCATAACTCCCCTTTCATAGATAGTTGCCAATAGAATGATTGTAACATTTAATATGTCAAGCATACCACGCTTTTCACTCTTGATTGAATTACTCACTTAATAACATATACCTCATAATAATTTTATTCTGATGTCATTAATTATGATTGATTGTTCGACTATCTACTACTACTCATATAATATGAACTCTTTATAGTTAGAAATTATTTTCTGCTTTTTAGTTCGGAGCTATAAAAGCGTGTTTTTTGTTTTTTTAACTATTATTTGTTTTTCATTTTTTAGTTCGATTTATTGATAATTAGTTTTTTGCATATATCTATTCGATAAAAAAATTTCTGGATTAAAATTTGTTTTTTTTAAACTTTGCGTTGCGGTATAAAAAACAATACAGGTACCGATTCAAATCGCCTGTCAGTTGAATCGTTGAGTGGCACGAGTCGACAGGAACGTAATAAGCGAACCTCTTCGAACGGCATGGGTACCACGCATCTTGAAAAGTGACATTATGCCAATTTTTTTTGACATTATGCTGTTTTTTTTTTGACATTACGTAGGTTATTTTACAAGATGTTAGCACTTAGTTGTACGTGGTGCCTAAACGTCATAAGGCTTGTTATCCATCTTTGGCTCTGATGTGATGTAAAATCTGCTCCTGAGATCGCATTACTGGAGGTCTAAGCTGTAAGTCGTATGTGCTGAAAAATGAGAGAGATAAGAAATAATTATATTCACTGTACACTGTCGAATTACAAGCTATATACGAGCCCCTTCCCACTTCAGTTGGCCCAACTATTTAAATCTTAGTTTTTTTCTTATCAAACACAAATAATAAAAATGTAGCAGGGTGTTATAGGTTTAAAATATTAACAATGAATATTTTGATAATGTAGAGTAGAAAACACCAACTTTATCACTCCCTAATCAAATTTGCAGCATAGAAATGTTGCACACATGTTGCAATTACAGCATATCAACCTATTTTCATTTCAATGCAAAATAAGTCTATAACGCATAGGTGGCTGTGAAAAATAAAAGCCGTGACAATTGTTTTTATTAATCACAGCTGTCAGAATACGTTTAAAATAGTTTTGGGTAGTTAAGGTTTTCAAAATGGTAGAGGAAAGGTTATTAGTGGGAAAAAGTAATATCACAAATGCCGACCGAAGAGCATTAAGAAAAATAATCGTGAAAAACAGGCGTGCCAATTATTTACAATTAAGTGCTCTGTGGAGTGACGCTGTTGGAAGGAGAATTTCGAGGTCTACATCCAATAGAGAGGCCCACAAACTGGGATTTAGCACTTGTAAGGTAAGTTTTCTTATAAAAAAAAGTGAAGTAAAAACCCTAAAATTGCACAACTTGTTTATAGGCCAAAGAAAAGCCACTATTAACTCCACTGCAAAAGAAAAATCAGCTTAGATGGGCCAAAGAACATAGACAATGAACACCTCAACAATGGTGTGCAATACAATGGAGTGATGAGGCCCGATTCGAGGTTTGTGTTGGTGACAACCGCAGTAAAGTTATTAGCAAAAAAAATGAAGCATTCCATGTTGACTGTCTGAAGAGAAAAGTGAAATTTCCAGCATCCATTATGGTCTGGGGCAGTATGTCATCAAAAGGAGTAGGAAAACTTCATTTTATTGATGGAAATGTGTATACAAACAAATATTTGGCAATTTTAGAAGAATCGCTTTTACCAGTGATGGAAGAATGTTTGACATCCGACCAAGATTTTGTGTTTCAGCAAGATGGTGCAGCGTGCCAAACCTCAAAAAAGGCTCTAAAATGGATGGAAGAAATTAATGTACCACTTTTGAAATGGGTTTCTATCAGTCCAGATCTGTCACCTATTGAATCTTTGTGGCACGAGATGAAAAGGGTTCTACGACAACATCCTGCTCGCAGAATCACCGAACACCAAATTTTTGCCAAAACTTGGTTAACACTATGCCTCAAATACTTTTAGCCGTAATAAAAAATAAAGGTGATGTTACCCAATGGTAATCTTTCAATTGTTGCTTTGTTAACTTCGCGCATTCATTCGCACATTGTTTATTTGTTCAGATGTTCTATTAGTTATAGGTCTAAGTGATTTCAAATATGTATTTTTTACGACTAGAGTGTATCTAAAATGTTTTTGAGAAAATAAATTGTTTTAGAATTAAATAGTTTCATCATGTTTAGTCTATAAAGGCATATTTTGGAACAAATCTTGAAGTGGGCCAACTGAAGTGGGAAGGGGCTCGTACATGTTAACAGTAATTACACACAACGCGGGCGCGGTGATGATTTCCCGTAATTCTCCTCAGTTTTTCGTAATGTATAACTTTCAACATAACCTCTCTTCAGAAAGCGCAACATATAAATAACTCGTCATATTCGGCATGTTCAGTAATGATTTTCTCACACAGCAAATATCACAGATGCAGGCCAATACTCATAATCAGATGCGATCTTGCTATTCAACCAACTTTCTTCTCAGAGATAAAAACTGCAGACAAGGACCATTTGGCTTCACAAAACATATGCAACCAATAATGCGTGTCGTTTAGTTGACCGATTCCTCCTTAGATGGACGTCCACAACGATCCTGGTGAGCAAACGTGGAATGACTGTTTGCGCCCTAAAAGCTACCTAGTTTGCAAGATGACATCTTATAGGTTTTTTTTACGTTTTATAGGTTTTTTACATGATAGCTGTACTGGTCCGACAATTCAACGGATCCAGACTAACAAGGATAACTCTACATTTTGGCGTATCAATTGTAGACCACTTTATGTATCGATAGAAATAAATAGTAAAAAACAATGATAGTGTATGATATATTCAATTTTATAATTTTTGTTAATGCTTGGCAAAACCAGTATGGCTTCATCGAAGTCTTTCATAAAGGCCAACAGCCAAAGCGAGATTTCAACAAGCAGCAAAAAGCTGGACCGTCTAAACTCACTAAGAGGTTCTGTTCTCAGCGAGCCTCTCATTGAGGACACTTTCGGACCTCTTAGCAACGTTAGGTAAGATACGTGGTTGATTGTTGGTTATTCTGCACGTTGCACAGGCCTATCTATGAAGTTGCATGTCTTCAAATAGTTTCTTACCACCTACCTTTTGTATTCATTGCACATTTTCTTTTGTTGAAGCACGCTGTAGATAGAATGTTTTCCGCTTTCCACGCAAATATACAGGGTTATCCAAATTAAGTGTCCACCATTAGTAACTTTGTTATTAGTGAAAATACAAAGTTGTTTGAATTAGCAAACTAGTAGCATTTTTAACGCTGGTAAAAATGAGAAATAAAAAAAAAACAATTGAGAGTCGTTATTTTGATTTTTTTCAGTAAAATAACATTTTTTTAAATGGAAACTCCTGTATATTATATTTTTTTCTGTTAAAGCATCAAATTTTAAACAAAAAAGCTTACAATAACTTTTCTCCTAGGTTACAAATTGTTGAAGTTATGGCCTCCAATCTGAAACAATTAAATTGTATCCACAAACTTTATTTTCAACATCAACTTATAATCTTACAAAATACAATCACATTTTTTTTTAAAGAAGATGCTCGAAAACACCACCTTGTTCTTCAATACATTTTTGGGCACGTTTTTCAACTGCTCGAACTGTCTTAAGTATGGTCCTACCATCTATCTGGATTATCTTTTCCCTAACTGCAGTCTTTAACGCGTCAAGGTTATCGTACCTTCGCTTGTAAATTTGGTTCTTTAAGTAACCCCACAAGAAGTAATCAAGTGGGTTTAGATCTGGTGATCTGGGAGGCCACTGTATTGGGCCATTTGTTCCTATCCACTGATCGTTAAAAGTAGTACTTAGAAAATGATAAGTACCTCTGGAGTTGTGGGCAGGTGCGCCATATTGCTGAAAATGCAGATGATGTCTACTTATAAGATCCAATTCGTCTAAGACATTAGTCAGAATTTCTGACATAAATTCCACATATCTTTCACCAGTTAGGGTTCCCTCATAAAAGAACGGGCCAACAATTTTTGAACCAATTATACCGCACCAAACGTTGAAACTGAAACGGACTTGTGGGCCTCTTGGATGTACTAACAAAAGATTTTCTCTTGACCAATAATGGTGGTTTTTTCTATTAAACATTCCAGAATTTGAAAAATTTGATTCATCTGTCCATAAAAGGTAACGAAAGTTATTTACATTTTGGCGACAGAAGCTAAGATACCAATGGCAAAAAACAAGTCTTCTCTCTGGATCCCCTGCCAAAAGCGTTTGAACTGGTCGGTACTTATACGGAATAAATTTGTATTTTTTTAAAATCCTTTGAACAGTACCATAACTGAAATTAGAGTCCTTGAGAATATCTGCTATTGAATTCTCACGATAAGCTTCAAAATATCCAATAACTGCAATTTCCGTGGCCTCGCTTATTATGAATTCTTTTTTTGCCCTTGTTTTAGCAAAAACATTTTCGTTGCCCCTAAATTTTCGATAAAGTCTCAGAAAATATCGTTCATACGGTTGAATGCGAGCGGGATATAATTCACTGTAGTATTCTCTTGCTCTCAAGGAGGATTTTCTGCACACTAAATAGCATTCTAACATATCACACTTTTCTTCATGGGAGAACATTTTTCTTTAAATTAATGACACAATAAAGCTTATAAACAAGTATTTACACTAATGTTTGACATTATTTGATTTTATCATTGTTTTCCAAAGCCTTCTAGTTGCGAGTGTGTCCAGTTTAACAATTTGTCGCTTATCTTAATGCTGTCAAATCGCGAACGCCATGTTGTTTTCATAGCCGTCTTAATATTATAATACTGCAAATAATTAAAAATATTTATCGTTATTTTGACTTTATTTTTGACTTTAGCGGAAAAGTCATTATGAACTTTTTTGTTTAAAATTTGATGCTTTAACAGAAAAAATATAATATACAGGGGTTTCCATTTAAAAAAATGTTATTTTACTGAAAAAAATCAAAATAACGACTCTCAATTGTTTTTTTTATTTCTCATTTTTACCAGCGTTAAAAATGCTACTAGTTTGCTAATTCAAACAACTTTGTATTTTCACTAATAACAAAGTTACTAATGGTGGACACTTAATTTGGATAACCCTGTATAGCTATGATAAATTACTTACAAAATAAAACAGTACCAAAGTTTTTGCACTTGTAAATATACTCATGTATATAAAAGAAAAAGTTAATACTTGTATGAGCATTGGTTTGGTATTGCTTCGTTTTCCAGATACATGATCTGAGACCTTTTCAAAATTCGTTTGTCTGGAAAAATGCTGATGATCCTTCAATGATTTTGTTAAATTTTCTTCTATTTACAGACGCATCAACTGAAATTTAACTGCAATCATTTCAGATAAAAAAGGCTGCTATGACCATCTAAACTAGGCTGTATGACTGTTTATTTTATTACTCTAAAGTACGATACATCTATACAAAGTTTCACATAACATACGAAAAGTCGAGCTTAAAAAAGTTTGACTCGCTGTATTTTTTCAAAAACAGCATTACCTTACTTACGTTATGAGCTTTTCTTCTTATTCATCCATACTCTGAAGTCAGAACTTTAACAACATGTCAGCTGTTTGTAACTATGTATACAAGCTCGCAAATTTTAGTAGTAGACAAACATGATAAATTAGATAAAAGTTTAGGATATTTTACGTTCTCCACTATAAAGCTTGCAATTATTTTTTTTGCATTTGATTGCTGTCCGTAAGAAAAGCTCTTTCCATTGCTCTCTATCATGTCTTCAGTTTTGAAAATTCTCTTCCTGTATATCATTATAAATAATACGCATGCTCATAAATTCACTTTGCCAAATATTTAGGCTTCCGACAGAACAATTGAAAATAGTTTTCCGGGAAGTGCTATACAAAAATTTCCACATTTCTCATTTGAAACATTTCATCATCAATTCACCTATTAGCGTCCAAGACAAAGCTGACAGAACTTCGTTTTCAGTACAAACTTTTTAGTTTGGTTTAATGGCGAGTGGGCGACATCTACTATACCGCCCGAATCGTCAGCCCGCAGCGGTCTCAGTGGTGACTGGGCTATCCACAAACTGAGACCTTTACAGTATGTTGTCTTATCTAGAGTAGGTAACTGTTTCTGGTATGGTGGTTGATGGTCGAATGTTCATGCACAAGCTTCTCATATGGAAAACTTTGTTAAGGAACTATTTCAATGGTATCCACATAAATTGAAACCTGACTATAGGGGCATTTCATGTGAATCGGGCAGCGGAAAAAAAGTGAGCTTTAATATGCATCATGTTGGGCCTGCCTCTACATCTAGAAGGTGTGAAACAGAAAAGACGATTTTTTTTGTGCCACGTTCATTTGCTAAGTTATGGGCTTCGAAAGAGAAGCCGCATTTGAAATTGGGATGTTTTCGAAGAAATTTTTCGAATCCAAAAGTATTATATTGGAATATAATACATACAAAGTCTTATACAGGGTGTTTCAGTTTATTGTTGCATAACTTTAAGATTCGATAGAACTTTTAAAATTAATGCATAAAGTCTATATAAACATGGGTCGAAAAATGAGTGGCTTCCGAAATAGAGGCTGTTTAAGTTTACTTTCTAAAGTAGTTTTTTTTAAATATTTCGAACAATATTTGATGTATAACTGTGAAAATTGGTATACAAGGGTTTTTTGGTACGACAAAACGAACCATGGGCAATTTTTTGCTTTTTGAATAAAAAAACTGATTCTTCGCACTTTTCAACATAAAAAAGCTCTCTTGTGAATTTTCGTTATAGTTAACCGTTTTTTGAAATATTTCGATTTTTAAGGTTCGATGCATTTTTAATTATTTATGATAAAATAACGTTAAAAAGTCAGTATCTCGATAATTTTTAGAAGTAGGCTGCGCCTGCAAATATTTTTGAAATTGAAAGCAGAATAAGGTTAAACGTCAATTAGTTGACAGTTAGTTTTGTTGTCTGGTGAAACCTGAAACGTTTTTTTGCAATTGTGAATGCACGAAATTTAGTTTCTTTTACCTGTTTTTTTTTGTAAGTTTTATAAAAATGCCAGTTTTATTTTCTAATCAAGAGTTAGCGGATATTCATTTTGTGTATGCCTTTGTAAATGGAAACGCAGCAGAAGCAGCCAGAGAATACGCACGAGGATTTCCAAACAGACGACATCCAACTCGCTCAGTATTTGTAAGAGTGCATCGCCACATAATTGAAAATGGTTTTGGAAATCTCCAAAGGGATCAAAACATAAATGTTCGTCAGCACAGATTTACCCGTATGATTCTGCGTGAGTTTGATAGAGATCCGACCACAAGTGTTAGGAGAGTTTCTGGTGCCTTGGGAATTTCAGCAAGCCATGTTCACTGTATTCTTAGAAATGACCAAAGACGTCCTTAGCATTTGCAACCTGTGCATGGACTACAGCCAGGGGACGGAGAACGAAGAATCACATTTTATGAGTGGATTCTTGATAGAACTGATCATAATAGGGAGTTTTTAAGTAACATTCTATGGACCGATGAGTCATGCTTCACCAGACGTGGTGTGGTAAATTTTCATAATCAACATATTTGGTCGCATGAAAATCCGCATGCAGTTCGGGAAAGAAATTTTCAGCATGAATTTAGTGTGAACGGGTGGATTGGTATCTAACATACCGTAAGCGACTATTTGGACCCTACCTTTTGCCTGCAAGGTTAAATGCTGCGACCTTCTTGGAATCTTTAAAGGCTGGACATGCAAATATGTGTGTTAGATTTAAGAAGATTGGCCTGGTTCCAGCTTGATGGTTGTCCAGCTCATTATTCGAGAATAGTTAGATACTGGCTGGATGAAAATTATCCAGAAAGATGGATCGGCCGTAGAGGACCAGTCGCCTGGCCTCCACGATCCCCTGACCTAAATCCATTAGATTTATTTGTGTGGGGATTTCTAAAAGAAAAAGTGTACCAGACTCCCGTAACCACAAGAGATATGCTAATAGACAGAATCAGGGATGTATGTGATGAAACAAGACATTTGAATAATCCTATACCACGTCGATCATTCGTAGATGTGAATTGTGTATTGAACAATTGGGTTTACATTTCGAGCAACTACTTTAGATTTTGTATGTTTGTCCTAACTATCCAATAGCATTTTAGTTGTAAATAATTAATTTAATTTGTTAAAAATAATATTGGAAAATTAAACAAATTAATATTCTGTTTTTTTGTGTTTATTTGGAGTTAGGAATTATTGCTGTGTTTAAAAACACAATCTAAACGATCATCTTAATTACTTGTAATGCCCAAATCGAAAATGTAAAAAAAATATTATTTTCCCATAAATAATTAAAAATGCATCGAACCTTAAAAATCGAAATATCTCAAAAACGACTAACTATAACGAAAACTCACCGGAGAGCTTTATTATGCAGAAAAGTGCGAGGAATAAGTTTTTTTATTCAAAAAGCAAAAAATTGCACTAAGAAAAATTTTTCGGTCATTTTAATACACTACAGGTACAGTAGAGAGCGCCCTCTAGCGGCTACAGTAAAACTATGCCCATGGTTCGTTTTGTCGTACCAAAAAACCGTTGTATACCAATTTTCACTGTTATACATCAAATATTGTTCGAAATATTTAAAAAAAAACTATTTTAAAAAGTAAATTTAAACACCCTGTATTTCGGAAGCCACGCATTTTTCGACCCATGTTTATATAGACTTTATGCATTGATTTTAAAAGTTCTACCGAATCTTAAAGTTATGCAACAATAAACTGAAACACCCTGTATAGGAAATTTTCTGTACTTTTTGAATTTAAAAATAAACTTGTAGCGCTAAACCGGAAATATTTTAAACCAAAATTTGGACAACTTCGCATTTTTCTTTTTCGATTTTTTTACTTCAAAGTATAACCTAAAGTGTGCTTGAAATATATAAAAAAAATGTTATGCGCATTAATTAAGGAGTTACGTATTTTTATGTGCGTACATTTCACCTTGGGTATGACATTAGGCGCTTGTTTAAATCGACTGGTTCGCGAGATGTCGCATTAATATCAGCATTTTTCAGCTTATATAGTCATTTTAAATATATTGTAACATAGAATCAAAGTTTTTATACGTTTTTATCAAACATTGAACACGGAAGTAAACACTCAAACCATAATTTGGGTAAATTCTACCATTGTCTCCTATTTTTTTTTATTGCAAATTATAGCCTTAGGTGTGTGTGTGTTAGTACAGTATAAGACTTCAAATGGGTAGCGCGTTCACAAAGGAGAGATATTTTTATGTACATACATGTCACACTGCGTATGACGTTAGGCGCTTGTTTCTCGACTAGTCTTCAGAATCAGCATATTTAGTAAGACTACATTAATTTTAAAACGAGTATTTTATTTCATAACCTGTAAAATTTTACTTGGCTCATTGATACTAGGCCTTCTGTCGTAGACATGAATGCTTGGAATTGCTTGGCATCTGGGATTGTTAAAACTTGATTAGGTCGGGGTTCCAGGAAAATTCTTTCATGCAGTATGTCTTCCTTCGAGCAGTAAAAAATCGTTGTTTGTTACAAACATGATTTTCACCATTGGTATAGTTGCCAAAGCAAACCATCAGCCGTTGTAGGCAGCTGGGAGCCAATACACGTCGCCTATCATTTAAGATTACCTCCCAGACATGCAACACACGAAATTCAAGCCTCTCTTAGGAATTCCGGGGTAGTAAAATCAGCTGTCATAAGAAGAGCACGTGTGTGCATTAGAAATAGAGGGCGCCATATTGAAAATATATTATAAAATTATTTTCTACGAAAAATTTGTATGCGACTTTTTCTATTGAGATGAACGTAGATTTTTTTTAACAAAAATCGAACTATTTTGAAGCTTACTGTATGAGATAACGTCAATAATGTGCATTTGAGTATCAATTTTCGTATTTTAGAATAATCATATTGTAAAACCAAAAAAAATCAAATGAAACAACCAATTTTCAAGTTTTATGACTTGGTTAACGTATAAAGGACGTTAATCTTATAAAATCTTAAAAATTAGTATAATTCGAAAACGGCTAATTTTCGGACAGTAGTTCCTATAGTAAAATCGACTCAGATTGGCTTGTACTATCTCTCCCCACCGGCTCCGCATCTATTTTGCCGTCTCCCTGTATACATAGTTTTGCATATGATTCTTTTTCTACAAAGTATGAAGGTGCCCAAATTTTGGTTTGGAATGTCTACTTAAGGTTTATCAGCTCAAGCTTTTTTTCAATTACAAATATGGCTTTTTCATCGAAAAGTACAGAAAATATCCTATATGAAACGCTATTTTTCATATCCCAATATAATACGTTTTAACTCAAAAAAATTCTAAAAAAAAACGAATCCCATAGCATAGCAACACAACGTACCATAAATAATCGTGTTTTCCCTTTCACACCTACTAGATGTACAAACAGGCCCAATATGAACGAATTTTGAAACCTCACTTATTCCGCTGTCTACTTCACGTATGATGCCCCTATACTGAGTTGCAGAGCCAAGTTTGATTGTCTGAATCACTAGATTCGCTGTATTTGCCCTGGGTTCGAGCGCCTACCCCAACTTCTGTGCGTTCGGCAAGTACGTGGACAACCTTCTGGGGGAGTTGGGTGGAGAACGCCTGATGAAGCTAGCCACCGGCGATGAGCTGTGCGGACAAGAACAGGCTTTCAGGAAATGGGCACCGCAGATATTTCAGGTAAACAGAACGAAAGTGCTTTACAGAAATGCTTTTTAAGTGAACCGTGAATTTGATGTTACACCCATTTTTCAATTCAAAATGATGCCTTGCGACACCTTTGAATTAGACATGTTTGCTTTCCATCTCTGTAACAATGACCAACAGTAGACGGCGCTGTCCGTGTTCATTAGCAACACATCAGTCCTTGCATATCGTCGGTCTCCGCACGTACCGGCGTAACTAACATTTTACAAATTTTACAGGAGAGCTAGAAGACGAAAATCAGCAATAAATGAGTTTGAATGTAGAACCAGTTTTAACGCAGAGGCGTAAATCTATACTAAGTGACTAAGTTTAAATGGTTTTATTTTAATAAAATTTTGTATAAGTACTTAATGAAGCATAATAAGTAAATGATAAAAATTTCAAAATGATTGCACTGCTTTAAAGCCCTTTGACCTTTAATAATGTGTGGATGCACCCTGATGTGCTACGCATTCTCCAACGCGCCTAGGCATGCTTCTGATCAGGTGGTCAATATCCTCCTGTGGTATCTCATTCCAGGCAACCACCAACTCCTCTCGAAGTGCTTCGAGAGTCTGAGGAGGACGTTGGAAATTGAGCAATCTCCTACCCATCATATCCCACACGTGCTCAATTGCCTGTATTTTGTGACAATAAACAGGGGAAGGTTTAAATTGGACGTGTTTGCTTTCCATCTGTGTAACAATGACCAACCGTAGACGACGCTGTTCCGCTCTCATTAGCAACTCATCAGATTTTTACCTACTTGCGCACAGAGGAAGGTTTTAAAAAATCCTTGCATATCCGTAATCTCCACCAAAACCTGCTTATTGGGTATATTTGGTTCATGGATTACAAATCTGATATCAGTTACTCACCGCAATCTAAGGGAGTACCGCAAAGTACCATTTTCCTACTAAATCGAGCTTCAGGTCACTTTACCACTTTTGAATGGTCATATTCGAAATCAGCGGACTTAGTTACACTAGTGCACTAATATTTATACAATTAGTGAAGTGAAGTTTGCAATTTCGATAAAAATAAAACTGTTGGATGAATCGGGTATGTTAATCACGAATCTGGTATTAGTTTTTCGCTTAGATTGACGGTGGTTCCAAAAATGCGACTTTGTTTCTCATGGTCCATGATAAAATACCTTCTAGTCCCTTTAGGAAGAATATCTTGATCCGCTTATTTGCATAATCTTATTAAAAAAATACCCATTATAATGAATTCCAAAAATTGTTTGTCGAGCTCCGGTTTTTTTTTAGGTTTTTAAGGTTCTTTCTATAAAAATAAGTTTTTTTTTTTGTTTCAAAATGTGTATAATAATGAATATTTTTTGAATATTGTAGCGCATCGGTTCGATTACTCATAAATACAAAATGTTTGAATTTGTTTATAAGAAAAGACGTAACCCTTTATTTTTAGCTTAAAAATAACATTCATATTTCGAAATGCTTTGCGATTCATATCGTCGAGGTAAACTCGTGTATTCTGCTATAAAATGCCCTTTGAAGGAACCTTATACATTGCTCAATAAACTAGTAGTGATGGACGGAAGACAGATGTTTTGGGTTTTTGGGTTAAACAATTAGACGTTCTCAAAAACTATCTGATCATGCGACCCCACTTTTGTTGTGGTAACTACGAACTATAAATCCTACATATGTGAGAAATTTTAAGTGTCTGCATGACTTTATCGTCGCATTACCAACAAGTGCCAAAATCTGCGTTTTCGGCCATAACTTTTTGCTATTAATGGGACCTTTTAATGTGTGCTCTAATTTTCTTCTAATAAATACCTAAAAATCTTATTTGAATAGCTTTTTAGTTCCTTTCGATTGAATCCCAAAAAACACGTATTCTGATTCGTTGTGGAATAAAAGGTTTTCCCGCAAAAGTAGGTGTACCATTTTGTGCATCCAAGTTTTAAATACCCCCTTGAACGATTTGAACCAATAAAACCAAACTACAATTATTTCGCAAACCATGGGAATTTTTGTCTAATATGATTATATTTATGACTATTCTGAACTTTTTCACTAAATTTTACTGTTTTTGAGATATAGGCGATATAATATTTGTAAATGTTCAAAATATCCCATATTCAACCTTGAAAAACAATAATGGAAAACAAATGTATGTTTCCAAAGTTCATGAATATTCCTTAAACATCCATTAACAAAATCCGAAATTTGGATCCTGGGGACATCTTGATTTGTCAAATAAGGTCCTTTTTTAATATAGCTATGCAAAAGGCTGAATCAGAGTATTTTTTGAGGAAATCCATAAATATTTTCTGGACAAACACAATTATCTTTGGAAGCATATTACTAAAGAAAGCGGTCTATGTATATTTATGAACAAACTGTACTGAATGTTTTGATTTTCTTCTTTTAAGGCTCCGCTCACATCTCAATTCTACAGGATGCCAACTCTGAAAACCGTAAACCTTGATACGACCTTACACCTCAACATGTAACTTTATATTGCGTATTGAATATTTTATAAAGCCAGATACTTTTACGTATGTTGGAATACATTGTAAAGGTTTATATAAGACGCGTTTTTACGTTCCATATAAAGTGACTGCTCGTATTTTGGATAGCCTAATCACATAAAGTCGCCCCACAAACCGGTTATTTTTTATTTGGCAATTGAGCAGTGTATACAGCTTTTATATTATGATATTTTAAGCATTTCGTATAAACGATACTTTGTAATAATGTTCTCAATTATGGAGTAGCCTGATTTTTTGGGCTATTTCTGAATTTCTTCGTCTAAAATAATTCTTTTCAGGTTGCCTGTGAAACATTCTGCCTCGACGACGATGATACCATCCTTGAAGCTACCAATAGACTACAGAGCGAATCTCTGACGTCACAAAATGTTAGATTTATTGAATCTCAAGCTACATCTCTAGTCACGGGACTAGCTAAGTGTCATAGTAAGAAGGTAAGCAGTAACATCAGAATTTCTTCCAGTTCATTGTAGTGGTTTTATACCCCGAGCACTGTTTAAACACACGTGGTATACAAATTAGAGAAGTTCTAAATATTTTACATTTTACCCCTACTGGCGATGAGGTATTGCGATCGCGAATGTGATATCGTCACTTAAGTTTTAACACCGCGTACTCAAACTTTTTAGGAGAGCAAAAAGAACGGTGGATCTTTAGATTCCCTAACGAATGGCATGTATATCTTATAATCCTTCATGTTTATCTGACAGCTAAGTGAAACTACAAATGCTTGAAATACTGTTGACTGACGACGTTTCACTCATTTTTTTGCCTAGGATTTGAGCGACGTCTATAACCTGGAAAATACCGATTGAATTTAGATAAAATTTTGACACAGGGTTACTTCTATGCCATGAAAAAAGCTTTGTAAAAATAATACTGATCATTTATGAATATTTTTTAGGCTAAAGATTTGAGGCGTGGGGGGTTGCAGGGGAGGATATATTTCAACTGTTTGATGTTACTTTATTTCCACGCTGCCAACTTCGGTACTTCTGCGCAACCTATTAGACATATTTCACACATTATCTGTACATTTGCCCTTAAAACTTGATACAGAGAAATGATTTCGATATGCGCCCCCTGCTTCTGCTCTCTGCATTCACCGGCGAGCATGCGGGTCTTGGAAAGTGTACTAGTATTATTGTCGCTTGCCGTACTGGACAGGACTACTGGTAGAGCATGGAAAGAATGTCTAAGGAATAACTGTATGGGCCTGTTTAACTTTCTTGATCCGTTTAAATTACTTGCAACACAAGTTCGTAACTAACTCTTTTCTAACTGGTGCTGAATATAATCCTTTATGAACCTGCTTGGCATTTTTATACACATACAGAATGCTACTATGGAAACTATACAACTCAAGCTTCATAAATCTGCTATTCTCCAAACGTGTGTGATTCTTTAACGTCTCAAGTCGAGTCCTGACTGTCTTTGAGATATTTAGTATTATAAAATTCGGGGGTAGCACGCTGTATTATTATAGCAATATATTGATGTTTTGATATCGTTTTTTAATTATGTTCCAGGTAACAGCTACACCGCTGAAGAAAAGAACGAATCTCCATGGTGAAAACTCGGCAAAAGCTACCCTTCTGCTGGAATTCAAAAGTAGCCTGGCATACAAACCTGGTGATCACTTGGGGGTATTTGCTATGAACAGTCCAGAAATAGTAGATAAGATTATAAAGAGGCTTAAAGGGGTTACGGATCCTGATGTTCCGGTAGAGTTACAAGTCCTACAGGAGACACAAACGTCGAATGGTAAGAAAACTTTTTGAACAAAATTAAATATACTAAGTGACATATAAATCCGAACACCCAGTTTAAATGGTTTAATTTTAATAAAAGTTGGTGAATGTATTTATCTTACTGTAAATAACAAGTGAAAAAATTTTCAGCCTTGTCAGTTGGACATTCCGGTTTTTATACTGCTTTTTTTAATTCACTAACGCTTTAAAAATGAATATTTCAGCCGCAGTAAAGAATCAACGTTGGCGGATTTTGGTTCCTGACATCGTTTACGATCGGTTACGATGCCTAGAGTACGGAGACCTGTACGATTTCGTCAACTTAGTGAGTTTGATAGGGGCCGTATAGTGGGACTTCGGGAAGCTGGACTTTCTTTTCGGGCAATTGCAGTTAGAGTGCAAAGAAGTGTAGACACTGTGGTTAGGTGTTGTCAGGCATGGCTTCGAGAAGGCCGTACGCAAAGAGCAAGGGGCACTGGACGCCGCCGTAGAACAACAGACCGTAAAGATCGCCGCCTAAGATTATTGGCCTTAAGGAACCGTTTCTCCACTACCAGGTCCATTGCAAATGAATGGTTTGCAGAACACGGAAGACCTATTGGCATGCGAAGTGTTTACCGACGAATGAGAAGTTTTGGCTTGTTTTCATACCGACCACACTGGGTCCTCCCTTTAACTCGAGAACACCGACGTAATCGCCTTGAGTGGTGCAGACAACGGTCACTCTGGGATCAGGAATGGAACAGTATTGTCTTTAGTGACGAGTCTCGATTTTGTTTAGGCATACACGATGGTCGTGCCAGGGTTAGAAGGCGACGTGGTGAAAGGAGGAATCCACAGTTTTTTGTTGAAAGACATGTTCATCACACTGTTGGAGTTATGGTTTGGGGTACTATAGCTTATGGTTCCAGGTCACCTTTAATCTTCATCAGAGGTAACATGAACGCTCAGCGTTATATCCACGAAGTTCTAGAACCCCATCTTTTACCCTATCTTGACACCCTGGCAGATCCAACTTTCCAACAAGATAATGCCCGACCACATGTTGCAAGAGTCACAATAGACTTCTTTCAACATAATGATGTCACATTGTTACCATGGACACCAAGATCTCCCGACTTATCCCCAATTGAGCACGTGTGGGATATGATGGGTAGGAGACTGCTCAATTTGCAACGTTCTCCTCAGACTCTAGAAGCACTTCGAGAGGAGTTGGTGGTTGCCTGGAATGAGATACCACAGGAGGACATTGACCACCTGATCAGAAGCATGCCTCGGCGCGTTGGAGAATGCGTAGCACATCAGGGTGCATGCACACATTATTAAAGGTCAAAGGGCTTTAAAGCAGTGCAATCATTTTGAAATTTTTATCATTTACTTATTATGCTTCATTAAGTACTTATACAAAATTTTATTAAAATAAGACCATTTAAACTGGGTGTTCGGATTTATATGTCACTTAGTATACTTGTCTGCTACATGGAAACATAACATAATTGGCACAGAGTTATCAAACTTGTGGATTCGAATTCCACTAGTGACATTTTTAGTCTGAAGATATCGAAATGATATAAAGTCATCTAAGATGTAGATATAGAGGATATTGAAGAGACACAGTAAAAGTAAGACAGTATGAGTTTATTGTTTTCCCTGGTTATTAAGTGGTGACTTGATCGTCAATATCATACTATACTGAAGGTCATGGAACTCTACAATTTCAGCCCGAACACATATAGAGTGAAACATTTTACGATCAGATATAACCTTGGTTTATTTTGACCTTGAACATACTGATCAAGTTCATCGTAAGACTCTCGTTTGAAAAAAATTCCGGAATTTTGCTGTAGATAGAGTGAAAATAAAGACACCCAACGGCAGCAAGAGCTTCTAGTTTTTCCAGATTATTCAGTGATGCCCTTGAGACCGGGCTTTATCATGACCTTGACACTCAAATCAATATCAAGACAATTTTACTGCACTTATCCTTGAACTTCATTTTCAAGGTCGTCGTAAGAAATCGTTTGACAAAATTTCTAAAGATAAATCAAACATAAGGACTCAAAGATAGCAGGGGATTCAGTTTCTCTGGCTACTCACTAGCGACCTTGAAGCTGACTTTGACCATGGCATTGAGGTTCAAATCAATGTTTTGCATACATTTGATCCCGGAAACAGATAAAGCGGAAAGGTTTATTTATTAGACGTGAAGTTTGCTTTATGACGTTCAAGGTCAAAATAATTTTCACCCAAGGACATAACCAAACGTTTCCGTGGTTCTTGACCTTGAAATGACCTTCAGGATTATGTTCAGAGTCACCACCAGTTCAAAATCTTGAACATATAGTATTTTTCTTTTACCTCTTGAATATTCCCAATTTCCTTGGCGTTCTATGACATTTGGATCGCTACATATACAAATCCGAGCACATTGCTTTGAGTATAAGAATCTTTATTTAATTTTTTTTCTTTTTAGGAGTCATAAGGAATTGGAAACCACACGAGAGGATACCTTCATGCTCAGTTCGAGAGCTTTTTAGTCGATATTTGGATGTTACAACTCCCCCTACACCTAATCTCCTACAACACTTTGCTTCGATAGCAGTTGATGAGGAAGAACAGAAGAAACTTAATCTATTGGCCACAGTGAGTTACATCGTATTCAACGCATTCAATCTATACAGGGTATTTCCAAATTGAATGCCAATATTCAAGGGGGTGATTTTTGGCTCCATTTTAAGAAGAAAACTTCGGATGAAGCTATGGTTTCGGTTTAGTTAGGAAAATGCTTTCAGCCTCTTTCTGATATGCTTGTACATGGTGGCCCATCCATGTGTGGACGGAATATTTCTCATAAACAAATACATTTTGGGAAAATCTATTTATGGCATGCTATACATGACATTTAAAGGCACATTTCTAAAATATTGGAAATTATACAGGGTGTCCCAATTTTGACATACATATCAAAGTTGTGATTTTTTAAATGGAATGCCTCAAATTTTATTGCATATTTGGATAAACCAATTCAAAATAAGAAAATTGATATAACATACTATGGGGTTTTGGTAATTAGCTACTGAGATGTAAGGTGTTTTGTCCGGAAAAACCGTGCACCTCGGCAACCCCTCAATCCGCCATTTTGAAATTTGGAGTGACGAATTTTGTATCAAAAAAAAACTTACACACCTCAGCTTTTATCTTATTTGTTACTTTTTAGAATTCTCAGTTTTGCTCATACAGGGTGGTCAAAAACGCGAATTGTACTTTTTTTCAAAAATTTCACATGCAATGGAAACAAAAGACAAACAGTGGTCTAGTTCCATATTGCCACTAAGAGTATAGATTTGCCGTAAAAACGTATAACAATCAGAACAGTATAAATCAGCTTCAAGAGTAATAGAGAAAAACAACTATAACAATAACATAAACAAACAAATATCACTACTCAATACCTAATCTACAAAAACTGCTCAAAAATATCTCCACCATGTTGAATACACAGTCGTAGTCTTTGGATAAATGACCGTTGCACATCCCTCAGCATGTATGCCCCTATGTTCAGAAAAGCATCCTTAATCCTTTCCTTCATATTTATTTATTATTTAAAACGGAAACTACGAACATAACAGCAACTCGGAAGACTAGACGTGGCAACAACCAAATAACCCGAATTTTTTCCGCATTCTTTTCATCAACAAAGATATCCTGACCGGAATGTATTTATTGTTATACCTGTTTAGTTATTTGTTGCTAAGGGAAAGAAAGAGTTTCATCAAAACCGAGGTTGTAACTTAATGGAAACAGAGCCAATGGCACAAATTTTCGTTATTTAACCGAATTAATGTTGGAACTCAACCCACACTTGTCATGTTGGTGCAGTATTGCACATTCAGGGATGCATGAGATCCTGAAGTAAGTCAGTAAGATATACATTTATACATTTCTCAATTCGATACGCATACTTTATCAGGATTCTGCGGCATACGAAGACTGGCGACATTGGAATTTCCCAAACCTGCAAGAAGTACTGGAAGAATTTCCTTCAGTTTCACCTTACGCTCCTTTGTTGGTAGCTCAACTTAGTATTTTACAACCGAGGTTCTACTCTATTTCGTCCAGTCCAGCAATGCATCCTAATGAAGTACATTTGACTGTAGCTGTAGTTGTATATAGAACACAAGGTTAGTATAGTCTAGGCATACTTAAATATTTGCAAAAAGACCAGAATAGAACCTTCGTCTTATCCGTGAGCGAAATCAAGCACAAACATTTTGCACTGCAAGTTTTACAAAATACAGCAATACCAAACTGCGACATTTAAGCTTTTGAAAAAATTATCTACTGTACTGGAATAAAAAGAAATAGGTTCAAAATAAAAAAAATATTTGAATTCCAAATAATCATGTAACCAGGGATTACTGTAAAAACCAGATAACTCCAAAGACGAAGTTTTCAGTAATGAGACTATCAAATTATAAGAAAACGTAAACCCTTACAGATATGAGTATGAAAATGTCCTCAACTCAAAAAGTAGAAGAATGAAGGTAGCTGACGGGATTTGACCAACTCAAAATCTCAGTTACTTTCAGGACCCTGCTTATACACCCTGATCATTTCTGTGCGGTTTCCCACATATTATATATAATAGGTATTTTTTTATATTAACAAGCATGCGTCCATCTGCTGTGAATTTATCTCATGTCAAACATCTTTACAGATAATACTGGGCCAACACACTACGGAGTATGTTCTAATTATTTACAGGATGTTCCTATAAAAGACGATGTCTACGTATTTGTTAGAAGGTAAGTACGGTTAAATATGCGCCATTGAAGAGCGTATTGTCTGTACCTGTACTAATTCCGATACAGCTATAGGTGTACCTACACACTATCGAAGAGATCAGATTCATTTCAATTTCATAGCACGACATATGTTGCTCGTAGCTGGCAATAGACCTTTACCAACTTTATTTTGCACATTATCAGATTCGTGGACATAACTGAAGGCATGAAGGTGTCATGCTACATTTCTTTAAAAAATGCATTTATGCATTAAACAAACCTTAAGGTGTGATTCTTTCATTCTGTGATTACTTTGTAGAAGAAACAAGATAATAACGAACTAATTGAACTAAACTTTTAAAATTTCAATAAAGTAAAAAGTCCCAATGAAAAATGTTTGAAGTCAATTTTCTCCATACCATGATTTTGTTACGTGACACCCTTATCCACTTGTATCTTTAATTCGTACGTCTTAAAAACAATTCAAAAACTGGCAGGTGTGCTAGATACGTTTATAGTATGCATTCAACAAAATTGGAAAGGTGTATAATGTGTGTAAACCCTACTGAGCGAGGGCCGTGGCAAATGATTGTTCCGGAAATTGTTGTATCCAGTATACAACTTCTTCCCGTCCAAGTGATTGTCCACGCGTTAAGGAATACCTCAGTACCGATTGCCGGGTGGCGGTACAAGTCCGCCAACGGGCCACTTTAGGTCTATTTAACATCACTAACACGTAAAAAGAAGGTGGTAGACAAGGACCAGTCGACCGAGGCAGTACCACCCGCTAGCTTTTCCCAGGGTGTCTTATAAATGTCCGCATGTTTCCACGCCTAAGCTATGCAGTCGGTTATCTACCAAAACAAAGAAATTAATGATGATGGATCCCTCGAGCACTAAAAACTCCGGACGTAAACTCACTCCACTCTCGGAATGTCCGGGTGGAGGGTGGGCTCGAGGGAACAACATCGAAGATAAAATTTGTTTTTCGAACATCTGCGGGATCAACAGCAACATTGATGCTGTTCATCACTACCTGCAATCCAATCGTCCCGCCGTGCTTTTCTTGGCGGAGACAAAAATCTCAGAGACTGCACCGATTAACCATCTCAACTTCCCAAACTACGAGGTGCACTCCAATCTGAGAAAGAACGGGGGAGTTGTGGCTTTTGTCCACAGTAGTCTTTCCTGCTCCAGGGATCTTTCTTTGGAATCAGACCGGAAGGACATTCTGTGGCTTCGCCTCAACTCCAAAACATCACCCAAATTTATTTGCTGCCTTTATCGCTCTCCCTCGAACCATAACTGGGATGACCTACTCGAATACCTCGCCGTCCAGATCGACTTCCTGAACATCAATCACCCCGCTTCAGAGGTAGTTCTTCTCGGTGATTTCAATGCCTATAATGAGCTTTGGTTGGGCTCAAATAAGACCGATGCAGCAGGTCGTGCAGTCGAAGCGTTCGCTCTTACTCAAGGGCTGACCCAGCTGGTGACGAGCCCTACTTTTTTCCCCCGCGTCTCGTCACACGCCAGTAGTCTGCTGGATCTCTTTCTGACCACGCATCCTGCCCCTTACAGCACTGCTGTCCTGTCCCCCCTGGGTAACTCAGATCACGGTGTTGTGGAGGTTAGGTTTCGGTCCGAAGCCGCTGTGGCAGTAGAAACTCGCACAGGCCGCAAAACTTGGCATTACGGACATGCCGACTGGGAGGGGCTCAGAGACTTCTTCTCTAGCTTTCCTTGGAGAGATGTCTGTTTCACTGACGCGGATGCGTCGACTGTCTGTTCTTCAATAACCGAAATTATCCACGTCGGAATGGAGGAATACATCCCTCACACAGTGAAAGTTCCTAAACCAGGGTCCAACGGCTGGTTCAACAAATCGTGTGACACTGCTCGCCAGCAGAAGATCAAGGCCCACAGAACCTACTTACAAAACCCCACTGTAGAGAACAGACAAGCCGACGTCGAGTCCAGAAACAAATATAACGAAGCGGTTCGCAATGCCAAAAACCAGCATGATATAAAAGTTAGGCACAGGGTAATGTCGCAGCGCAATGGCAGTCGGTCTTTCTGGACGCTGGCCAAGCAGATTGAAAAGAACTTCTCACACAGTAGCCTTCCACCACTTACGTGTCAGGATGGAACTATCATATATCATAACAAGATCTTTGCTGCCAACTCCACCATGGACGCCCCCACCAACGCCCAAGTGCCGTCAATTCAAAGGGTTCCCCACACTATGCGGGAGGTAACATTCAGGCATAAGACCGTAAGACGAGTGCTCTTGTCGCTCGACATCAACAAAGCTTCTGGTCCGGACTTGATTCCTGCCATTGTACTGAAGAGATGTGCAGCGGAGCTTGCTCCAGTTCTTTCGCGTCTCTTCCAGATATCTTATGAATCCGGCACCTTCCCAGAAATTTGCTCATGTACAGCCCATCCCAAAAAGAGGATCTAAAACCGACCCTTACAACTACAGGCCTATAGCTCTGCTTTCTGTTATAAGTAAAGTGATGGAGAGGTGCATAAATCGCGAGCTTCTGGACTACCTCGAACGTCACAGCTTGATTAGCGACAGGCAGTACGGTTTCCGGCACCAACGATCCACAGGGGACCTCCTAGCTTACGTCACTCAATTGTGGAGTAAACTCATCCAGTCTTATGGTGAGGCTCATGTCGTTGCTCTTGACATCAAGAAAGCGTTCGATCAGCTGTGGCACGCTGCCCTCTTAAGCAAACTTCCATCCTACGGCCTCCCAGAAAAGCTTTGCAGATGGGTGGCTGACTTTATCTCTGGCCGCAAGATATCCGTCGTAATTCTCCTCTTCATCCCACAACGTCAACGCGGGTGTTCCCCAGGGATCGGTCTTGGCTCCAACACTGTTTCTCTTACATATCAACGACCTCCTTTCCTGCACGATTAACCCAATCCACAGCTTCGCTGATGACAGCACTCTACATGCAGGAATTCAGAGTGACAAGCCGATCTCTGCCGCTGAGCTGGAAAAAAGAAGACTAGCGACGACTTCTTCTCTGACAAGAGACCTGGAGGCTATCACTGCTTGGAGACGCAACGATCTTGTACAGTTCAATGCTTCCAAAACACAGTACTGTACTTTGACGAACAAAAAGCGTCCTAGCGCTCATACAGTTTCGATGGACGGTCGAGTTCTACCAAAGAGCCATTCATTTCGGCTGGTCGGAGTCCAGATCACCGAGGACCTGATCTGGCACGAACACATCTCTTCAATAGCTGCAGCTGCTGGGAAAAAGCTAGGCTATTTGTTTAGGGCTAAGAAGTACTTTTCTCCGCATGACCTTCTCACTCTATACAAGGCCCAGATAAGGCCTAGCCTCGAGTATTGCTCACACATTTGGGGTGCTGCCGCCCCGACTACATTGTCCATGCTCGATGCTGTCCAGAGGAGGGCGGTCCGACTGATCGATGACTCTTCTCTAACAGACAGTCTAGGGACTCTTTCGCACCGGCGGGCCGTCGGCGATCTGGCTCTTTTCTATCGCTACACCAACGGGCTTTGCTCCTCAGAGCTCTCTTCTATGATGCCGCCGCGCGATGTGCCTGCCAGACAGACCCGCCTGACTTCGGCGTCCCATCCTAACCGTGTCAAACTTCGTACATCCAGAACTGGCCGATACGACCGCTCCTTTGTCCCGAGGGTGTCTAGATTGTGGAACAATCTACGGGAGGAAGCTTTTCCCAGTTCTACTAACCTTAGGCAGCTCAAAAATCGTATTAACAAAATTTCTTTGGGATCATCATAGCAGCCGCGGTGTTCCGGCATTTAGGCTTCTGCCTGCGCGGCTGTTTCGATATAAAAAAAAAAATAATTCCGCGTGGTTCTAATTCTTTATATTTGAACCAGCAAGAAGGCCTAAGGCCTAAACACCCATGGGTACCGTGAGGTTACGTGACACCTTTATCCTCTTGTGTCTTCAATTCGTAGGTCTCAAAATACGTAAAAAAAGGTGGGTGTGCTATGTGCGTTTATAGTGTGCGCATTCACCAAAATTGAAAAGGCGTGTAATTCTACATGATTATTTTTTATATTCGAACCAGCAAGAAGGCCTAAGGACTAAACATTCATGGGAACCATGAGGCTACATAACACCTTTATCCTCTTGTGTCTTCAATTCGTACGTCTCAAAAAATAATATAAAAAAAGGCGGTTGTGCTATATACATATATAGTATACGCATTCACAAAAATTGGAAAGGTGTGTAATTCCGAGATTCTTATTGTTTATATTTGAACAAGCAAGAAGGCATAATGCCTAAACACCCATGGGTACCGAGAGGTTACATGATATCTTTATTCACTTGTGTCTTCAATTCAAATTCAAAAACAAATAAGGGTTACAGACAACGCATTCACCAGAATTGGAAAGTTAATTATTTTTTATATTCGAACCAGCAAGAAGGCGTAAGACCGAAACACCCGTGGGTACCGTGAAACTATAGAAGGCAAAGCGAGTGACGTCACATGGATTCTAGCGAGGGAACATGGCACAAAACACACATTCTGACCTCGCCTTAAAGATTCTACTACCTACGGACAATCACAAAATTCTCATGGGATGGGATTCGAACCCTCGCAGCTCACGGCGACTGAAACGATTATATTTGTTTCAATTTCATATCAAGACATTTCCCGCTTGTGACTGAAACGAAAGGCAAATTTACCTTTGCAAATTATACTTGCCATATTCGAGAAACAATTCGTTCATGTCTCGAAAATAGTTCAATAAATGGCGGGTGTGCTGTGTAATCTTTATAGTATGCACATTCACCGAAATTAGAAACGCGTGCCCGTGATTCTTGAAATCCGGATATCCTAACTAACATCAACATAAAAAAAAGGTTAAAGCAAGTATCTCTAAAAAATAACGAAAATAAAATGTATTAAGTCACGTTGTGCATACACTAAAATGAACAAATGTCAGATTTTTTTCCTTATTTCTGGAAAATATTTACAATTGTACCTACACACTGTCGAAGAGATCAGATTCATTTCAATTTTATAGGATTTAACCTTTACAAATCTTATTATCGTGTGAAAATTCGTTCATCTTTGTCTCAAAAATGATTTAAAAACTGGCGGGTGTGCTATGTATCTTGATAGTATACGCATTCACCAAAATTGGAAAGGTGTGAATTCCGCGTGGTTCTAATTCTTTATATTTGAACCAGCAAGAAGGCCTAAGGCCTAAACACCCATGGGTACCGTAAGGTTATATTAAGGTACGGGGCAAACGACGGTACGCGATATGGATTCTAGCAAGGGAACAAGTGTGCAATGCACACATTCTAACCCCGCTTTAGAAATTCGCCGGATGGTACTTCCACCTTCGTCAGTCCGAGACCGTCTACCACCTACGGACAATCACAATATCGCTAGCCAAGAGAAAGATTCTCCTCATGGGAGGGGATTCGAACCCACGCAGCTCATGGTGACTTATTAGTATGCCTCTGCTGATACACCAACCAAGATCTAAACGATCAAATTTGTTTCAATTTCATATAAAGGCATAGGCTGGTGGCTAAAAATAACGACAATGTTACGTTTGCAAATCTTACTTGCCAAATTATCAGATCCGAGAAACAATTAATTCATTCGTCTTAGAGTCCCAAAATTAATTCAATAAATGGCGGGTGTGCTATGTATCTTTATAGTATGCGCACTCACCACAATTGGAAAGGAGTATAATTCTTCGTGATTGTTAATTTTCTGAAGAAATCAGGCAGGGGTATTACGTAGCTTGAAAAGTGACATTATGTCGGAGTTTTGACATTATGTGCGTTTTCCTACAAAAGGTCAACTTGGATCCAGCATCTGTTCACTTCATGCTCACTTGCAGCAAGCGCGGAACGAACTATTTGCCTACTTAGTCAACAAGTTGACATTATATCGGTTTTTTTGGCATTATATAGATTTTTTATGTAATAACCCTGCCTCAATTAACATCAAAAGGCGTTGACATAAAACTTTAAAAAAGTATCTCTAAAAAATAATAAAAATAAAATGAATTACGCCACGTTGTTCATTCAACAAAACTGACATAGCGAGAAAATTGGCTTTCATTGGGATTAAAAGCATTTCTGGTGAAACACGAACACGTACAGAAATCTTAAGTACAGTTGAAATGAACAGGACAGACACAGCTCCCAGGATGACAACCTAGAAGAATTGAAAATGTATGATAATAATTGCGTTGTTAGAAACTTAGGTTTTATAAAAGTATACAGGGTGACAGGTAAATAGATGTAAAACATTTTAGGAGGTGATAGTACAGCCCCTTTGCCATCGAAATTAGTATATAATACCATACCCTATATTCAAAGGTTGAAAAGTTATTGAAGATTTAAGATTTTTTTAAAAACAATCCATATTTCAGAGTAAAAAAGTCGAGAGAGAAAAAAGTTGGCGATTAAACATTTGTTTTTTGTGGTTTTGGGTTATTATTTCATTAATTAACTATTATGAATTAAAAAAGATTCGAAAACAATACCAAACAACGTATTTATTTTCATTCAAAAATGTTTAACTAAGAAAAACAAATAACGTTTTACAGTAAGTAAAGTGTTTTACAAAAACATCAGTATACAAAAAACGTACAAACAATTTAAATAATATCCTTGTTTCATAAGGAATCTAAATTGGTATAATAAGTGCACAAAAACTGTGTGAAACTAAACAAAATGTATTGTAATACAACAATAGGGAGTACATTTACCAATGGCTTGTCTCCTATTTTCACAACTCTCTGATTGATAAGAAAGTGTTTTTGTGAAAATAATGTAACTGTAAGCTATGAAATAGTTATTATTTTAAACTACGGTTAAGTTACACGATTAGATTATTTACACAGTTGTAATTGTACTACAGAATAATAAAAACTGACTAAAAGTTACTACATTTGGTAAGTAAAATACAATAATGAAGTGAAGGTAAAATTCATTGCAATTGTTGTTCGAACTGACGCCCGCCGTTCCTTATGCAAGCCCGTAGCCTTTTTCTCATTGTTGGTACGCGTGATGCGGCCAGTTAGTTGTCCTCTGATAATGTCAGCAGCAGTAATAATTCTTTCTTTCAACTGTGCAAGGGTGCCTATGGGCTCAGCGTACACCAGTGACTTCATGTGCCCCCATAAATAATAGTCACGCGGTGTTAAATCTGGGCTCCTCGGTGGCCACGGTGTCGGTCCACCTCGGCCAATCCAGCGACAAGGATATTTCTCGTCCAGCCACTGTCTAACACCCAGACGGAAATGCGCGGGACAGCCATCGTGTTGGTAGATCATCTGCATCCTGATATTCAGAGGCAGGTCTTCGAGATACTCCCAGAGTTCGGATCTCAAAAAGTTTTCATGGGATTCGCCATTCAGGTTGTCAGGCAAAAAAACTGGTCCAATTAGATACGTATAAATGATTCCCATCCACACGTTTGCCGAAAATCTTCTTTGATGGGCTCTTGGCTTTGCCATGTGGGGATTTGTCTCTCGTGGGGCCCAATAATGTAAGTTGTGATAATTTGTTGTCCCCTCTCTGTCAAACTTAGACTCGTCGGTCCACAATATTTTAGTTAAATAGTCGTTTTCTTCTTGATCCCGATGAAGCATGTATCGACAAAAATCAATTCTTCTTGCGGGATCTCCTTCTTGTAATACTTGAACCAGTGTGTAATGGAAAGGGTAAAGACTCGCCGAATGCAAAACGAACCAAACTTTCCACTGAGTTAAACTAAGCTGCTTTGCTATAACTCGTGTAGACGTCGTCGGGTCTCTGCCGTAGCATTCCAGTATTGCCTCTCGATCTTCGTCGTCAAACAACCGAGGTCTACCAGCATCATGACGTCTCTCATGAACCTGTCCACTTTCCTTGACGCGTTGGTACACAGACGCAAATACTCGATGACTCGCCGATTCGGAAAACGGTTTTCGTATTCTTGCCTGGCTTCAACGGAATTTCCATCACTTAAACCATAACAAAACAGAATATCAGCGTATTCTTCGTTACGGTAACTCACCATTATTAAAACTGATCAAAAAAGTAAAAGTGCGGCCTACCGCGTTAAAGGTTGATATTCTACTAACTAACCTAAGCGTTAGTTCCCTTTCCTTGATCCGTCAGCTGTGTCAATTCATAACACACGCAGAGCTTGCTAAACCCGAATAACGGCACAGGGCACAAAAAACAACAAAAAGGGCCGAACCACGAAAGGCTCGGTTTACCTGCTCAGTACAATGAAATGCGCTTAGCGGTCCTTTCTAGCAAAGTAGTATTGTTTTGTTAAATGGTTTACTTACTGATATGTTATTATACCATTTTAGAAACCTAATGAAACGAGGAAGTTATTTGTACATTTTCTTTATTATGATTTTTTTGAAAAAAAAAGACTTCTTAATGTGAAGGTTGAAAATAAAGATTTTCATTTAACATGTAAATGAAAATAAATACGTTTTCAGTAGTGTTTTCATATGTTTTTTAATTTATGAGAATTATTTATTTAAATAATAACCTGAAACCACCAAAAAAAGAATGTTTAATCACCAACTTTTTTTTATCTCAACTATTTTACTCTGTAATCTGGGTTGTTTTTTAAAAAAATTAAATCTTCCATAACTTTTTAACCTTTGAATATAGGGTGTGGTATTATATACTAATTTTGATAGCAAAGGACCGCCTAAAATGTTTTACACCTGTTTACCTGTCACCCTGTATAGTGTCTGGTCTATCTTAAAGATTAAGACTAAAAAATAAATCTCCTTCACATCCTACTGAGCGGGGCCGTGGCAAATGCATGTTCCTGAAGAGGTATTCAGTATAAAACTTCATCCGGTTTCGATGGATGGCCGTTCATTTCGGCTGGTAGTAGTCCAGATCACCGAGAACCTGATCTGGCACGAACACATCTCGTCATTAGCGGTAGCTGACTTCGGTCTCCCATCCTAACCGTGTCGAACCTTGTACATCCAGAACTGGCCGATCTGATCGCTCCTTTGTCCTTAGGGTATCGAGATTGTGGAACAATCTACAAGAGGAGGCTTTTCCCAGTTCTAATAACCTTAGGCAGTTCAAAAATCTGATTAACAAAGTTGCTTAGGGAACCTTCTTCCTGCGCGCCTGCTTGGGTAGAAAAAACAACAAATAAAAATAAGCCAAAAATCTTACTGCATGTTTCAAACCGATTTGAATAACTATAAAGACGATTTTTTATTTTCAGTGCTCCCAGTTTCTACTTGCCAAGTGATTCCACGAAACCAATCATTCTTGTGGGCCCAGGCACGGGCATAGCGCCTTTCAGAGCATTCTGGAGTCACAGATACGTTCAATTGAAACAAAAACAGAAATTAGGTAAGATGTGGCTGTTCTTTGGCTGTAGAACGAAGGACATGGACCTTTATAAGGAAGAAAAAGCGAATATGGAGAGAGCTGGGGTGCTGGAAAGGGTATTTTTGGCACTGAGTCGGGAGCCCAACATACCAAAGGTATTTATGTTATTTATTTTAAATACCTCATTTTCGAACAAGTAGTTAAAGCTCTATAGCAGCCCCATCACAGGCTTTCTTATTGAAATAAGCAGCATTATGTTTCTTTACAAGTTTCCTCTTCCTAACAAACTAAACTAAACCTAAAATCCGTTTCGATGTCTTTTAGGTGGAGGTTCTAATTCTCATTTAGACCCTTGGCAACCTCAAAAGTAATAGTTTTAGCGGCCGTAAAATTCACATCACCAAACGAATTTTCAAAATGTGTCACCCAAATCAGTGCGGAGAAATGAATTGGTTAACTGTTTCCAGCTGTCCGCAACAGTCAGAGCATGCCTTATATCTGATTTTGCTCTGCCTGTAACAGGGTATAATAATAATAATAATAATAATAATAATATTTATTCACTCAATGTACAAAGATAACAAACAATATGAGTAAATAAATATAAAATCAAAACATGCCCAATAGAAGGCATCGCCTGTACATGGACCAATAAATTTAAGTTGAAACTGTAGAATGCAAATGACCAAAAAGGACAAAAATTAGCTACAGTAGATTATGTATTTAGTTGATGTTCGTATTTATGAGTTTATGAATTTCAGTCCTAGATATAGAATGTAGCCACTTTTTTAAATTTCTTTTGAAACAATTTCCGAAACGTAAATCTTTTAAGTCTTTAGGTATAATTTCATAAAATTTAGGCGCTAAATAGAGATATGATCGCTGCATTATAGATTTATGCGGTTGAGGAACTACTGTGCCACGAATTTTGTACCTGGTATAATGATTATGTTTAATTTTTTGGTCGGTGTTTACAAATTTATGGTAGTGAGTGATACTGTGTAAGAAATAAAGCTGTCTTATATCATACATTCGAACATCTGCGTATAATTTTTCAGTGGGATAAAGTTTCGGGTTTTTTAAATATCATTTTTAGAATACTTTTTTGAAAAACATCTAAATTATAGATATGTGAGGAACATGCAGCTCCCCATGCTAATATACCATATGTGAGATGAGGCTCAATCAGTGCATGGTATAATGTTCGAAGATATTTTTCTGTCAATATAGTACGCGTTTCCTCTGAAACCAATTCTCTCCAATGCTTCTAATAATAATTTGTGATTAACTGTGTCGAAAGTTTTCTTTAAATCAACAAAAATGCAGATTGAAGGGATTCTGTTATCAATATTTTGATGTATTTGATTTACAATTTTAGTTATTGCATCCGATGTAGCCTTCCCTTCTGTAAATCCATATTGATTTTCACTTAAAATTTTGAATTTTGTGAGGTATCGAATCATTCTAGTAGATAAAACATTTTCAAAAACCTTTGCTACACTGGATATTATTGATATTGGTCTAGAGTTGTTAACATCTGTTTTTGTTCCTGATTTATGTATCGGTATTATATTACCTTTTTTTTAAAATTGAGGGATATATGCCAGATTCAAAGCATTTGTTGATTAGGTAAGTGAGTGGTTCTGTTATGTCCTCGGCTATAATTTTCAAATGCTCGCTTTTAATACCATCGAACCCAGGACTTTTCCGATTTTTTAAGGACATAACAGTGGTGTATTCTTCACATTGCTCGACTTTATCCAAAATAAATGAGTTCAAAGTTCTTTTTGGAGGCTGAGTATTTTGTACATTTGCTTGTATATTACTTGCTAAATTTTCGCCTATGTCAGTAAAGAATTGTACAAATTCATCGCATATCTGTTGAGTATTTTTTAATACTGTTCCCGATGTTGTATTTAACTCAGTGACACACTCTTTAACTTTTGTTTTCCCAGTAATCTCATCAATAGTTGTCCAAAGCCGCTTAGGATCATTTAAGTTATTATTTTATACATTGAGAGATTGTCTTCTCAAGCTGGCATATTGTATGAGGTGTAGCAAAGCCGGCTTTAGGCAGCGAACGCAGAAAAACTCTCGTTTTGAAACAGCAATTTGTTACTTATTAACTAATTCAGTAAACATGGCGATTTTTCTTCCTAAAGTTTGTTTCACTTGAAATAGAAAAAAACTACTTTAAATATAGAATGACGTCTGTTTACGCTGTGATTTAATTTGATCTCAAAAATTGATTAGTTTAGATTGCTTTTAAATTCAGAAAAAACATTTTGATATTCAGCTTTATCTTTGATGTAATGTTCGCTAAGAAGCATCGGTTGTTTAATTTCACTGACTGAAGGCTGATTGTAGAAACAAAATTAAGGCTGGATATTTTGCGGTTTTTGTTTTGTAACTATCCTGCCTTCGCCGTGCACTAAAGCTTGTATTCGGCCGGACAATAAAGAACCTGGCACAATACGTACAATCGGCACATTCACCTTTTTTGCAAATCAGGCAAAATTTATCCGCCTACTTTTCAGGAACTAATCCTGGGATTGCCTTGGTCACATGAACAGTTTTGTTCGAGAAGGCAAGAAATATGTCATACCTAATTTTTAGACAAATCGTCTTTGACTTTTTTTCATGACCTTGACTTAACCTTGTAAAGGTCATGATTACAGACAAGGAAACATCAACGACTTGCATCTCCCCTTAAAAATGTACTTGTAATTGAGTTTCCTGAATTCTCGAGCAGCTCGTACTAGAACTATTCCAGAATGAACACATGAAAATCAAAACATTAAACTGAAACTGACCTTGTAAGAATCATGATCACGATCAACATGACACCTCCCAACACCTTCATACAAGGTCTTCTAACGACATATTTCTTTTAGAAATGATTCTTCGAGTTTTGGGTCTGATACCTACAATAGGCACGTTCACCATTTTTGCAAATCCGGAAAAAATTTTCCACCTATTTTTCAGAAACTAATCATAGGATTGCCTTGGTCCCATGAAGAGTTTTGTTCGGGTAGGCAAGAAATATGTCATACTTAATTTATAGACAAATCGTCTGGGACCCTTTTTTCATATGTTTTGTGACTGGTCCTTTTAGCTATGGGTCACCTATGACAGGCGGAGGATATCGGTCATCTGACAGCGCCTGGATTAGTATGTGTCGTCCCTTCCACCTTCAAAATCAACATGCCCTTGACTTGCATTGTAAAGGTCATGATCACAGACAAGGAAACATCAACGGCTTGCATATACCCTTGAAAAGTTACTTGTAATTGAGTTTCCTGAATTCTCGAGCATGTTATGATCAAAATGACACCTCAACACCTTCCTACATGGTGTTTTAACGAGATATCTCTTTTAGTATACTGATTCTCCGAATTTTGGGTCTGATACCTACAATAGACACATTCACCTTTTTTGCAAATCAGGAAAAATTTGTTCGTTTATTTTTCAGAAACTAATCATAAGATTGCTTTGATCCCATGAACAATTTTGTTCGTGAAGGCAAGAAATACAGGGTGTCCCAGAAGTCGACGTCAAGCCGAAACCGGGTGATAGGCAAAGTCATAACAGCTATCAGGAAAATATTTAAAAAAATTTTATGTTTTTGTTTTGAAAATTATAGGTCTTTGAAAAAGATATAGAAATTTCACACCCTACGGCAGTCTGTCAACTCCTGTTACTACAAATATTAACTTTTTTTGGATTTTATTTTTACAATGTAATGATGAATGATGCATCTTCAAACTGGTGTCTCAACCTTACTGCCAACTTTTCTCGTTCAGGAAAAATTGCCACTTATTTCCCAACCAAGTATACCAAAGTAAAACTTTGCTCAACTTTAACTGGCTGTACTGGAAAAAAATGTACTACGAGAGTTTGGCAAGTAACCTTAAAAGTTGGCGCATTTAATAAGGATTCCAAAATGGTATAACACTTAGAAGATTACTCGTTAACTTATGCACAATTTTTATTTGTAGAAAAGCTGATTAAAATTTTTCAAAATTTCCGAATTAAACAGCGATTATGAAAACGCACAAGGACCCTTAAGGATGACTGTTTGCACAACAGTGGGCGTCAAAATGCTGCTGATGATGATTTACCTTTACAGCAAATGCTCAAACTGTTTTCCTTCAGCCGCAATACACGCTCGACATCTTAAAAAATATCGGGTTATTAAACGAGCGAATCCACGGTTATTAACAAACTCAGCTGTTTCCAATAGTCTTTGCCGTAGCTCAGCTACATTTTGAATCGGCTTGAAATACACTTTTTCCTTTACAGTTCCCCGGTAAAAAAAATCTATCTGATTCAAATCTGCTGACCGGGCTGGCCACGGTATTGTACCAGACCGCCCTATCCATCCATCCATGCCTTGAAAGTTTTGATCGAGATACTCTCTCACTGAGAGTGCATAGTGCGCAGAGCAGCCATCATGCTAAAACCACATGTCCCTGTAAATACTCAGTGGCACGTCCTCCAATAAATTATCTAAATGATTTTGCAAAAAACCTAAATAAACCTCAGCAGTCAAAGTCTCTGGGAACTCAAACGGACCGATTATTTTACCATTTAAAATTCCTGTCCAATGGTTTATCTTGAAGCGATATTGAGATTTATCTTCTCTCATCAAATGTGGGTTTGCTACGTACCACTCGTGTAAGTTATGCAGGTTCATGTACACATCTTTCTTAAATGTGGTCTCATCTGACCATAAAATTTTTTCAAAGAACCGTGGATCTTCCCTGTGTCTTTCTAACATCGTGCGACAAAAAGCAACTCGGGGCTCATAATCCCGGGGCAGAAGAGCTTGAACACGCTGTACGTGGTATGGATGGAGCACGTTTTTTTGCAAGATTCTATGGGCTGTACTTTTGGGCACACCTGTTTTTAGTTCTATTGCACGCACTGAAGTACTCGGGTCTTCTTCGACAGCTCCTAGCACCACGTCTTCGTCAGGAAGGAAAGATCTTCCCTCACCGTGTGATTGGTTTGGTAGTTGGCGGTGCACATTAGTGAACACTCGATGATCTGGATGACGAGCTGCATTCGGGTACATCTCACAGTAAAGTCTCGCTGCAGCACTAGCCTTGCATCTGCATTCCCCATAAATGAGGTGCATGTTAGCATATTCTTGAACGGTGTACACGGACATAGCGGCACTGCACAATCACACTATCAAAGATAGTCTAAGGAAAGCAAATGTTGTTTTGAAGAGCAATTAAACAGTCCAAATCCAAATCACAAGCGATCAACAGTCCAGTTCACGAATCCAAAATTAGTAACAGTACGCAATCAACAAGCACGAACATGTAAAGATGCGCAGTAAACGAAGGAGTACTGATCGGTATCAAAGTGTGCAATAGCAAGTAAGTGATGTGCTTCATCCATACGGGATGATTATGAGCCGCGGGTTGCTTTTTGTCGCACAATGTTAGAAAGACACAGGAAAGATCCACAGTTCTTTGAAAAAATTTTATGGTCGGATGAGACCACATTTAAGAAAGATGGGTACATGAACCTGCGTAACTTACACGAGTGGCACGTAGCAAACCCATCCTTTAGATTTTTTTACTGGGGAACTGTAAAAGAAAAAGTGTATTTCAAGCCGATTCAAAATGTAGCTGAGCTACGGCAAAGACTATTCGAAGCAGCTGAGTTTGTTAATAACCGTGGATTCGCTCGTTTAATAACCCGATCCTTTTTAAGAAGATGTCGAGCGTGTATTGCGGCTGAAGGAAAACAGTTTGAGCATTTGCTGTAAAGGTAAATCATCATCAGCAGCATTTTGACGCCCACTGTTGTGCAAACAGTTATCCTTAAGGGTCCTTGTGCGTTTTCATAATCGCTGTTTAATTAGGAAATTTTGTCAAATTTTCATCAGTTTTTTTTCAAATAAAAATTGTGCATAAGTTAACGAGTAATCTTGTAAGTGTTATACCATTTTGTAATCCTTGTTAAATGCGCCAACTTTTAAGGTTACTTGCCCAACTCTCGTAGTACATTTTTTTCCAGTACAGCCAGTTAAAGTTGAGCAAAGTTTTACTTTGGAATACTTGGTTGGGAAATAAGTGGCAATTTTTCCTGAACGAGAAAAGTAGGCAGTAAGGTTGAGACACCAGTTTCAAGATGCATTATTCATCATTACATTGTAAAAATAAAATCCAAAAAAAGTTAATATTTGTAGTAACAGGAGTTGACAGACTGCCGTAGGGTGTGTAATTTCTATGTCTTTTTCAAAGACCTATAATTTTCAAAACACAAACATAAAATTTTTTTAAATATTTTTCTGATAGCTGTTATGACTTTGCCTATCACCCGGTTTCGGCTTGACGTCGACTTCTGGGACACCCTGTATATGATACTTAATTTTTAGGCACGTCGTCTGGGACCCTTTTTCTATATGTTTTGTGACTTCTATTAGCTATGATGCACCTATGACAGTCGAAGGCTATCCGCCATCTGTTAACGTCTGGATCAATCTTGTGCCTAGATCTGTGTGTTTCATCTCTTCCACCTTCAAAATCAACATGACCTTGACTTGACCTTGTATAGGTACGGATCACAGACAAGGAAACATCAACGACTTTTCTATACCCCTGAAAAGCTACTTGTATTGAATTTACTGAATTCTCGAGAAGCTCGTACCATATCTATTCCACAATAAACGCATGAAAGTCAACTTGCTCTGAAAGCGACCTTGTAAGCATCATGGTCACGATTAGTATGACACCTTCCTACAAGTATACCGATTCTCTAAAATTGGCACATTCACCATTTTTACAAATCAGACAAAATTTTCCGCCTGTTTTTCAGAAACCAATCGTAGGACTGTTTTGGTCGCATGAACAATTTTGTTCGGGAAGGCAAGAAATATATCATACTGAATTTGTATACAAATCAACTGGGCCCAATTTTCCATATGTTTTGTGCCTGGTCCTTCTACCGGATAGCAACCGCCCATATCCATTGTAATCCTAATTGTTTGCAACACGATTTAGATCGAGTTATTTTGCAGACATACGTACAAGACCTGATCAGCAAGGAAGGAGCCGAGATCTACAGGTTAATAGTGATGGAAAAAGGACATTTTTATGTTTGCGGAGACTGTACTATGGCTGATAATGTCTACCAGACGTTGAAATCTATTATACAAAAATATGGAGGAATGAACGATAATCAAGTGTTAAGTTACATGATGTCACTTAGGGTGAGTCTTATTAAATATTTCTATAAAATCCGTTGCCATGCTTACGAGAGGTTTTACAATTTTCAAAAATCCGATTTCGGTAACCGCTTCACGTAATGCTGATAATGTGATATCACAACCAGAGAAAAATCTCTAAATTTGTTATACTTCCTACGCCAACTGGTATTGTACCTAATCTCGAAAAATCCAGAAATGTTTGACATATTTTGTAATCGTTGATCCTTCTAAAATTCGGAAAATACTGCTCAAAAACTCATGGAAAATTTTGACAACAAAAGACTACTGCCACTAAAATGCCAAATGCAAAAAAGCTTTTTGTCATGTTGCTCACTCCAATATGGTAAAGAACTAAAAATTTTAGGACGTTGTCAAAGTTTGTCATATTTCTTATGACTTTTTGGCAACGTAATTTTTTTTCCTGAGCGAGCAATGATCGGGTATATCATCTATCACCTACAAAATAGATAACTATAAAATATATTGTAGCACCCCCTTTGGGGTACCGATGAGACGTTCTCACAACGTCGACGCTTAGGCAGTCAGAAATACGCGACCGTGTATGTATGTAACATTCGACACGCTTCGAGAGGAATCGACCGCCAACTAGCAACTTCAAATAAGAATCGACTTCGATCTAGAAAACACGGAAATATATCGGGAACCGTCGATTCACGAGAAACGCACGCAGAGGGCATAGTCAGAGTCACAATCAGACCGACTGCGGATGATGAGTCAGCCACGCTGCGGGATGTCACAGATCAGTCGACATGATCATAAATTTGTAGTAAATTAGTTGCAAGAGCGTGAATTGATAAATTAGACTTCAATTCGTTAAAATTTTGTCCATGTTATTTTTCATTTCTACTTCGAAAAGACCACTAAAGTGGCCGAAACGTCAGAAAAGAGTCAATCCTACATACATGGTTTCATTTAGCAGCCAGGAAAACATCGAGGATAAGTTTCGGATGATACATTAAAATTTCAGAATTTCACTCAACAGGAATGGCGCTTAGAATTCTCATGCAGTAAGATTTTTTTTTTTAGATTCATACCAATCTAATTCCTTATGTTTCTCTGGCTTGATCAAACCACGTATCTACGTTTAAAATTCCTCTTGATTATACGACGTTTCAGTTCCAACGGTGGCCTCAAGTACAACTGAAACTTTTTGACGAAATATTTTGTGTCTTCCAGGTGACGTTTCGTTTGTTTTATATATATATATACAGGGTGACTTCGAAGTTGAGTCATTTATTTTAACAGTGAGTAGATCTGATCAAAAGAAATGTTTTTTTCCTTTACCATTTTTCTGGTAAAATTAAACTAACAAAGTTATAGCCCTTTGGAACTTTGAGTACCGCCCTGTCTCAATAATAATATTATGTACTCGTGTTTGGCGACAACGGATATAATCCGCCGTATCGGTTCATCGCATCGGAGACAAAAAAGCGAAAGAATTTGGAACGATGTTTTTACAAGTATTTCATTCATTTGTATACAGTCAGTGTCAGTGAATAGTGGTATCTGTTGCGTGGCTCAAACGAAATACGGCACACGTTTATGCGGATCGGTTTCCCAATCGAGTCCAACCAACCCCTAGTGCCTTTGTTAATGTAGTACAACGGGCTCGTGAATCCGGTGACTTGAGACCTCACAGGGGACCTCACGATCAAATACAGGTCCGCACTGAAATACTTGTCGGGAGGATACTTTATAAAACAAGGTAAAAAATTTTTTTTAATTTTTTTTTTATTTTTACACACATATTTTGGTTTATCTTCCTTCTACAATCATTATCTGAAAATTAATGACTCAACTTCCAAGTCCCTGTATATATAAAGAGAAAATTATTTTATAAACTTATTTTCCTATTTATGTTATATATATATATATATATATATATATATATATACTACAGGACCTCTCACTACTATATATATATATATAGTAACATTCATTCCAATTTTAAGATGGCCTTGTCCACCAAAGCGACAAGCACGAGGTTATCGTTTTTTAATGTACTAGACACGTCACCTCGTCCATTGACCTGAAAACGCCAAAAGTCCTCAAAAAATGCGAATACCCGATGTTGTCGTAACACACCAGTAAAATTTTATGCAATATCCGACTACAATGCTGCAAGTGAGAAAGTTTACTCCATTTTCAACTACGTTATATTGTAGGATGAAAACAGATACCATGAAGACATATTCGGCATCACCCTACGCACTGCAGAGGTCCACAATCGATCAAGAGAATCCGCAAGAATAAAAATGGCAACCCAACCCTAACAACAGTACCCAGATGCTATTAACCATGTACTAGACTATCGACATTTGCAATTTTAACTCTTCTACATTTGAAACTATGCGTACCTATTAACTAACGTTGCTGAAAGTTTGCTTTACTGTTTATATTATAGATATTTTTTATATCTTACAGTTGCATTTTAGAATAGAGGGATATTTAAATATAACGATTGTTACAGATTTCATATATTTTACAGGAAATAGTATCTATTATTCGGTTATAGAGTTCATGATTGCTGTTTATGAAACACTACGGAACGTGTAGGTCGCGTCACACATAAAGCAACCAAATTTTCCAAGCATACAGGTTGGCTGATAATTTACTTATGTCATTCAAGTTACAAAACATCATCGGAAGTTTATAGCATTACTTAAAATCGCGGGTAACAGCTAGAGCAAAATAAAACGTCTGCATCGCTTGACAGTTGATTGGGGCGATGACAGGCCGCGCTGATGCCGGCTTGAGGCTGAGGCCGCGCTGTTGCCGGCTTGAGGCTGACGGTGAAAATTTTGGTACTTGCCATTGCAAAATAGTTCGGGGATAAAATCATGCCTACAGCCTTTGTCCGGTCATTATAAATATGTGTAAAATGTTTGTCCCTCCATATTGTGGTTTAGACATGCTGACAGTCTAGACAGACATTCGCATTTATATAGAATTGTTTGAAATTGATAATTTAAAAAATCCATAACCGTGAATTTAGCATTGTAGCTTGAATTGTTGATAAAAATAATCCCATCGAGTCATGTTTGATTTATATCTTTTGAGTACAGATTGTATTGCAAGAAAATATTAAAAAAATTAAGATCACCTGTAATAAAAAATGTACCTATACCTCGCTACTCTAAGCTATGTGATTGTTTTTAGAGTTTGCTTGCCGCGTTGTAGTTTAAATCGTTCGTACAGTCATAGTCGGTCATCTGTGCTTTCATTTATTGGCCAAATTGAGACGGACACTGTTTCAAAAGTCATAGTAAGCATACACTTGCTGAAAATGGAAAAATATTGTTAAAAAATATCAATCTTCATCATTTCTGATACGGGCAGCAATCATGGACGCTTTTTATCTGTTATTTTATTGGACAAGGAACAATCACATATTTATATTTTTTCACATGTTACGAAAAAATATTTTGTTAATGCGTTTACTTTTAGCTGAAAAATGATACTTTACGCTGTTGATATAATACTTGAAGATTGAAAATCGGCGTATTAAAATGCACAAATTTAACTTTTTACATATACGCACATTTAAGAATATAAGGATATTGAAGAGAAATATTGAGATCGCCACACTTTTAAAGGATGAGGTTTAAAGATTTCATTTAATTATAACCAAATTCCTACAAAGGAAAATAGAAATGGACTGCATCTGAAAAGCTCAGGATGCAAATCAATTTGAGATTCAATAATAGTTAATAAAGTTTTTGAGGAAACATTTGATTTTTCACAACATCACTTTCATATTAGACGAAAATACCCCTTCTTGCGAAATAATTTCGTATTTGTGAGTAATTCGCAATAAAAGATAAAAGACATATGTTTGAATTTGTTTAGAACAATAAACGTAACCCTTACTTTTTTGCATAAAAATAACATTTATCTTCCGGAATGGTTTGAGATTCATATAGGTAAGGTAAACTAGTGTATTTTGCTATAAAATGTCATTTGAAATAACCCTGCATATTGCTCAATAAACTAGTTGTGATGGCCGGAAACAGGTGTTTTGGGATAAACAATTAGAAATTCTCAAAAAACTACTTGACCAATACTCCAATTTTGTTATTGTCATTTAGAAGTATGCATCCTACGGATTTTGAAGAATTTCAAGTAGTTGCGTGAAATTATCGTCGAATGACCAACAAGTGTCAAAACCTGCATTTTGCCTCGTTTTTCGGACATTACATTTTTGCTATTAGTCGGAGCTTTTTACGTATTTTGTATGACCTAAAAATCTTATATGGAAAGTTTTTTCGTTCATGTCGACACTTTCGATTGCATCCCAAAAAAAAACACTTCTTCTCATTATTTGCTGTCAAATAAAAAGTTTTCCCACAAAAAATTGTGTACCCGTTTTATGCGTCTATGTTTTGAATACCCCCTTGAACAACTTGCAGCAATAAAACCAGACTTTACAATTATTTCGAGGAAATTTGCTAATATGATTAGTCTAAATCTCGTTGCGATCTCAATAAGTTCTTCATTTTGGTTATCACAAAAAAATAGTGTCAACCAAATCAAATATTAATATCAAATAGATATCTAACTTTTTATATTACGTAGCACCCCTTGAAGTCTGTGGTGAAGCTTTTTTTTTAAGACTGGTCAATTTTTCGTACGTCAAATTGTAAATACCACCAAAAATGTCGTTAAAATGTTTTGTAAATATACTGTACATACAAACATTGTGTAGTGTCCACGCTACCAAACTTTTTGTGATAACCATAAAAATATTTTATCTCTCTTTGGACGCCAATTTTGTAACCGGCACTTGGCATGACAACTGTATTAGGCTATCCAGTGAGAAATGATCTTTCCCTACACTCTCCACAATAACGCTTCCTTGGGGAGCATTCAACAGTTTCCAAAATTTAGAAAAATTTAGGAACTTTCAAAATTCTGAAATTTTCAAAACCTAAAATATGTTCAAAATTTGGAAAATTCACAAAATTTTTAAATGTTCTCAAAGCTGTCCAAACTTCCAATGCAAATGTTACTTCCTCAAGGAATCGTTACTATCTGCTTAAAAAGTAGAGATCATTCCTCAAACTCGTCTAGATCCTCAATGAACGTCTACAAATAAGACCCTTATTGATGATCCAATATTTCAAAAAGAAAACAAACGTTTGACAGGTTGCTGGGTCACCTAACTTAATTGTTCTGAAGTCTCCAGTCTTCTCAAACGTCTAATATAGGCTCTGTGATTCATACTTATATGAGGTGCATTGTTATCTTACTAAAAATGAGTTTACGAGTTCATCATTGTTCAAAATTTAATGTACCAGGAAAAACAGACTAGACAAAGTAAAGATCAAACAATACAAAGTTAATAAACGATACAGAATTTTGAGAGTTGACTATTGGTTTGCGTCGCACAGTGGTCTATTTATGCGAAAACCTGACAAAAATAAAAAAAACAGAATCGAAAATGATTACCTATTTCAGAGTAACACCTTAAGCAACAAGTTTGACACATAATCTCGCTTGCTCTACTTTTATTAGACTATTTAAACGTGATGTTTTAGACTACCTTTTAACGGCAAAGCTTCTGTATCATTCGTTGTGTCGTCTTAATAAACAGAGTCAACCTTCATTTGACGTAATCGAAACCTACCATCATTGGTGTTTTCGTGTACACCGTGTATGAACCTAGAAGTACTGCGAGATAAAATCTAGTGTCAGCCATTGAAATATATAACCTTATATTATGGCAGATGGTCGGAAACGGTTATTCAACTTTTTTTAATGTTTCCTTAAAATACCCTTCAAATGTTTTCCTATAGACAAACTGCTCAGATTTTGACTCAACGATCGCAAAATTCTATACACATATCTGGACTTGAATGCTAGGCTTTTTTAATTCCCTCTTGAAACGACTTTCAGATGGCCTCAGTGAGCAATTGACCTCTTATTCGAACTTAGTAACCAGAAAAACTTGAACGATGTGCTGTGTTGGGCTCAAATGCTTGCTTTTGGAAATGTTTATGACATGACCTTGAAATCAAATTCCTTATAACTAACCCCTGATGACAAAGCAGCGGACCCAAAGACCATGTTTTATTTAAAATCTTATTATTTGTATTTTTTGGCAGCTTTTCGGTATTTCAGACCAGTGTACGTCGTGCAACAACGGAAAAGTCAAAGATATTGGAAATCATTTTAAGATTGGTGTTAAACTACAGCTCTTACGACTTTGAACGTATGAGATAACATGTGTTTTTAGAGATATTCTTAGTAAAGCAAAGCAATGCACTCCGTATATTCAAACTTTATCTATTGTGATTTAAATCTATCTCTTTACCTTGATGTTGTACATTAAAACAATTGAAATCATCGAATTTACGCATATATCCATTTGAAAAATAAACATATTGACATTACATTGGACCATTATTTCTGAAATTCCGCATATCCACCCAAAATACTTCAGAAAACGTACTTTTGAAATACACTCACATAGAACTGTTGCAAAGCAATCAAAGCATCATTGTTTCACTTTGGTGAACATTTGGTTTCATAGCATATTTGATGGTAAAAATAAGGCTAAAATATTTTCAAAATGGTGGCGCTTAGTGTAGTACGGATATCTCAAATTTCGCCTAAGAACTGACGAATGCCTTTGCCGACGTATTTAACGAGTTTCTTATAGTAGGGGACCTACTTCAGTGAATTTTATACCGGATATGCAAAACGAATAGTATAGAGAGAATCAAATTGAAACCATCTTATTTTATATTTTCATAATATGGAAATATTGGTTCTTCTATTGGTTAATTGCTCCCTAAAGCTTTTACTCCAAGATGATCTGAGTTGACCATGACGGAAATCGGACGAACTACTAAGGATATCATCACACCTCAAAGTTCGAGCTTTACAGAGCTTATAGATCAAGTGATAATAAGCAAGTTTTCCTTATACAGGGTGGCCGATATGTAACCGACTGGTTTGTATCTTGAATATATGTGAAATGAAATAAAATACGTCCATTTTTTTCATCTTAATCTTTTATTGAATGATGTATGAAAAATAATATCAGACAAATGTACGTCTCTAGAAGAAGCGCAAAACTGAGCTCTCTTGATTACATTTTCCGTCACTGTTTGGTAGCTTTCGGGAGGAATATTTTCAATCGCTTCCGTAATGTTGTTCTTCAGATGCTCTACAGTATTTGGTTTGTTGGTATAAACCATATTTTTCAAAAATTCTCAAAAAAGGTCAGGGCCTTAAATCCGGTGAGCTTGGTGGCCAGTTGACATCACCAAATCGAGAACTTAAACGTCCCGGAAATACTGTTCGCAAAAGATTCATTGTTTCCCTAGCTGTGTGACAAGTTGTTCCGTCCTGCAGAACCACGTGTTTTTCAGGTTAAATTGCTGAAGCGTCTTCAAAGAAGTAAGGTCCAAACACCAAAAGTAAACAGGCTCCGGTTTTCTATTTAAACACCGACAACTTCAAAAAGTAATTACAAACAAAACATGTGACAGGACAGTACTTGCCGCAGTAAATTATCACCGAGTATTTTTCTTTTTTATAGTTTCGGTGCTGATTTATCGCAAATTACCTTTGTTATTTCAAACGTAGTTATTTCTGAAAAGAAAAGCCCCTACTCTTAGGACTCCATGTGTCACCTCTTTTTCAGTAGGCCCATTTTCGTTTGTTTGCTTTCTGTTGTGTGTCTTCAATGGCTAGATCTATACCCTACTAATGATTGCTAAAAAGCATAAAACAACGCTGAATATAGTTTGTTATGGTCACATAAAGAGCAGCAAGCGTATCATAATCAGAATGTTTTGCATAGTACGTCAAAGCAGCTAGCATGGTAAACACTTACTGCTCCCCTGAAATCAATCTTTATGATTCATAAAAATTAATGTTTTTCGAATCTTTTATACCTGTTCTTCACTTACCAACTTGCCATCTCGATACTGATGTACTCGTTGAGAAACATTACACTCCTCTATGCCCAAGCGGACATTTCTTTTCATCCCTCAGAAAGTCTTAGAATTACATAATAACTTATTTTTTATTTTATATAAAATCATAGATAAATGTATATTATGTCACAGAGTACAAAATATAAAATATAAATAGCAATAGGTACAATCATCAATAATATTATGGTAGGTCATATTTCATGATTACCAATACCTGGTAGGATAAAAAAAGGAACTGAGACTGCGATGTATTGAATAACTGACATTTCGTTTCAATAATAAACATTCAAAAAATTATTATTGTTATATTCAAAATATCCACAATCAGCACATCAGCGCGGTAAAGAGTGTCTCATGATACCACCGAATAGTTACATGATAGCTGGGAAAGCAACATTGGCTATCAGACTTGTGCAAGATGAATTGGTCGGCATGATTCAGTTTCAGCTCCGATAGTGGATTTGTAAGGAAAGTATATAAATATTGCACCAACCAAGGCTAAAATTATGATGATCTCATAACGTTCTAGTAAAAACTAAGAAAATACAAGAGTCACAAAGATATATATGGTTTCGGCTGAGGTCACACCAGAGTGTAACATATGTAAAGCGTCCCCGAACGTTACAAAATATTGATTACGTGCAGGGTAAATTTGAAAACGTTCAGGTGAACTATTGACGTTCTCATCACGTAGCAAAAGTAGCACGCTTTGTGACCGTAAAAAAATTAAAAGTCAGTAGAAAGAAGTGTGAAAATATTCAAGTCAACGATACTTACAACAAGAGCTGATATCAAAATGTGCAACTACAATAAAAAATTTCAGTTCATTTTTAAAAGTACTGCCCACAGCACGAGGATTTCGTATTGCAATTTTATAAACGTATGGTGTTCTTTAGAATCATGTATTTTAAACTTAAAAAATCCTTGCGCATTCATTTGACTCATCAGCTGCAGTAGTGAACGTTCTTACTCATCATTAAAACGTGTCAAGAATGGGTTAAAGAAGACGATGAGCCAAGATCGTGCTGATAACCTGATGAATATTGAATAAGGTACCGTCGGGTAATAAGGCCGGACAGGTAATAAGGCCATACAGTTAAAAATCTCATAGAAATAAATATATCATAAGCCTAGCGCCATCTGTACGTAGGATGACTTCAACTGATCCAAATAACATGTGGCTGAAGAGCGTCAGATACTCCGCTTGGAAACAGTGCGCCGTAAACAAAATTCGTTACATTTCAAGTGATGTGCTATAAAATTTCTCGATAAAAGGTATGTGATATTTTCACTAGTACAATTGAAATCTGTCTATATTTTGGAACATATAGGTTTATCCTGATGTCGACAACACTTGTAATCTGTTCATTGAAATAATTTTTTATTTTTTAATGATATTTAACCTCAAAAATTATAAACGTGCCAGACAGGTAATAAGGCCCGGGCCTTATTTCCTGTCTAGACAGATGATAATAAGGTCACTGCTTTATTGCCTGTCACAATGACTTAAAAATAACCTAACGTATCTAGAAATAAAGCACATCTTAAAATTATGTATGCTACATAAATAATATGTACATACATGAGTTTTTTTTCTGACTTATGGTTTTCCTTATTTACAGACATGGGGAAAAAGAATCGCGGAATAAGGGCAAAATGGACAGACGCAATGATGGAGGAAGCACTGCGACTTGTGCGACTTGGTCATTCCCAAGCATCGGTAGCAATACGCTGTAATATTCCCCGTCGTACATTGAGAAACCATTTGAAAACTGGTTCAACCAAACGAGTCCTCGGTACAAAAACCCTTTTAACTGAACAACAAGAAAACGATTTGGTTGAAAAGATAATACGGTTTGCACAAAAAGGATTTCCACTAACCTCTAAAGTGCTTCGTCGTACCGTTTATAAATTTTGTGAACGACTTAATGTTAATCATAAATTCGATAAAGAGAAGCAATTAGCAGGAAAAGAATGGTACCGAGCATTCTTGAAGCGACACCCAAATATTTCGCAGCGAAGGGCACAGCAATTAAATCCTGCTCGTGCACAGAAATTAAACCATTTTATTGTGGATGATTATTTTGAGAAGCTGAGCAACCTTTTGGAGAGAACTGGCCTTAAATATATGTCTGGTAATATCTATAATATGGACGAGAAGGGCTGTAGACTCATGCTACACCATCAGCAGAGGGTTCTAGCAGAGAAGGGAGCTAAAAGAGTGCATTTGATAGGGTCAGAACATGGAGAAAATGTAACCATTGTGGCATGTGCAAATGCGCTCGGCAATGCGATACCTCCAATGATTTTATTTAAAGGGCAGAGAATAAAACCAACTTTTTCAGATGGACTTCCAGCAGGGTCAGTTATGCATATGACTCAAAAAGGAAGCATGACTACGGAGATATTCCTTAAATGGTTGGATCATTTTGCACAATTCAGGTCGCCCCCTCCAACAATTTTAATTTTCGATGGAGCATCAAGTCACCTCGATGTGACTATCGCTGAAAAGGCAGAATCATTGCAGATTGAGCTTTTATGTTTACCTAGTAATACTACCCACGAGCTCCAGCCAATGGACAAATCCGTCTTACGGTCGTTTGAAGCCCACTGGGATCAGGAGCTTGTAGATTACTGGGATCAACATCCTGACAGAAGATTAAATAAAGAAAGGTTCTCAGATGTCTTTACTCCTGTTTGGGGTAAGTGTATGACCATCAGCAACATCTGTAGTGGGTTTAGAGCAACCGGGATCTACCCTTTTAACAAAAATGCGATACCGGAGTGTGCATTTGCTCCCAGTCTTCCTACGCAGCGCCACAATGACGAAAACAATGCGCCCAATTTGTCTGATGTTGAGATCAGTAATCCGCCTAGTTTGGAAGACCACTGGGACTCAGAAGATGAAATTCCATTAGCTCAGTTGATCGAAAAAGAAGCACAATGTCTAAATAACTCATTCGCTAAAGAGCTCATTACTCCCGATATGCAGCCAGTTAAAACCAAACCACGAAAAAAAGCCCTGAATTATCGAGCTCAGGAAGTAAAAAGGGATGTTTTTAAAGATCCCAGTTCTAAGAAAATTAAAACCAGTGAATCAAGGAAATCGACTGAATTGCCGACCACTAGCAGAGCTGCTAGAGAAGAAGACTGGATGTGCTCCGTTTGTGATAAGGCCTTTGTAGCTGACATGCGATCCTGTGTATTATGTGGAATATGGGTGCATGAGGAATGCGTCGGCCTTACTGCAAATGACACCGAGGAATTTATTTGTCCGCAATGCCTGCCATAATTTTTTTTAAGTACCTTGTTTACTCTTAGTCTCTCTTTTTTATGTTTTTAAAAATAACTGTTTTTTTGCTTTTTTTGTGCGTTAATTAACAAATGCTAAGTTGGGCCTTATAACCTGCCTAGGTTGGTAATAAGGCCAAAATGCATTTTTTTGTCATTCTAGTGTCTAAGTGGTATCATATGTTTTTTAAGATTCTGTTCATTAATATTTTTGTAAAACAAATACCTTAGTTACCTTTTTTATATACGCAAAGTCGAAAATGTGTATGTGTTATTAAATAAAAAAGTAAGAATGTTAACCTGGCCTTATTACCCGACGGTACCTTATAATTTGCTCGGAGAAGCCGATATGTTGTTAGTTCTAAATTTGCCCAAATTGAATCTAGAAAAGTTTGTAACAGTTTTGTTTATTCTGTAGCATAAATACAATAACCTAAACCAAACCAAGGTCCTACTGTTATATGTAATTTGTTGCAGTATTATTCCTGCTGCAAAAATAAAAGATTACGTAGTTTTGTTGGGAAAGCATACTTATGCCACTTTCAAGCTCTTCAAGTGGAAACAACGTTTATTACAATTACAATTACTCATTTCTTGAAACTCACCAATTCGTCAGGTCTAAAAATGCACATTGCAGTGGTTCCACTCTGAAGGTCGAAAATGTTAGCTACGTAAATTCCCGAAGAAAACCTCGGTCTTTATGACATTTCAATAATTTTCCAAAATTCGGAATATAAACCTCATGAAAATAAAGGTAAAATATTATGCTCGAAACGTTGTCAATGGAGGTAATGAACCACGCCCACTTTCTATCAGTTATTCTAGTCCTTTATTTCAAGAATTGACCCCCTGGATCTGCGCACCTGGTTGTCAGCCTGTCATTAAGCTCCCCACATGCAGTGTTGTCTCAACCTATGAGAGGCACTGTACTGAAGTCAATTATCTATTGCAGTTTCTCTCAACAAACTTTCTTTCGATTTTTTAAACACCGATAATAAATGTTGTGTCTTGCTTTTGTCTTTAAATTTCAAGTTCTTTTGTGACACACATGAAAAATAGTTGGCAAAAAATCTATTTTTACTACCTCACAAACAACAAATTTGGGTCCAAATTTCATAACCATCTGAACTGAAACTAAATTTTGCCTATTTTGAATACTTGGTTATTCGTACATGTAAAACATTCAAAAATTTGAAATGAATCTTTTAGGAACTTCAACAAACCTGTATCCTTACTGTAAAAGAACACACAACGGATATATTAAACACTTCAACTATTTACTATAAATTAGTGCTATGCGATCTATTGTACTTTCAACTTTTAATTGTTTTATCTTACATATAGGAAATTAAAAATAACACGAACTTTTATTGACTAACTTTCGAATAATCGCAATGTGACAGTATTTTGTTTAAAGCTTATTCGTTTGGCAGAAAACTTAAGTACTAGCAAATTTCAGATCTATTTGGTTTCAATCCCCCATGTTTGTCTGGACGTTAAACGAAACTACTTACCGAAAAAAAGACAGTGCAAAGCGCCATCTATTAGCAGAAACGACAGCTACTGGTTGGAACTGTAAAGATTCCAATTCGTATTTGATATCCCAGTCACCACTGTGACCGCTAGAGGCTGGCGATTCTGACGGTATATTAGATCAAGTCTATTCACACAGTGGTCGACTCTGGTAATATATGACGCCTTGTGCTGTCATATTTCGATAGATCTCACACTTTGGATGGAGGATAGTTGTTATGCTTTCGTGTGTTGTCCCAGAGTCCAAGCTCAGACCATGCTGTTGAGTTCTCAAAAAGCACGAAACAGCGGCCCACGGTTGGCTGTCGTTGGTCGGATGGACGAAAGCAGCATGTTTCGAAACTACATATGTTTAATTGTTGTTTAAGGAGACTATTTTTCGCCCATGGTGTCAGTAAAAAGTGATTACAACATATGTGATTTCATTTGGCGGCCAGGCAAACATGGAGTATTATCAGCATGAAAACCACAGGATAAGTTTCAGGTATTACCACTTGGCTTTATTCGACTATAGAGGTAAAGCAGTTATTTTATCAAGTAGCACCATCATGTTAAAGTCCAAAGATGGTTAGAATATTGAGGAATTCCTTAGCTAATACAACTATTTACAAGCTTTCGAAGTTTTAAATCCTAGAAAGTCGTTAAAATTATTAAAAACCTAGACTTGCAGAAGCAAGCAAACAGTGCTTTTCAGAAACACCCCCTCGTTATTTTTTGAAATGGACAAGTTAAAATATATATAAACATGAAAATAGGTGCAAGTTTCAAGATGGTGGCTAAGCACCATCTTGTAACATTTTTTTTAAATGGCACGGCAGGTTGTGATATCTTATTTTGAGGCTCATTTAGAATATTTTCCAACCTACAATCACTATCTTTAAAAATGGCGGACTTGCAGGCTATCACAGTCGAGCGTTTTGTACATAGTATCACTTATAACTCAACGTTAGAGTATGTCATATAAATCTCTTTTAGAAGAATTTGTCTGAATGTGCATATTTTAATATGAGACATTTCATTTAAAACAAATTGTCAGATTTTGACATTTTTTTAAATGGTTTGTTCCATATTTTATTACATATTCGGATAGATCCTCTCAAGAGAAAAAGATTTATAAAATTGATTATAGCGTTTTGATGACAGGTTGACTTTGCAGCCTGTTAGACCGCCACTTTGAAAAATTGTGATTTTTTATTCTATAGTTATGAAGTACTCATAGGAAGCTTTAAAATGAGTTATCAGCCGCCATCCTGATATTTTACTTTTACGCTAGAACATAGTAATCCATGTCATTATCTCGAGTTTCAGCCTTATAACTTGACCCGTCCAAAAAGTAAATAGGAGGGATCCGTTTGAAAAGCACTGCATAATGTGGAAATGTGAATTGGTGAAAAAAATTAACAAATGAAAGTGAAGTTTTGTCAGTTTCTATATTACTCACTAATATCGTGACAAAACAACTCAGAAATGAGCACTTTGAAAATCCCAACAGTCGCCATCTAGGATTTAAACTAATTCTAACCTTCCCTGGATACAAAGTTAGTCAATAAAAAAGAATGACATTCGACTGTATTGCGAACGTCAAATGTCGCAAAAAACATTCGAAAATTATAACACACACTTTCAAACACTCAACACGCATTAACAATCATTTTATACTACTTAAAGCTACTGTTTTATGTTTCATTTAGATTGAACCAAACTGTCAACTATTGCAACTATACGGAAACATTTTCATTTTCCTAAATTCTCTAACCAATTCTTGCTATTTTTGACTATCAATTTCCAACAAACAACTAAAAATAGCACTAGAGTAGCAAAAATATGGAACAAACCACAAATATGTAGATTTCTTTCTTTACGTATTCGGATGTTTTCCCTGTAAGTTCTGAAACTCTAAGAAGCTTTCTTTCCCAAATCTGCTATGTTTAATCTATTTCTTAGGTAATACCAGACGGCAAATAAATTATCATACTGAAAATTTTATAAAAACATTTGGTAAAAGAACCCAAATCTATTATGATGTCAAAAAATATAAAATGTTTCTAATGCTCAATGAGGAGAAATAGAAACCAACTGTTAATGCAATTCGTGCATTGTTGGAAAAAAATAAACAGAAAATTCATTTTCCTACGTACCAAAAAGATGATATATTGTTAGAAATTATAGACATTAACTTGGGCGAAGACAGTCGATTCTTTGGAGGTTCGAGAGAAAAAACTATTTCCTAAAAGTCCTACCTTATATGGATACATTATTTTTGTACATTGTTAACGTGCTCAGCTAGTGTTGCTTTCCCAATGCTACATCACAAAATCTAGATCATAAATTCGATCTAAAAGGCTTGTTTGTTTAAAGTTTTAAGAGGAAACCATAAAGAGTTGTTCCAGTTAGCGCACAATAGAATATTATTTATTTAGGAAATCATTAATGCATAATATATGAAGAGGTGTGGGAAGTAACTATTGTTTAAGAAGATTTGTGGTAATATTAAATTGGTGCATTCATGCTTATACTTACAAAAGTTATGGCAACATGTGTGTAAAACAGATACGAAAATAGATTTGTCCAAAACTCTCTTAATTGGTATAAAGACATCTGTAGGCCGTTTCGTGAATACACTAGATAGCCATAAATACTTTTTATATAAAATGGCATATTCCAAAGTAATTCCCTTATTAATTCAAAAGGGATCAGGATCCGTAGGGGGGTTTTCAGCCCTGAAAATAAGTCAAATTTTAAGTTGATGATGACATTTCTGCATATTTCACAACACACGTTTTTCAAACTTCCTTCAACATTCCTCTTTTTATTTATTTTTTCTCGAGAACGGAAAGAATTCATAGATACAATGGGAAATGTTGGCGTCAAATCACCTTTATAGGTACTATTATTATAGTACATATATTTCATATCGTTATTAAATTTATTAAGGAGACCAATATACGTATCTAGTTTAGCTTTCGATTAACCTGTGATGATTTCCTTTTTTGTGGCCCATTTGATACCTATTAATTTCTAATTTGCAAGGTATAGGTAGGTTAGGTAAAAATGTTGTAATATATATGATGCTTATTATTATTATTCTTTTTTATCATTCATATCATATTGAAACTGACCGCATCGACCATTTATGTTCCAATGACAATAAATGGATACTGGAAAAATGTCAAAAATTTCCCATTTTTTCGAATACCATATTTAGCTGAGATGCAAAGAACAATCAAGCATTAAACCAAAAGGAAAAAATTCGAATCAAGTTCAAAATACATATGCTCGAAAAAAAAACAAGATTAAAAACATCCTAGATAAAATCAAATTAAAACGTTATTTCCAGGACCGGAAAACCCCCTGTAGACAGTAATTAATATTTTAAAAACCATAAGTGATCGCATTTCAAGAATATATTTAGGGCCCGGATAGTTATTGTCTCATTAAATTTTTATCATTTGAAATGACACATATTTCATATCGATTACTTCAGGTTCTGATGAAATTACTCACAATAAGCCATAGTGGAAGCACTATCTTTCAGCAAAAAAATATGCAAATGATTACAACGATTATTCTTCTTCAGAGTGATCGTTTTTTTTTGCGAATTACTATCATCACAATATTGTGAAGCTATACTAGCTGCCATAAAAATCTATTGTTTATTCAATGCCATCCAGCTATGGGTTAGTAAAAATACGTAAAAAACAACTTTGCTACTATTTTTTCAAAGAACAATCTTGTAAAGCCTTCAATTCCATATTGACTATTAAATTCTCTTGTATTACCATCATAATACTATTAAAATCAGCAAATCAATATATGTACTTCTATTTATACCTAGAATTTTTTCTATTTCAATTACATGTGGTGGCAACTTGATCTGAGACACCCTGTACATATTTTTATCTATTAATAAGGCAATATTCAACAGTTGAACATCCATGTTTACGCGTTAACAGACACTACCTCAACCATCAGATGAAAACAATAGAAATTTTTTTTCGGATAGCTGCCGCTTTTGGAAATCCATCACATTTTGAAAAATATCATCTTCGAGGTAATATGCAGAAGCCATGTTACAAATATAACTCGCAAATTATGAGAAAGTGTACAAAAGCCAAAAATTCAAGAGCACAATTTTTTTGTATGTATTCTTAATCGAAACAGCAAACACCCCAGCTGGTGTTATACGGGTTAAATAGTTACAATGGAACGTTGGACCGGAGCGCAACGTGATTTTGCTATCGAGGCTTACTTTAAGAGGGGGGCCAAAAGATGCCCAAAGTAAAAATCTATTCAAAAAGTGGATTAAGAGGTTCCGCGAAACAGGCTCTACTTTTAGTCAACCCATCAACCGAAGAAAATGTGCGTCGGGTAAGTGATTCGATCATTGCAAATCCTCGGCGTTCTGTACGGAAGCATTTCGGTGCTTTATGAATCCCCAGCATGGCATAGTGAAGGAAACAATGGGTTTTCATCCTTATAAAATCCAATCAGTTCATGCTTTAAAGGAAAGTGATTACGTATGCAGCTGTAAGACAACTTTGCTTTGTCTGCAAGTCAACTGCATCCAATAGCTTAATAGCTTGCAGTTGCAATATTCCCTGTCACATTCCTAACTTATACTTTTGATTTTGGTTTTTACCCTTCGGGACACATGGTTCTAATAAAAAAGTAATTTCGATCCAACCCAATCTCAGTAAAGAATTAAATATAATCACATAAACCACGGGATCGAAGAATAAAAATAAATAGAGTATCTAATGCTGATTTGAAAAAGATATATGACATAGGTTCGTTTCGTCAAACCAAAGTAATTAAAAAATAATAATATCCCTATAGTTGGGTTTGAAAATGACAGTTTATCCGATTAAATCAAGTATTTTAAAATCGTATTTAAAGGATTTGCTGTACATGATGTGTGCATCAGCTTAGATATGGCAGATATAAAATCTGTTCAGGTAGTTGTTGAATCGTCCAAGCTACTATTTACCCCAATATGTATCCATCAGTTACATAATATAATACTGTTTTCAATGTTTTTAATACTACCCTTAAATAATATGAAAAAGTGTTAGCTTTAGCTTCGATGAGAAGACAAACTTCAGGAAATATATTTTTTTAGACATTTGAGGTTTTATAATATTAATCCATGTCATGCTATGTACAACATTACAACATCTATGCATACTCGATAAAAACTCAAGAAATGATTTGCTGATGATATGAAACAAACGACTATCACATAATTTCAAGGCCTACTTGGGAAATTCTGTTTTTTTTAATAACCAAGGTATGGCATTGTTAATGTATGGGTATGTATAATTTTTAGAATCCGAATTGATACACGTATTCACCTATACAAAAATCGAACATGGCGTCTATAAAAAAATGTCGATGATAGATGACAAAATAAAAAACGACATCTGGAGGAGAAAAAGTGGCAATGTTAATGTTCTACTGGGTGCGCCATCTATTACTTTTTTTATCTATAAGTTTAAGTGTTACCATGTGAGTCAAACGTCAAGTGGTATGAACTGTCAAACGTATGCCATTTATAGTCACGGATTCATTTAGAACACAACAACGCATTTTGGTTATCCAAAGTTATTATGAAAACGGTCGAAATATAAAAAATACTTTTTGCAAACTTCGCACTAGTTTTGGCCGACATGGACGCCCTACAGAGCCTGGAATTCGTTGGATTGTTCATCGTTTTGAGGAAACTGGTTCAGCTGAAGGTCGTAGACCATACCAACATGCTCGTCCAGCTCGTACTCGTGAAAACATAGCCTCAGTGAGTGAAAGTGTGCGAGAAGATCCAACCACCTCGACTAGGCACAGTTCGCAACAATTGGGAATTAGTGAGACCACTTTACGCCGGATTTTACACATTGATTTACACCTCCATCCATACAAAATCCAACTAACACAAGAATTGAAGCCGGCAGACCATCAACAGCGGCGTGTTTTTGTTAATTGGATGCTGGAAAGAGAAGACGGATTTTCGGCCAAAGTGCTCTTTTCTGTTGAGGCTCATTTTCACCTCAATGGGTACGTAAATAAGCAAAATTTCAGGTTCTGGGGGGCTGAAAATCGACACGAATATCATGAACAATCTCTCCATCCTGAAAAAGCGACTGTTTCATGCGGATTATGGGCTGGTGGCATCGTTGGACCATTCTTCTTTGAAGATGCCGAAGAATAGGCCATTACCGTCAACGGGGAACATTATCGCGGCATGTTAACAGACTTTTTGTGGACACAATTGGATCGTACTGGTACCGACGATCTTTAGTTTCATCAAGACGGAGCAACTTCTCACACATCTCGCCAAATAATCGCCTTATTGCACACGAAATTTCAAGACCGCATAATTTCACGAAATTCAGATGTCAGTTGGCCCCCCAGATCGTGCTATTTATCACCTCTTGACTATTTTCTTTGGGGATTTTTGAAAGGAAAAGTGTATGCGAATGGTCCCCGGACAATTCAAGACCTAAAGCGCAATATTCGGACTGAAATTGCGGGCATAGGACCGATTATTCTGGGAAAAGTCATTGAAAATTTTGATCTTCGGATGTTGGCCTGAAAACGATGCCGTGGTCGTCACATGACTGATATTATTTTTCATACATAAATGGCATAAACCCACATTCATTTGTCAATAAAAAAAATCGATTTCACCTCGTAAAAAGCGTGTTGATTTTTCAAATAGAAAAATAAGTAATAGATGACGCACCCTGTATTTATTTTAAAATCCAATCTCAAATAAAATTAGGAAAAATAAAAACGATTTTGGCAAAATTCAGTTTCTCTCCGGAAATTACGAAGCTTTCTGAGTGCCATTTTCTTAGTTACTTAGATACGCCACTTTGCCCCCATTTAAGTGACTTCCGTATCTCTTACCTTTTCCGAAATATCAATGGTGAGAGTCGAATTTGAACCACCCGATTTAGTTGAACCCCTGCGTTTAAACAAACCCATGAGGAGCTCATTGATGTTTGTTCTTTTTTGATAGGCTTGATTTTTTGTGTCTGTTTCAATTTAGATTAAACATACCTGTGCGAAACATTTTCATAGATGCAAAGTTTAATATCAATAAAATGGTTTGGCTAAGAGTATTTTAACGCAATATGTACGAGTATATAGAGGGAATCAAGCAGACATGTAAAAAATACTAATAGAACTCCATTACTGCCTGGGATATGTTTAAATTAATTTTTACCATGACAGTGGCCTTGTTCAAGGTAAAATTGACAAAGATGAATATATTTTATGTTTATTTGTCTTCCAGGTGACAGTTTTTTTGTTTTGTTTTCATTACAATTTTAAGATGGCACCGCGTAAAACCAGCAAAGCCCAGATCCCAAGGAGGCAAGACAACCATGAAGTTCCATCAGCTTGAAAACCGCAGTATAAATTAAATTAAAAGTACTTATATTTCATTTTCATGTGATGGCCGAGATAACACACAAGTATTCCATTTAAGAGTATCCTTATGTAAAATGTTGTAAAAAGACTAGTCTCCTGTCGTTAGGTGAAAAATTCTTCACTATAACCTAGACATTTTACACTAAAAACTGTTTATATCATCAGTACTTCGTCTTAAAATATATGCTTGGGAGCGGAGAAATGCAGTAAATAAATATCACTATCTTTGGTAAATTCAACTTATGACTATACTTTACAAATGTCATGCTGTCCCTTTAAGCAAAAAGATTCAGATCTCGTACGTGTGGAAACTGCTTGTAACACAAGTGAAGTAGAATTGACTGGGGAATCACCAAAAAAATACTGTTTCATAGGATAGTAGGCCAACCAACAACACAGAATATGACTACTTTTGCACTATGTCAAATATATCACCATTAGTCGACACAGGAAAATTTTCAAATATTATTCTCAATAAAGAAGGCACTCTTTCGATCCAAGGCCCCCTTATTGCCTTGCATAGTCGACAACTCCAAATCTTTCTTAATTTAATGCTTTCCTCATGATCATTTTGGCTTTCCGGTATTTAAAAAACTAAAAATTGATACACAGGTCACAGATCGAAACAGACCGTTCCACGTAGAAAAATACTCTGATTCGCTTTTTTTAAACATTTTTTTTCACCAAGCACCTCTTTTACCGACTCTGTATGTTGCCATTTAAAAAACAGCGTCGCCCTCGACAACTTTTTCAGATTTCTCATGAACTTTTCTCTAATGTTGGTAGTTTCTGAGATATGAGCAATTTAATATTTGAGAAAGTGAAACATGTGCAATATTTTCATCCTCAAAAGGAAATATAGAAAAAAGGAGGATTTAATGTCGCCAAAGTTCTTGAAGGTTCTTTTCAAACACTCATTAACAAAATTCAAAAACATTTTAAGAGCTATTATTATTGCACACCTTTATCTTTTCATTGTTAATCAAGTATGAATCATGATGAACAAACGGAGAACAAAGGTTTCCAATGAAAATCACCTAAAATACTTTGGTATTTTTATTTGAAGAATATTTAAGAACTTTGGCAACTTTATGATTTTGGATTTTTCATACTGCTTCTTTTGACTCAAAATTTTTTAATTAGTAAATTGCTTAAATCTCGAAAACTATCGACTTTAGAGAATGGTTCGTAAGAAACTTCTTGATTCAGAATGACCCAAAAAAGCTATAAAAATTTTTTTTTGCAGATTCGTTAAATGGGGCATTTTGAAAAATTTTGTACAAAACCGAATCAAAATATTTTTCCTGGCAGATGCGAAGATACTTCCTGGACTAAATATTGATTGGTCTGAACCAGTTTTGAGGAAATTTTGTACTGAACAGAACTCAATTTTTGTGAACCATCAGTTAATTCCACTACACTATATTGGCAAAGTGTACAATTTTTATAGATCGCAACAATAAAGTTAAGGTGAGAATCGCCTGAACCAAGTCGTTAGTAAATTAGTTACTATTTATTGAGCAAGTGTTACTACGTTTAAAATGAATGGCTTATAATTTGGCTGAATTACGTTAGTGTGTTTTTGGCATATACGATTAGGAACTTCCTCAGGAATATATGTGAATCATTTTATACAACATAATAAAAGCTGCGTCAGCATTCAAATGATTATTTTGAGGCATTCGTGGTATACAATGAAAAAAAAATGAAATACTGATGTAAGGGCGAGACTACAGTGTGGCCAGATCTTTCAACATATTGAGAAGGAACTCCCAAATTTTTGAAAAAATTTCAAAAGTCTGGAACGCACCCTGAGAATACTTATTTTGAGAACGAATATTTGAGTACACTTTTTTTTATTTACAATCAATGCTTATGTTACATGGCAGTTTCACACGATTTATCAAGTAAAATCACTGGCATCAAAAATGATGTGAAAGAAAAATTCGTACACGCATACCGGCAATACCCACAATAGTATCCCTCCCAAAACTGAGTCCAAAATGGAGTGAAAGGTTTATGGATAGGACGAACGGCATACAGGGTATCCCAAAAATAAGTGAGCAACCTCACGCATACATAGGAAATATAAAAAATAATACAAGTTTCCTCGAAAAATGTCCAATATTTCTACGAAGAAACGGGATGCCACTGGAAAACGACACTGCATGTATAAATCATCTGGATTAAAAAAATATTTTTTTGCAAACTGAAAAAGAAAATATTTTAATTCCATAAATTATACCGTTACTGAGAGAACAGTCCTATTAACTGGTTTCTGCAACCGATCCACAGCGGTTTGGCAAAACTCTCAACTTTTTTGTTGCATTTGGATGTACTTTTTACCCTAGAAATATCGGCACGTCTTTCTGGAACACCCTGTATAAGCAGCTGCCCCCACCCATGCCCCTCCACTGTAACCCCTCCTCCGAATCACCTCATGATATGTGGCTAGCACTGAGTGGTGTTCCCTGCCGCCCCGCCATTGGTCGGACAGCCGCTGACGTAGCCGTTGGCCGTCTGCGTCACCCCCACTCGGATGCCCCCCTCCGTGATGCTGGGAAACTGGTGGTGGGTGTCGATGTCCAATTCGTCCGATTCATGCGACTCGGAGGACGTGTAGCCGCGAAGGCGGTCCGAGACGCGCTTCAGCGGCGTGAGTTGCTCCTCCTGGTTAGGGGAGGGGGTTGGCCGTGAAGCGCGGGCCTCTGCGCCGGCCGGACTGTGGTAGAACGACACCTGGAAGAGAAGGAAAAGTGGCGTCAGGTAGACCGACTATATTTCTCACGCTTTCGTTAGAGGTGTTTTAAAACGTCGTGGGCCGTGACCGTTGTCAGATATTAGAACGGCGGGAAGAATATTACCATAATCACAAATATCGACTTTTTCGAGGCAGGCTGTCTGGCAACTGGCACTCGGCTTTGAACATCGAACGAAGAAGTATCGGTAATCATTGGTGTGCGCGTATAGATTACTATTTTGTATGTTGGATTTCCTTTATGTTAGACCATAGTTGTGAATATTGTTTTTTATATTCAATATGTGTGTGTAAAAGTTTCGGAGATTGTAGATGACTTATTGTATGAAACGGCGTTAGCACTGAAGTTGGTATTGTTCTTTTTCATGTATAAAGCTTTGATAATCCGAGATGTAACGTATATGCGTTTAATTATGTTAATCAAATGTTTCTCCTAGATCGACTGGAACGTATTACCACACGCTTCTATTCACATTTTATTTGCGAACCTTTTCAAAGAAACATGAACTTCAATATGATAATTTTACTCAGATCTATGATAATATTTTTTCTTAAAAGGGATAAGAACCAGCACAAGGTTGTTCATAGCCAGTGTCGCTAGATTGAGCCGTGAAGCTGCAAACAATGATGGAGTAAATCTTGCGGGAAAATCGGAGCTTTCAGAAAAAAACTTCATAAATTAGGTTTTTGCTGGAAAAAAGTGGAAGATAATTGGAAACTATTGATTGAAAAACAAAACATTCGTTTAAAACGAATTGAGTTTTTAAGGAAATTGAAGAAATATATTAAGTGACATATAAATCCGAACACCCAGTTTAAATGGTTTTATTTTAATAAAAGTTGGTGAATGTATTTAATTTACTTTTTTTTTTTTTTTTTTTAGTAGACTCTTCGGTCTCCTGATCAGTCGCCGTGCGCTGTGCGGGTTCGATTCCCGTCTCCAGGAGAAATGTTTCTCTTGGCCATGGATGTTGTGATTGTCCGTAGGTGGTAGATGGTCTCTGACTGTCGAACGCGGAGGTACCACCCGGCGGTTCTCGTAGGCGGAGCCAGAATGTGTGCATGTTGCATGCACACGTGTTCCCTCGCCAGAGTCCGTGTGGCGTCCCCCCTTTCCCATGTATCCCCCATAGCCCCACGGTACCCAATGGGTGCTTAGGCCTCAGGCCTTCGTGGTAGTTGGAGTATAAAAAAAAAAATCTTACTGTAAATAACAAGTGAAAAAATTTTCAGCCTTATCAGTTGGACATTGCGGTTTTTATACTGCTTTTTTTTAATTCACTAACGCTCTAAAAATGAATATTTCAGCCGCAGTAAAGAATCAACGTTGGCGGATTTTGGTTCTTGACATCCTTTACGATCGGTTACGATGCCTAGAGTACGGAGACCTGTACGATTTCGTCAACATAGTGAGTTTGATAGGGGCCGTATAGTGGGACTTCGGGAAGCTGGACTTTCTTTTCGGGCAATTGCAGTTAGAGTGCAAAGAAGTGTAGACACTGTGGTTAGGTGTTGTCAGGCATGGCTTCGAGAAGGCCGAACGCATAGAGCAAGGGGCACTGGACGCCGCCGTAGAACAACAGACCGTGAAGATCGCCGCCTAAGATTATTGGCCTTAAGGGACCGTTTCTCCACTACCAGGTCCATTGCAAATGAATGGTTTGCAGAACACGGAAGACCGATTGGCATGCGAAGTGTTTACCGATGAATGAGAAGTTTTGGCTTGTTTTCATACCGGCCACACTGGGTCCTCCCTTTAACTCGAGAACACCGACGTAATCGCCTTGAGTGGTGCAGACAACGGTCACTCTGGGATCAGGAATGGAACAGTATTGTCTTTAGCGACGAGTCTCGATTTTGTTTAGGCATGCACGATGGTCATGCCAGGGTTAGAAGGCGACGTGGTGAAAGGAGGAATCCACAGTTTTTTGTTGAAAGACATGTTAATCACACTGTTGGAGTTATGGTTTGGGGTGCTATAGCTTATGGTTCCAGGTCACCTTTAATCTTCATCAGAGGTAACATGAACGCGCAGCATTATATCCACGAAGTTCTAGAACCCCATCTTTTACCCTATCTTGACACCCTGGCAGATCCCACTTTCCAACAAGATAATGCCCGACCACATGTTGCAAGAGTCACAATAGACTTCTTTCAACATAATGATGTCACATTGTTACCATGGCCACCAAGATCTCCCGACTTATCCCCAATTGAGCACGTGTGGGATATGATGGGTAGGAGATTGCTCAATTTGCAACGTCCTCTTCAGACTCTAGAAGCACTTCGAGAGGAGTTGGTGGTTGCCTGGAATGAGATACCACAGGAGGACATTGACCACCTGATCAGAAGCATACCTAGGCGCGTTGGAGAATGCGTAGCACATCAGGGTGCATCCACACGCTATTAAAGGTCAAAGAACTTTAAAGCAGTGCAATCATTTTGAAATTTTTATCATTTACTTATTATGCTTCATTAAGTACTTATACAAAATTTTATTAAAATAAAACCATTTAAACTGGGTGTTCGGATTTATATGTCACTTAGTATACAAGGAAATGTTGTATGATACATGTTTTCAGTCCATTCAGCAATATCGATATCTATCAAAAAATTGTCATAAACCTTAAGAGATGACTTTATAGGTATTTGAATTTGTTTTATTGGACATGTGACCAAAGAAAAAAATTTAAGCGTTAAGGTACATGAACGATAGCAAAAACCAGTGTATACTGTAGGTATAGGTATGCTTTAACAAAAATGTATTGAAAAATGATTTCAATGAAAGACCGCATACTTAACAAATGAAGATTTTTGTTTTCAAAATAATTTCCTTAAGTTTGTAGAAGTAACAGTTTGCTCTAGAAGAGACCTTTTCCCAGGTAGGAATATTGTATACAGCGATGAGACTTACATGAATACCATTTTCAATGTTCCGTTAAAGAATACGCGTTCTGTAATTAATTTATGTTGTATCAACACACCAAATTATTTAATAGGAGCGTGACAAAAATTACCGAAATGATTTGACTGAACAACAGCAGACCTAGTATCAGCTATGTTTTTAGCAATGCTTGTACTGTGTCTAACAGTCATGGCTCACGACGTTTTAAAACACTTATACATCTTCTTATTCAACTTTGCATCTAGTGTAATTTTATCAATGTATACTTACCATCCAAAAACAATGAGACGAGGGTAGGTTTATCAATGCATGCATGGGGGCCAAATATTAAATGACAAGAACATTTTTTGATAAAAATTTAATTTTTCATCTTCAGGATTCTCCACAAGCTGAATCAAGATTCATTAGTTGGGAAATTATTAGGATTAGGTGAAATCCGTGACATGGTTATCATCTTTGATATTCAATGGGATAAATGACTTAAGTATATAATAACACTGATGAACAAAATTAAAATTATTTTTTTGTGACATGGACAAAACAAGGTGGTTATTATGTAAAACGTACCCAAAAAGCCGGAAATGGCATTCGATTTTTTTCTATCGCCCACGGTTTTCTTCCAATAAGGCATTTTATTTGCTGCTCATACTCGTAAAATATAAAATAAAGTTCATATGCTTTCAACACAAGAGGAGTGCAAGTACGTTTTTGGGATTTGAAAGTTAGCTCTCCGCACACACCGTTTTAACAAAAATTAAAAGTACTCAGAACATCTCAGTACTCTTCAACACAGAAAACGTAACTGACTGGGTTGCTATTAGTCTACTAATAAACGCAACATGCTTTCCAAGCATAGAGCTCGCATATAATAAACAGGAATAGACAGGTCTTAACATTATATATGTGCGTCATCGCATAAACGCCGAGAAATGCAGCAATATGAGATGTTACGTAAAAGTAGATGTTACCGAATATCTGTGGGTGATAGAAAAATTATGTTTTTAGATTTGATTTAAGGGTCTCAAAATATACTAAGTGACATATAAATCCGAACACCCAGTTCAAATGGTTTTATTTTAATAAAAGTTGGTGAATGTATTTATCTTACTGTAAATAACAAGTGAAAAAATGTTCAGCCTTATCAGTTGGACACTCCGGTTTTTATACTGCTTTTTTTAATTCACTAACGCTCTACAAATGAATATTTCAGCCGCAGTAAAGAATCAACGTTGGCTAATTTTGGTTCTTGACATCCTTTGCGATCGGTTACGATGCCTAGAGTACGGAGACTTGTACGATTTCGTCAACTTAGTGAGTTTGATAGGGGCCGTATAGTGGGACTTCGGGAAGCTGGACTTTCTTTTCGGGCAATTGCAGTTAGAGTGCAATGTAGTGTAGACACTGTGGTTAGGTGTTGTCAGGCATGGCTTCGAGAAGGCCGTACGCAAAGATCAAGGGGCACTGGACGCCGCCGTAGAAAAACAGACCGTGAACATCGCCGCCTAAGATTATTGGCCTTAAGGGACCGTTTCTCCACTACCAGGTCCATTGCAAATGAATGGTTTGCAGAACACGGAAGACCTATTGGCATGCGAAGTTTCATATCGGCCACACTGGGTCCTCCCTTTAACTCGAGAACACCCACGTAATCGCCTTGAGTGGTGCAGACAACGGTCACTCTGGGATCAGGAATGGAACAGTATTGTCTTTAGTGACGAGTCTGGATTTTGTTTAGGCATGCACGATGGTCGTGCCAGGGTTAGAAGGCGACGTGGTGAAAGGAGTAATCCACAGTTTTTTGTTGAAAGACATGTTCATTACACTGTTGCAGTTATGGTTTGGGGTGCTATAGCTTATGGCGCCAGGTCACCTTTAATCTTCATCAGAGGTAACATGAACGCGCAGCGTTATATCCACGAAGTTCTAGAACCCCATCTTTTACCCTATCTTGACACCCTGGCAGATCCAACTTTCCAACAAGATAATGCCCGACCACATGTTGCAAGAGTCACAATAGACTTCTTTCAACATAATGATGTCACATTGTTACCATGGCCACCAATCTCCCGACTTATGCCCAATTGAGCACATGTGGGATATGATGGGTAGGAGATTGCTCAATTTGCAACGTCCTCCTCAGACTCTAGAAGCACTTCGAGAGGAGTTGGTGGTTGCCTGGAATGAGATACCACAGGAGGACATTGACCACCTGATCAGAAGCATGCCTAGGCGCGTTGGAGAATGCGTAGCACATCAGGGTGCATCCACACATTATTAAAGGTCAAAGGGCTTTAAAGCAGTGCAATCATTTTGAAATTTTTATCATTTACTTATTATGCTTCATTAAGTACTTATACAAAATTTTATTAAAATAAAACCATTTAAACTGGGTGTTCGGATTTATATGTCACTTAGTATACATAAAATACACCCAAAAATTGTCATGCTACAAAATCATCTGTTTATCAGTATAATTTCAAGGCGTCCTCAGGAAAATTCGTGCATAATATGCAACATCCCCAGCTAGATCAAAACTTCTTCCTTGGAAGAGGCATAATAGAATATACTAAAAAATGCATGTTTCTGATGTCATGTCTAATTTGCTGTGAATGTTACGTAGCTGGATAGCTTGAACGTTTTTTTTTTGTTAATCACAACAAAGGATTTAACTTTTGGCTACCATTTCATATTCACGTTTTCTATAAATACTATTAGGATGTTTCCTATTTGTTTAAGTATCTTACCTGCGCGAACTGCGCCGATGCATCGTCCAACAACAACTGACACAATTTAAGGAACGTCGGCCTAGCTGAAGGCTTGTGCTGCCAGCAGTACCTCATGAGCGTATACAACTTGTCCGGGCAGTTCTCAGGTCGTTCCATGACCCCACCGTCTATGACATACCTATAGAAATACAAATGAACAATGGTTATCACAGTAAATGTGTCGACACCTCAAAATTTATTATGTAAGCTGGGCAGCAATGTCTGGATGTTACCTCCTAGGACCGGTTTTTCAATTGCAGGTTAACTGTGATTTTACAGATTATCAGAAGTAAACTCTTAAAATGTGTTTTTCAATGTTAGGTTTCTCCTAAAAAGGTAATTAATTTTATCCAGAAGACCATATCCTAGTTAACTAGAAAGTTGAAGATACACCGCAATTCCTAACCTTTTTTGTTTGTTTATTTAAGATTTATTTAGCATGATTGCTAAGAGTACAATTACATTCTTCTAAAAAACTAAACAATTACATAACATACAGACATTCAGAAAAAAAACAGAGACATGAAAATTGTGGCGGATGACACGACACAAAAACATCGAGCTTCACAAAACACGATATTTCAGAGGTAGAAGCAGCGTTGCCGTACTGTATTAGTTAACCAGAGATTTACGGACAATCAATAGTTAACTTACAAGTTATAGTTACGAATTTAGAAAATTAACCAGCGATTGAAAAACCGTGCCGAAGGCATAACCACTTTTCTGTGTCCTCCTGGTTTTCTTCTTTCTTTTCCTCTATCCTCTTCCTTGACATAGTCAGGTTTTTGGGCAAGCCAGATCGGCAGATTCGACATGTGTACAGTGATTAATGGGCACAAACTTTTTATTTGACAACAAAGAATGATAAAATGTGTTTTTTTGGGATTCAATCGAAAGCGTCGACAGGAACGAAAAACTTTCCATATAAGATTTTTAGGTCATACAAAATGAGACCACACGTAAAAAGCTCCGACTAATAGCAAAAATGTAATGGCCGAAAAACGAGGTAAAATGCAGGTTTTGGCACTTGAAAACGAGTTTTTTGGGATTCAATCGAAAATGTTAACAGTTACGGAAAAACTTTTCATATAAGATTTTTAGATATTCATGAGAACAAAATGAGGCTACACGTAAAGAGATCCGACTAAGCAAAAATGTTATAGCCGAAAAACGAGGCAAAAGGCAGGTTTTGGAGACGATAGTTTCACGCATCTATCTGAAATTCACCAAATCCATAGGATTCATACTTCTAAATAAAATCAAAATTGGATTATATTGTGACACAAGTACTTTTTTGAGAATTTCTAATTGTTTATACCAAAACACCTGTTTTCCGGCCATCACTAGGTACTAGTTTATTGAGCAATATACATGGTTCATTTAGTAGCAAAACACACGTGTTTACCTTGCCGGTATGAATCACAAACCATTCCGAAAGATAAATGTCATTTTTATACGAAAAACAAAGATTTCTTCCAAACAAATTCAAACATTTCGTATTTGTGAATAATTGAAAAAATGCGCTACGATATTCGGAAAACATATTACTTTGCACATTTTAAAACATAGCGGATGTGTCTATCATTCTTTTGCTGCGAATTACTCAGAAGTACGAAATGTTTGAATTTGTTTAGAAGAAAAAAACGTAATCCATCCTTTTTACATAAAAGTAACATTTATCTTTCGAAATGGTTTGCGGTTCATATCGGCATAACTTTTTGCTATTAGTCTGATCTTTTTACGTGTGGTCTCATTTTGTAGGTCTCATAAATACCTAAAACTCTTATATGAAGAGTTTTTCCGTTTCTGTGAACACTTTCGAATGAATCCCAACAAACACGTTTTCTCATTCTTTGTTGTCGAATAAAGTATTCCCACAAAAATTAGTGTACCCATTTCATGCGTCCATGTTTTGGATACCCCCTCGAAAAACTTGCAGCATTAGACCAATAGTGATAATAACTTTTTCATTATCATAACTATGAAATCATACAGTATACTTCCTAACTGAAACTGAAACTTCAAAGTGTGATGCATTAGGTCGGTCCAAGACATTTTTTATTGTAGGATTTTATTTGAAAAATCGGATTAACAAAGTTTATTTGGGATCTTCATAGCAGCCGCGGCGCCCTCGCATTTAGGCTTCTGTCTGCGCGGCTACGTCGGCGTAAAAAAATATGTTGTCTATGGATAGTTTTTAAAATGAGTTGAAGATGCATAGCAAGTGTTAGTGGTAGATCATGTAGATATATGTTTAAGAGATTCAGAATATTCGCACTTATGTTTAAATCACAACACATTATTCGCCACTAGCCACTATTTTTGGAAATAAAGAATTTCCACGATCTAAATACATTCAGGAATCTCTATCGATTTAATTGTAAATAGTTTTTATAGCCTGGAAAAATATTGTCATTAAATGTTATTTTCACTATTTCACTGTTTTCTGTTTTTTATATTTAGATTTAACTATTCCTATACAATATCTGTTGGCAAGAGGAAATTATACAAATAAATAAGAGACAGAAGAAGAAAGTTGTGTTTTTTTAGTAGTACTTTTAATAGCTTAATCTAAAAAAGTCATTGACGTATTTTTTTCTCAATACTATGGCTGTGGTGCCCACTGAAGCGACAATGGAGCTAATAATTTCAACCTAGTTACAGCTAGATTACTTCAAATAATTGCAACAAATTTCCAAATCGCTTTTATAAATATTTGTTTTTTTTAACTTCAACGCCCTGTATCTACAAAGCAACTTCGGACACATGATGATAGGAACTTTTTTAAAACAACCTAACGAATCATCCTCTGAAGTTTCGTACCATAGTTAGGAAACACCCTGCAAGATAGTGAAGCTATCTAGAACTTTATGATTAGCCTTCTCAAGGTCACACTTTCTTGAGCACACGATGGAAATGTCATCCTGGTTCTTAATGAAATTGATAGGTTTTAGTTCAGTTGAAGTTGATGAGACAATGATGATAAGCAACGAAGTGAGCTACTCCACTATTTTTACCCTAAGACGTACCTGAGTACTTGGTCGTTGGAAAGTCCTTGGTACGGCTGCGAGGCCAACGTAGCCATCTCCCACAGTACCACTCCATAGCTCCATACGTCACTGCTGCTGGTGAAGACGCCATCTTTGAGACTCTCGGGGGCCATCCAACGGACCGGCAGTAGTCCTTTCGTGCCTTTTCTGATGATTCCAACCAAAAATGATTATCTTGATACTCTCAAAATACCAGAAGCACTAATTTCGAACGTACTAGTCCTTTTCGTACGACCAGACTGAGGCAACTGTGACATTTGCTTTTCAATAAGTTATACGTATTGTAGTAGATAATCGAAGGTTGAGAGTTTAGGCCATAGGCGAGAAAAGTCATGAAGATTTTCAAATTTTAGACATGTTTTTATAGAAAAAGAATAGAAAAGGAGTAGATTTTCAAAAACGTTTGGCGTTACTAGAAAAATTTCTTTTTTTATAAGAAATATACATGTAAATGAAATTCAGAACTTTAAAGGGTAACACCACTGTAACGGCTTAAAAAAAGTTATTCGCGATATATTTCAGTAACAAAAAATAAAATTATCATGAAAAAATATTCAAAAATGGCGCCATCAGAGCGTTTTACTCGATACGCGATTATTCAAAACGGCACCCAACATAATTCGTACAAGTGTAACTTTTTTATTCGATTTTTTTACAATATCATTAAAATAATAATTTGACGTGAAACATATTTCTGTATTATGCCGCGTATTTTTTGAACAGTGTCAAAATATTTTTCACATATCGATAGAATACCAAAGTTTTTTTTAATTGGCTCATGACATAACCATACCTTAACTTGATGTGGACACGAAATTTGTACTCAGTTGCAGCGATATTTCTCGAGAAAATATGGAAATAAAATTAAAAAATTGAAATAACGATTTTTTTACATTTTTGAATAAGGTGCGAAATTTGTTTGTTTGCTTAAGATCTATTTAGTATGATTGCTACAATTACATTCTTCTGAAAACTAAACAATTACATAACATACGCATATTTAGAAAAAAACAAGAAAATTTGTATCTCTAAGAATTTTCATTGTCCATGAAATATTCCTTTAATTTTCTTTTAAATATCTTTAAATTACAAGTAGTCTTTATATAATTATTTAGTTTATTAAATTCAAGCAATCCTTTCTCAAATATTGATTTACTAGTTATATTACTATTGCAATTTTGTAAATGAAAATCTATATTTCCTCTTGTATAATAATTATGGTAATGATTATTCAATTCTATGTAGTGTTCTAAATGTTCTGGCAAAAGATGATTTTTTATTTTAAATATAAAAATAAGAACCAAATATGATATGAAATTTTTTATATTCATCCACTGCAATTCGTATAAGATATATTTTATTTTTGTGTACTTATTTTTATTCAATATTATTCACATAGCTTTATTTTGCAAGGCTCGTAATTTTGAGAATACAGCTTCATTGGCAGTGAACAAGATAGTTGAACATTATAGTAAATGGAGTAGAATGATTGTATTATAAACTATTTTCTTGGAATAAATACCAAGACTATGAGAAGCCCTATAAAAGTAATTTGTTTTTTTGGCAATTTTTGAAATAATCTATTCATAGTGATCCTCAAACTTTAGTTTACTATATATATATATACAGGGTGACTTTGAAGTTGAGTCATTAATTTTCAGATAATGATTGTAGAAGGAAGATAAACCAAAATATGTGTGTAAAAATAAAAAAAAAATAAAAAAAATTTTTTACCTTGTTTTATAAAGTATCCTCCCGACAAGTATTTCAGTGCGGACCTGTATTTGATCGTGAGGTCCCCTCTGAGGTCTTAAGTCACCTGATTCACGAGCCCGTTGTACTACATTAACAAAGGCACGAGGCGTTGGTTGCACTCGATTGGGAAACCGATCCGCATAAACATGTGCCATTTTTTATTTCGTTTGAGCCACGCAACAGATACCACCATTCACTGTCACTGACTGTATACAAATGAATAAGATACTTGTAAAAACATCGTTCCAAATTCTTTCGCTTTTTTGTTTCCGATGCGATGAACCGATACGGCGGATTATATCCGTTGTCGCCAAACACGACCACATAATATTGTTATTGAGACAGGGCGGTACTCAAACTTCCAAAGGGCTATAACTTTGTTACTTTAATTTTACCAGGAAATTGGTGAAGGAAAAAAACATTTCTTTTGATCAGATCTACTCACTGTTAAAATAAATGACTCAACTTCGAAGTCACCCTGTATACAGGGTGTCCGCAAAGTTGGGGGTTTTCCTTTACACGACGTGTAGATCTTGAAAACATAAGCAATTTTTCTTAGTACCATATACACCAATGTCTTAAGAGAACCGAGATAAAGGACTCTGCAACATCAAAAATATCTGAATACCGTCCTGTAGCCGCGACATCACCGACTGGTACAAGGTCACTGTCTCAACCCGACGACAGAACTGGGTCGGGGTCAGTGTGTCAGGTCAGTATGCAACCTTCAAGCGAAGGTTAAGGTCACGCGTGTAGAGGTAATTGCGTAGACGAGAATCCCTCAACAAGCACTAGAGACGTGGCTAGAGAAGTGCAAGTATCAAAAACTAAAGTGTGGCAAACGCTGCGTTTCACGTCCAACGTGTACAAGCCCTTCAACCTGACGATTTTCCAGCAAGAGTGCGGTTTTGTGAGTGGCTGTTGCATCAACATGACAATAATCCGGACTGTTTGAAGTGCATATTGGTGACAGACGAATCTACGTTCACGCGTAATGGGGTGAATAACTTTCGCAACACTCATGTTTGGTCAGTAGAAAATCCGCACGCTGTCCGTCGGCCACATTTTCAACAAACATTTTCGGTGAATGTTTGGGCTGGCATGGTAAACGGTATGCTCACTGGACCATTTATTCTCCCAAATCGATTGGACGGGATGCAATACCTAGACTTTTTACGCAACATTTTGCCTTCCTTGTTAGAAGATGTGTCATTAAGTGTAAGACAATCAATGTGGTTTCTGCGTCTGCTCGGTAGCGCATCAGCTGATTTCATTTTCTGTTGGAGCGGTATGATTTCGGACTGAGACGTACTTAGCCCTTCTCGTCAACTGGAGAGTGAGTTCTTTTTCCTTTATTTTTTTTACGTGGTCGCCCTCGTATCACTACACATTACCTTTGTTATTTCAAGGGTAGTTGTTTCTGAAAAGGAAAACCCCAACTTTGCGGACACCCTGTGTATATACACATATATACCTAAATATTTAATTGATTCAACATTTTCAATTATTTCTCCGTTTATCCTAACTGTGTTAGTATTTTCATTTAGGTATTTCCCTATTAGCATACACTTTGTTTTAGAAGTATTCAATTTTATTTTATTTACATTTAACTAATTTACGATTTTTGTCATGTCAGAATTTAGCATTTTTAAAGCAGTGTCTCTATTTTCATCTGATATGTATATTGATGTATCATCTGCAAATATCTGACGTTTACAATAATCTAAAATATTACAAATGTCAAATAACCTAATGATAAGAATATACCACTACATAGCATCACAAAAATCCTATCAGCGACCTCAGAAGAACAACATACAAAAACGTGTCCAACAGCCTTAATTCCAATACTCGCCAGGCACACAAGAATCAATATTTTTTAATTCCCCTTAGTATTTTTTTAGCTATAAACATGTACAATAAGTTTTTTTTTTTGTCTTTTGCAGCAGCTACACTGCAGAACGACTAAAATTCGCTGTTGTGCCGCCACTTTGGTATACTTTTTCTAGAATATGTTTTTGCTTCAATATTATTTTATTACCTTTGCTTTCACAAAAAAAAACATGGCAAGCAAATCATTCTTTTCGAGCATTTTAGTGGTGTTACCCCTTACGAATACCCTGTACAGCGAGTTAGGTTGGGAGTCATGTCTATGGAAATATCAACTGGTGATCAGTTGTTCACGTCAATAGACGTCAAAACGGGATGATGTTATGGAAAATTGGTTATCATTCATTCCTCTCTTTTCCCGTCGACTTTTGTCAGCTTCACCCCCGACCACACCGGCGCCACCTATCGGTAGCAAAATTTGAAATCGCTGCCACAATTTGATATTGTACTACACCTTTCCGAGTTCTGCTCAAAAATGGAATTTTCTTACCTGTAGTAATCCGTTTCGTAAATATCCCTCGTCATCCCGAAATCTCCGATTTTCACAGTAAGATCCTCCGAAACCATGCAGTTCCTGGCTGCTAGATCCCTGTGCACGAACTTCTTTGCCGTCAAATACGCCATGCCGTCCGCTATCTCTATCGCCATTTGAAGGATCTGCTTCAACGTCGGCGGTTGCTTTATCAGTTCCGGATTGTAGTTTTCAGCATCCGGCCTGAAAATATTTTGTATTAAATGAAATCAAAGGAGAAAATATAATCGTTAAGAGTTATATCACAATATTACCATTTTATGTGCAAATACTGGATAATGCTAACGGCCGGACAATGTCCTGAATGGCCATTGCAAGCGAGGAATATTGTAATTTTGACCTCTTTGGACAATGACAATAATGACCACGAAAGGGCAATGTCGATAGAAGGGCAAATGAGTAAAAAATATTAATATTCAAGAAACAAAGACAGTATCAACTAGGTTAAAACAAATATTATAACCTGGGAGCTAGAGTTCACAATATCTTTGTTTCACTTGTATCGACATTGCCCACTTTAGCTGGACATTATCATCAATGACCGGTTAATAATGTTATTGCCCAGCTCATCTTTATCGGAACCATGCACACCGATTTTTTCCGAGACCTATTTCATCGCATATTGAGTATTTTTGAAGAGATATACAAATTGTAAATGGAATAACTGTACATACCTATGCGATCGAAGATACGACTTCAGATCACCGTGAGCCATGAGCTCCATAATAACCAACGTGGGTTGGCCCTGCGAAACTACACCTAATAGCCTCACTACATGAGTTGTGTCGAAGGCTTTCATCACGGAAGCCTCGTTCAGAAATTCTAGCCTTTCCCTGGAAGACAACATGCTAGATTATTTCCAGAAAGTAAAGAATAAATGATGGCTACAGGCAAAGAATAGGAAATGTCATATTTTTTTTTTAGTTTCTTATTGCAAGAAAATCCTTGTCTCGATTTTTTATTCCCCTTCAAAACAAATAAAGATATGGCGTCAAAAAGATCGAATGGCCGAAATAAAAAGAACTGAGAATGTTCATGTCATACCAGCAAAGAAGGATTTTCCAAACTGTGGTTAGAATTTATATAAAATTTGCCCCATATAATAATTTGAAGTTGAATATGGTTTCTGATTCAGATAATGATGAAAATAATCATATTATTATTAACAAATCGACAAAAAAAGAAAGAAGACTGATAGAACCGAAGATACCAGTAGTAGTAGAAAAATGTATTTAGCACATTCGGCTACATAAACAGAATAATTGTAAACAACTTAGAATTAGTAAATTCAAGCCATATGATGTATGTTGTAAATGCTGGGCAAGCTATAATTATAGATTTAGCAAGTGACTCCTCAATTTTACTTTAAATTTTGTCAAAGTTTTCTGGTCTTTTATCTCTGTGTATAATTTATTATATTCAATCAGCCCTTGATGGAATACAGATTTGTTGCATTTGTTATACTTTTTGGTCATTAAATTGGAAGTCATGTTTATTTCTGGTATTATGTAAATGATGGTCGGCATTTGCTGATGTTAAATTAGTTAGACTTGAAGGAATTATATTATTTTTTACTTTATAAGATTATTACAAGATATTTGATAAAATGTTCTACATTGAGCCATTTTAATTTGCTAAGCATATGTCTGATTGGAGTATATTTATCTTCATCCAATATTATTCTCATGTACTTGTTTTGTAAAATTTGCTGCCTTTCAAAAATGGAATTATTTGCTAAATATAGGATAGTCGAACAGTACAAGAAATTTGGAAGAATGATGGTATTATAGATAATTTTTCTGGTATATGAACTCAGACATCCAGAAACTCTTGATAAATATCCCACTTTACTATACTATAATCTTATTTATAACTTTTTCATAATGAAATTCAAAAATTTTTCGAGAGTCAACAAAAACCCCCAGGTATTTAAAATTTTCTATGAATTCAATATCTTCACCATCAATATTCAGTTGAACATTTGTACATTGTTTTTTTCGATTAACATAGCCTTCGTTTTACTTGTATTTAATTTGATTCTGTTAGATGCCAACCATTTTGAGACAAGTTTCAAGTCTTCATTTATGTAAGAGATACCAGCCTGAATATTTTTAGTACTTATATAAATCATAGTGCCATCGGCGAAAATCTGAATTTTGCATTTTTTTACTATGACAGGTAAATAATTTATGTATAAAATAAAAAGAAGTGGTCCCAGGCTAGTGCCCTGTGGAACGCCCAACGTATTATCAAATTTGATGAAATAGTGTCAACTTTTGTAACTTGCATCCTTGTAGACAAATAATTTTTAAACCAATCTAAAACACTTCCTGATATACCATATGCCTTCAATTTACCTAACAAAATATCTCTATCAATCGTTTCAAATGCCCTCTTCAAATCCAAAAATACTGCTATGACAACTTCTTCTGAGTATATCGCTCTTCTCCAATTCTCAGTTACCAACTGGAAAGCCGTGTCTGTGGAATATTTTTTGCGCCTCCACTAAAATTTTGTTTTCTTCAATAAACTGCATTAATTGGTCATGCACTACTGACTCCAAATATTTATTCAATGTCTGGTAACACATTTACTGGTCTCATATCGCTGCATCATTTAGAATTTTTTTTTGGGAACTGGTGTTATTGTAGAGCATTTCAAATTTTCAGGAAACGAACTGCTTGTCAGTGAACAATTAATCCAATTTAATACAGGATATCACAAAATTTCGAAACAGTTTTTCAGCACGTTTTAAGTAGTGATTTCGGCACTGTTGTTGGATTTTAAACTATTTATTTTTTTTTCTGAGATAATTCAATGATACGCTATGAAATTTTGAAAGTGTACGCAACACTTTCCCCTGGAAACTGATTTTCATATAGCCAGGTGCAGCGTTGACAGTACCCACAATATCAACAATACTTTCCACAAAATATTCATTTAGTTTATTTGCAATCACCAAAGAATTTGTTTCGGTACCGCTTTCGATTTACACAATCATGCGGCTTAGAATTGATCAGTCTTTTTAAAGTTTTCCACATCTGTCGCACTTGTTATTATCGATTTGTTTATCGTACAATTTCCTTTTTTCTTCTCTAATTACATACAAACATTTATTCCTAAGAGTTTTATATACCTCCCAATCATCATTTGATTTTGTAAATATACATTTTTGTATTGTTTGTCTCTCAAATTTTGAGCTGCCTTAATATTTTTGTTATGCCAGGGTGTATTTTTTATTATGTTGTCATATATTTTTTCCATATTCTCACCAGAATTCCAATAGCAGCCAGCAAGTTCTCGTTCAAGTTTTTCGTAGTTAATGGTATTCACGATTTTCTTAATTTTTGTATCAGAAAAACGTCCTACAAAGGGCAGCATTGTCCAACTGTGATCACTAACTTTAGGTGTATGTACAGCTTTAATCCCTACACATTCGAAATTTACAATAACAAAATGTAAAGCATTTGCGACTTTCTCCTCATGAACATGGAGCGACAAGCAAATTGTTTGAGATTCAATTGTTTTGAAAATATAAATGATAATAATCAAACAAATATTATTGAATATTTCAATTCATTGGGTAGTCAGTGAGCGGAACTTATATTTGTCAGGGCTTACAAGTGAATGTGAAACGAAAAAGAAGCAGGAAGTTTCAGATGAGACTAATTTTCATACAGGTGCATACAGAATGGGGGTAAAAGATGAAAATATCAACAATAATGTTATGAAAGATGTGCCTGTATATTTTAAAGTATTCATTGCACTCCATGGGATTATCAAAGGAAAGGTTGAATATCTACAAAAAAGCTTACAAACAACAGGTAGATCAAAGAGAAAAGCAAGGAAATCATAAAACATTGCATCAGAGATTAAACAAAAAGTGTTTAATCACAATAAGTCTTTAAAGGAAGATTGAGTTATTACAGTTTAAAGAGACAGGAGGAAATAAAAATACGATTCAAAAATCAAAGATTCTGATAACTGAATTGGACATTCCTTGTTATTTAATTGTTTCAAAATGTTTAATTTGGTTTTTGTTTGATTTAAATATGTTCAATAACTAAAACGACCAACGTTAACGACAAAATTATATTAGATATAAAACATTTAATTAGTTCTAATTTTAAACTTTCAATTGTGTTTTTCTCAAAATAAGTTCATTAGGACATTATCTGTAATTTGCCTGTACCCTTCAAATGGCAGCTGCCTGACGTGGCGACTATGCTATGCTTCACGAGTATCAACTACGTTTTGAAGTCTACTGTACTTGTGTAAAGTTTGACGTTCAACGTTCCTCCAGGAACTTTTCCAATACGTTAACAAATGTTCAGTAATTCAATTCTCCAGTCTCTAGATGCCATCTGCATAATTTGACATATCTAAGCCAAGTCGCACCCTTCGACAAATTGAGAATAGAATTTGTATAGTTTGTTCACCTATGGGGTGTCACCGCATTATTTATAAAGGACTTGACAACTTTCTTTTTAAATAAAACGCATACCATATGAGATATTTCGAAAATTTTATTATTGGATTGAAGTATACTCAAAACATTTTACGTATGAAATTCGTCCTCGTTCATATGTCCACCACGGGCACGTCCGTAGCGATCGATTCGTTGAACCCAATTTTCGATGACACGGCCACATATTTCGACAGAAACGTTCAATATTGGCTCTGACGACGGCGGCTTGTCGGCATAGATCAATGATTTAATGTAGCCCCACAAAAAAAGTCTAGAGGTGTTAAATCGCACGAACTAGGTGGCCATTGGACAGGACCATTTCTCGTTGTAACACGTTCACGGAATTTTGATTTCAATATGTCGCTTGTTTCACTCGCTGTGTGGGTTTTGGCACGACATATTATTTATGTCTAGCCCATCCAAATGAGCTAGACATTAGACAGCTAGACCAAATATTGGCGTAAACGCTCTTAAAGTTGCAGTCATCGACTCGGAATTTCGGTAGTAAATTTTAATTATTTGTAAGCATTGTTCGTTCGTGTACTTCACCATGCTGAAAATGTCTTCTTTACTGAACGTTTTGACATTGACAATTCGGTAGTTTATTTAAAGGTGCGTTCTCAGTGAAAGTTCAAAGTTGTCAAGTCCCTATTGGAAAACCCGATAATTTTCCACCTCTGTAAAAGTTGTGGTACAGCATACCGCAAAGTGAATAAGATATCTCACCTATTTGTAGCATGCTCATTAACCGTTTTAATGGCACATCTAATCTCAGTTTTCCCCCGGATATCCCTGGCAAGTCCTTCCCACACCATACCGAAACTTCCCTGACCCAATTCCTTGATCAACTCAATCTTCTTCCTTTGCACCTCCCAATCGTCAGGAACGTAAATCGTTGGAACATATTCGGGATTTACGGATTGAATAAGTCTCATGTTCTCTTTTTCTTTTAGGTGTTTCCGGTAGAGCCAGCCGAAAACGACTGAGAACTAGAAAATCAAAGTTGATTTAGAATAATAGCTCATACAGCTAGGTGCAACTGAACAAAACCATCGATACTGATTTTTCTTAAAAAATATCTTTCTCTGTTTTAGCGTTTTAGATTCAGTTATACATCATTTAAAGCGTATTCGAGTATTTCAAAGTAAAATTAGAAAAGTCTTAAAATGCGTTATACTTACAGCAATAAATATGAACAGAATAATCAGGACGACAGACAGAGTATTCGTCGAGGGTTCCTCAATAACGAAATAGATACGCTCTGAGTAGTCGCCATTTCTTGCAGATGACGTGGCCATTATGCGAATACTGTAATTACCGGGAGACAGTTTTGATACTGTAAAGGATTTGGCCATCGAGTAGTTTCTTGCGTTTACGCACAATCCTAGTTTTGGTTGCTGGAAGAAAATAAAAAAATAAGGACAAAGGTGGAATAAGTTCACAAGTGGCGTGATAGACGGATAAATAGATATGCTTTATTGTCTGGAGAATGCAATCGTTCTTAAGGTGGCGCGTCCCTTTTTTAATTTTTTTTTCAACTTCCTGTTTGCTGCAGTATTCTAAATCCTGTTCATCTGATAATTTCATGATGTGTATAGAGATGACTAAAAACAAAGTCAAAAAATGCATTTTTTGTGCATTTTGTCTTCAATCGTCACTTGTTAACAAATATCAGTACCGCTCTGAAAATGTGTGCGAATATTTCTCTTTTATGGAAGTGTGAAACGAGTGATTACTTTTGTTCTTATCATTTTTCCTTTTAGAAAAATCTTTGCTTTTCTTGAAAACTCAACTTTCTGCGAGACGAGGCTTCAAGGAAATTAAAGATTTTTCGAAAAGGAAAAGTGATAAGATCACTCGTTTCATTCTTCCATAAAATAGGAATATACACACACAATTTCAGAGCTGTACTTATATTTATTAACAAGTTTCGATTGCAGAAAGAATGCACACACAATAAAATGCACAAAAATGCATTTCTTGACAAAAAAATGAAAATCGTTTTTTAGTCATCTTTATACACACCATGAAATTATCAGATGAAAAGGATTAAAATACTGCTGCAAACAGAAAGTAGAAGGGAAATCTAAAAAAAGGACATGCCACCTTAATGAAAAAGCTAACTTTGAACTAAATATAACAAAATAACACATGGTATAATCTGGTTTACATATTAGACAGTGTTCAAGTACACAGTGGAATATTTTGAATAAATTTAAGATCTTGTTGTCGACTAGTATCGCAACTGTTATTCAATGTGTCACATTTAGATTTATTTTTAAAAATAAGGGTGATTATAAAAAATAAGGATACCAAAGTCATTTTTTGAGATTTAGAACTAAAGGCCCTCATGTAGCTCTAGGATTGCTTTTAGTTGTATATCTAATCGATTATGTAGAATAAGCACTTTTTTAAACAAACTTTCAAATAAGGGTTGTCTACATGATTAATGAAATTTAATTTATGACCATCAATAGTCAGTAAAACATAGAGGTAGTCTGCTTTATGTATCAATTCATTATTTAAATTTATGACATCCGGAGAGCATTTAAATATCACAAATTTTGTCTTAGTAAATAGTTAAGTAACTGTGATCACACCATTTTTTTATTGATAAATATGAATTTACGATTTGATTGAATTTATCAAATCGCTGCTATGAACTAAAAATAGGATCGGACCTAATATTGATCCTTGAGGTATTCAATCTTCTAAATAGCGGAATCTGCAATATACAGGGTGACTTCGAAGTTGAGTCATTTATTTTAACAGTGAGTAGATCTGATCAAAAGAAATGTTTTTTTCCTTTAACATTTTTCTGGTAAAATTAAAGTAACAAAGTTATAGCCCTTTAGAAGTTTGAGTACCGCCCTGTCTCAATAATAATATTATGTGCTCGTGTTTGGCAACAACGGATATAATCCGCCTTATCCGTTCATCGCATCGGAAACAAAAAAGCGAAAGAATTTGAAACGATGTTTTTACTACAATGTACAATCTTATTCAGTTGTATTCAGTCGATGTGTCAGTCGGTAACGCGTGAGTGAATAGTGAATAAAAAATGGCACATGTTTACGAAAATGCTGAATGTAGTACAAAGGGCTCGTGAATCAGGTGACTTAAGACCTCACAGGGGAGGGCATGCCGGTGCTCCGAGACCGCACGATCAAATACAGGTCCGCACTGAAATACTTGTCGGGAGGATACTTTATAAAGCAAGGTAATATTTTTTTTTATTTTTACACACATATTTTGGTTTATCTTCCTTCTACAATCATTATCTGAAAATTAATGACTCAACTTCAAAGTCACTCTGTATATATTGCCAAACGATTGAGTGAAAAAACATGTCGATGGTTTACAATTTTTCAGGTTTAAGTTTTTAAGAAATAATCTTATGGTTCAGTGTACTCACGTTTTCTAGATCTACCCTTTGGTATTCTATAGAATACCGATATATAACTCCATTCGGGTCCTCCGGCTCCTCCCATGTTAATGTCACTTCATCTAAGCTTCTGTTACTTATCTTAACCTTGGTAATATTATCAGCACCAGCTGAAAAAAGACATGTTATGTCAGCAGTTTGGAACAATTTTAGCATAGTTCTGTCATCCTGATGACATTCGCAGAGCGACGAATCTTGTTCATGAAGTAAGAAACGCTCTCCATGAATTCCGCAATGAGCAATGGAACGATTTTCTTGGATGCTTGACTCAAGTAGTCCTCTCTGGAAAGTGGCGAAGTCCTTCAGAAACGGAAAGCGAGAATAACTCCCGCACATCGACCGTCCTGGGGGCCTAGTCTTCAGGACAGAGGACAAGGTCGAGGTTTTCGCTGCTGCTATGGAACGACAGTTCTCTCCCAACTATGATCTTGATAATGATCTCGACGAGGAGCAACAACTTGTAAGATCCGCCAGGAGATATTTTAGGGCCAACGGCGTCAGTGATCCCGGCGCCGCCATTAGTGTTTCTTCCTCAGAAGATTCTTCAGCTGAAGAGTTGCACAGCACATCAGCGGCTTCTCCCGAGATCCCGCATTGCACTCCAGCAGAGCTTCAAGGTCATATTAAAGACCTGAAGGTGCGTAAAGCGCCTGGGGAGGATCAAATCACTAATAAGGCGCTGAAGCTGCTTTCACGGAAGTCCTTGAGTTATCTCGTGGCTATTATCAGTGCCATGCTAAGGACCCAGTACTTTCGATCGGCGTGGAAGACTGCGGAAGTTATGATTCCAAAGGTGGGTTCGATATTTCCCCAGGTCTTTCGTCCCATCTGCTTCCGTCTAAGCTCGCTGAAAAGGTGATTCTACGTCACCTTGCGACATTCTCGTCAGATCACCATGTGATTCCTGACGTGCAATTTGGATTTCGGTCTGAGCATAGTACGGAGTTACAGGCGGTTAGGCTTGAAGAGCGAGTAACCAGGGGCTTCACCCTTAACGAAAGTTCTGGCATCTTGCTTCTGGATGTCTCGAAGGCATTTGACATGATGTGGCACAAGGGCCTTCTCTATGAACTAATTCAAAAGGGCTTTCCATTTTGGTTCCTAAAACTTTTGAAATCCTTTCTTGAAGGTAGGAAATTTCGGATCAAAATTAATAATTTCTTATCGACAGTACGGTCCATCAGTGCCGGCGTCCCCCAGGGTTCGGTTCTACTGCCAATCCTTTACTCACTTATCACGCATGATGTCCCTTGCCCTAGCGACTGTGAAGTCTGTCTATATGCTGGTGACGCTGCACTGATGGTTCAGTCGCGTACCGGGAATCTGGTTCACGACAGGTTACAAAGTGTGATGGATGAGGTATTGGAATGGCCAGATCGGTGGCTAATGAAAATTAATTACTCGAAAACGCAGGCTATCTATTGTACTAAAGTAGCGGCGCCCCGCCTGAGGTTTCAGTGAATGGAGCTCGCATACCATGGGGAAATTCTGCTAAGTATCTCGGTGTCACTCTTAACAGGGGGATGACCTGGCAGAATCACACTGAAGCATTAAAAACTAAATTCCAAATTACGTTAATACTATGTAGAACCTCAAAAGTCTGGTTAACAAAGTTCCGCTATTCAAGATGGTTATCAGACCAGCAATCACTTACGCATGTGCAGCATGGTGTTTTCTTGCCAAAACGCATATGCGTAATCTGCAGGTTTTGCAGAACAAAATCTTGCGAACGTCTCCAACGAGACCCTTCACAGAGACCTCGACATCCCTTACCTAAGGGACTACATCAAACATCAGGCGCAGCTAGGTTATATTATAGTCAAGCGGAATCGCCAGCAACCCTCTGTTGCGTGAGTCAGTAGACTACACAGTCGAGCAAGTTCGCAAGCACACAAGACCGCGGCTCGCACTGTGATCAAATCAAATCGTGCAATTCTATATCCAACCAAAATTACGATTTTTGCCACACACGAATTCCTAAATTAATTTTTGGATTAATTTAAATTAACCGAATACCAGTTAACAATAGCACGGCGTCCCTTTAACCGGCGCACTTCACCCTCTTTGCTCTTCCCGCTTCCTTCTTTTCTTTCTTCTTCCTTTCTTTCTCCCCGACTTTGTCTGGTATTTAGGCAACCAGACCTAACAGACCTACTGATCTACGATACTTTAACAAAGAGCGAAGGTCCCACGGACCGCTCTGACGGGCAATGACGAATAGAGAGCGTAGTTCTATTCTCCTCATTTATAATATTAGTAATTTAATGATCATACTCACGTTTACTCCTCGTCCTGTCAGTTTTAATGTTCCTGGCACTGCACGGATTCTCAACATCGTCATCACCTTGCTTATCTCGACACGCTTGTACGCTAACTTCGTACAGGGTGTAGTGATGCAATCTGTTGACGAAGAACTCCGTTTCTCCGTATACCGTGAAGTTGAACGACTCCCAAATGTCCGTGCCATTTTCGGTGGCGTTTTGTACTGTATTCTTGAGGTCTGGGTTGACAGGATAATCGAGGTCATTCGGCGATTTGGTTACGTTTTGCAGCTCGTTCGAGTACGGGAACTCGGTTGTTTCGCGCTTTTTGCGGCTTTCGGTTGAATTCGAAGGAGGCCTGCAAAAAAACATAAAGATACAGGGTGTGGATAAACTATATGGCCAAAGTTCAGAGGGTAATTCCTTAGAAACCGTTCTCACTCGACTATATCGATTTTTCGTAACAATCCCAATGATTTTTCAGCAGGTTTTGTAGAGTTTGTTGAGTTTTCTCGTACATAGTTATCGGGCCAGTAAAAACCTTTCTTCTAACTCACCCAGAAAAACACCAAGTTTGGCCAGGTGTTTTATCAACACGCTGTATAGATTTGCACTAATTTTGCAAAAATTACTTCAATATCATGCCTATAACAGCAAGAAACACACAATTTGTGCATTTCTTTACAGATACGAGGGTTGTCTCAAAAATAAGGTGCTCAACGCTGTATATTTGCGTGATGCTAAGCAAAATCTGGCAATACAAGATAAGATAAAGATCAATGGTGAACTTGTTTTTTTAAATAAAAAATTTCTTATGCCTGAAAAAAATGAGGGAACCATATTTTTAAACATCCTCGTATGAGGCAAAGTTGAGAATCTCACTTATTTTTGGAAGACCGCCTTGAGATATTTAAATATCAGCTGGTTCAGAATTTTTGTTCAAAAGCACCTAAAATGTGAGAGGAGAGCCTACCTTTTCTGGTATACTAGATTATGCAACAAATCCTCGAACTTTATTCTAGCTTCTCCTTCATCCGCGTCAATAACTCTGTTGGAACTTTTTCCTCCCTCACAGTGACAACTCTCGTTCTTGGGTGGCGGCGTCGTGTGTATTTGTGGTTGTCTCTTCTCCTCGGACACTAATACCGGTGCTACAAAGTTTGTATGTCAGTTTTAATCAAACTAAAGATCATTAAAACTAATTTCAAATTCAGCGACAAACATGTACATATTCGCACAAATCACAGTTTAATACATTATAATAACACTTACGGTCTTTACAATAGTCCCTATCTCTCAACATGTACTCGTCGTTGTGCTTTTTACCTAAAAAAGTTTTTGTATAGTTTTAAATAAACGAAAGCCTGTCTTCACAAGCTCAAAAGCGAAAGCACAAAGAAAAAGTGGTACTTTGGATCGCTTAAATCGTAATGAATCCCTCAGCAGTTTAGCAAGTGAATAAGGTATAAGTCGATCTACAATTTATGGAGAGTGGACCAGGCAAAGGACAGACACCCAAAAAAGCTGAACATAAGCTTTGTACATGTGTTTGTTGAAAGGAACAGGCATGCGCCCATTTCGGTACCCGGAAGGCGAGTTTTCTTACGAGGAAATGATGAAAAAAGATGACTTTTTGGCAAGCAAAGGATGGCTAGAAAGTTCTAAAAGTCATCATGGCATACACTGTTACAACGATCTTTTACTTTTGAGAAGACTAAGGGACATTCACTGGCTTCCTAGGTCACCCGACATCACGTTATGCGACGAGAAATAAACAACATCACTCCGGTACTCTGCAACAGAGTGTTTCAAAATTTACGGGGATAGCAAACATTTGGACGGAATGATATTTAAGAAATAAAACCCGCCGAATTTTGTATTTTTTTCTTAAATCTTTCCCACTGGACACCCTGTAGATTCTTTCACTTGTAATTTGTCGGATTGCAAGGTATTTTTATTAAAAAAATTATGGACTATAAAGGGTCTTAAGCAGTACTATATAATTCAACAACGCCCTGCAACACGTTTGTCGGATTACCGCGGGTCCACTGTTTATTTAATACAGCATGGTTAACGGCAAGGAAACAAAAATATCATGAAACGCATTTGCTCTAAAATCTTACCTGCTACAATATAGTGTGTGACGTTTCCATTAGGTTCGAGTGGCGGTGACCACCTAATTATAAGTGAATCACTTGCATTACTGTACACTTGGAGATTTTGTGGGGACGAAGGAGCTGAAAGAGAAAGTAGTTACATGAGCTACTGGTGTCACAAATTCGTCGCAGAAAACTGTTGAATAGTTTTTTAAATAACGTTCTGAAACAGGGCAGCGACACTGTTGCTTTAAGGCCCAGTTTTTCAATCTCTCTTTAATATTTCAAATAAGGTAAATATGACTTGGAAGTCTGTGAATTCGTTTTACAAGTTTTATTTAACAATCAGTAAACAATATTATATCACAAAGAGAATACTTTCCGTGCAATCACCAATATTTTTAATGCATCCATTCCAAATTTCAGCCCGCTAACTATATTTTCATGCATAATGTTTGACAACAGCATTTTTTCTAGCCGGAAGTTTTTTTTATATGGAATCAGTTACGGTTACAGGCTAACAAGAGCTACTTCGAGTCACCACTCTATTCCAGATTTCTATATTCACAAACTTCACTTTTTAAAGCCTGTCATAATACTTACTTGAAGGCAACGTCATAAAATACATAATATCACTTTGAGCCCCGGTCTTTTCACTGGCAATGGTGTAGGTTTTCACAAAGAAGGCATATTGACGGTAAGGCTTCAAATTTGGCAAGAGTTGGGTAACAGTTTGATCAGTTTCTTGAACGGCAACGTCGTATACGCGCCAACTGAAAATTGTAAACTTGTGAATTTTTAACGCTCTTCTAACGAACTGGGATTTCATAGTTAATACGAGCAAGAAAATAAAAGTTTTCGCAGTATAGCCACAGACATGCGAACGCCCTTTCTTAGTATCAGTTTGGGGATAAGTGTGATTTAAAAATACTTGATGCTTGACGAATACTTTCATCCGTAGCAAAAAAAAGTCCCCATTAACATACGTGTTAAAATGTCCCATTACCAAGATACGGGGTCTTGTGAAATTATACGCCATTGATGAGACCGAATAAGGACAGAACATAAATATCATACAAATAATGCTGAGGTAACATAATATTACTTTCCTAATATTTAAATTTTCAATGTCAACTTCAAAGTATTTTCAAAGTAGAAATGGGTGAAATTTTCTATATGGATTTTACCTCAAATATTCAAACCATTATCGTCCAAAATGTCTCGAGGCAATTTATGTAAAATCATTATTCAAAAACGCAATAGATATTTCAAAAAAGTCAGTGACGTAGAAATTAAGTTTCTTCTTTCTTGTGGAGTGGTGAAAAATGCCCCAATTTCTACGCCACAAGAATTTTTGTTTGGATAAATAGAAGAAGAAATACGTAGGGGATTTTCAATTAGATAATTAAATCATTATTTCGTCGAAAATTGAAGGATTTAATACAAATACTCGCCAACCGTCCAAAAATCAATATTTTCAAAATGCCCTACGTATTTCTTTAACTATAAATATGGAAAATAAGCTGTTTTTTACACTGCGTGCCACAGAGCGTCTCAAATTTTATGCTTGTCGCGAAAATGACCGCTGTGCCGACATTTTTTAATACTTATTTATAATAATTTTTCTCTTGTTACTGAATCAATAACTTCCTCCAATAGTAAGGGGGCATTTCAGGGCCATATTTATAGAACTTTCCGTGTAATTTTTGAACCTACTTTCCATCCCAGAAATATTGCCACTATTTTCTGAATCAACCTGTATAAGATAAGTAACCCGAACTTTTTTTTCATTTTAAGGTGATATCAGTTTGACACTAAACCGAGCAAGAATGTCAAATAAATGTATGTCGTAATTTAAATTGTCATAACAAACCTCACAACTTCCTAATGGCAAGGATCTAGTTGTTGTTGAAGATTCATTTAGCATTAATGCTACAATGTCAATTTTGTATAATGATGCGGTTACATATTTTTCTTCAATCCATTTTCTGTAATTTTAGATTCTTATCCATTAAAATTGAAATTACGTCACTAAGTATTTTGATTATTCATAAAGAGATTTTTTAATTTCACCTTAAACATTTTTAAATTCGAACTCTGTTTAATATCATTATTCAATGTATTAAATTCAAATACTCCCTTTTGAAATATAGATTTACCAGTTATGCTACTATTACAATTTTGCAGATGAAAATCTATACTGCCTCTAGTTTCTTAGTTATGATAATGACTATTTAATTTTGTGAAGTTCTCTAAATGTGGTGGTAATAACTGATTTTTTAATTTGAATATAAAAACGAGAACTAAATAATATATGAAATTTTTCACATCCAACCACTGCAGTTCTTCTAACATAGACTTAATCCTAGCATATTTGTTTTTATTTAAAATGATTCTCTTAGCTTATTTTGAAAATATGTTTTCATTTGCTGTAAACAAGATGGTTGAACAATATAAAAAATGGGGAAGAATTATAGCGTTATACACAATTGTTTTGGAATACATACTAAGATTATGGGAAATTGTATAGAAGTAATTTATCTTTTTCGATATTTTTGAATTAATGTATACATAATGTTCGTGAAACAGTAGCTTACTATCCGCATATATACCAAGATATTTAAATGACTCGACTACTTCAATTTTTTCATCATTGTCACCTAAATGTTTCTGTATTAACATACATTTTGTTTTATTAGTGTTTAATTTAGGTTTATTGACATTTAACCAATTCATAATTTTTTCAATATCACTAGTTAACAGTTCTAAAGCAGTGTCGTCCAAATGCTTATGTGCTATATATATATATATATATATATATATATATATATATATATATATATAAGTGTATCGTTCGCAAATATCTGAATTTTGCAGTGTTCTAAAATGTCAGAGATATCATTTATATGAATAATAAATAGTAACGGCCCTAATTTACTGCCCTGTGGCACCCCTACTGATATATTTTGAACACTTGACATAGTATTTCTAACTTTAGTTTTTTTACTTCTATTTACTGAATAATTTTGTAAAATGTGTAATACTGATCCTTTAAAGCCATAGTGACGCAATTTCATTAACAATTTTTCCCTATCTATAGTCTCAAATGCCCTTTTCGAAAATGAAACCAAAGTGTTACCACTTACTCGTCTTGACCGCAGGCGTCCCTTCCATCGTAAATGGTTACATTTCTGTATGGTGCCTCGATGAGATAAACGATATATCCTAACAATTTTCTTTGATCATCTCTCATTTGAAATTGCTTCCATTCTAAAGTAACTGATCTTGTTCCTATTTTGCTTATGTTAACATGTAAGGGTTTTACGTCACCTGGAAAGGCATAAAAATAGTATTACTTCCAATACAATAGTAAGACCCTTGAAAATAATTTTAATTACACCTAGCACAACTACTATTTAAATATTTGCCTGTACATTGTCTTCTTGAAAACAAATTGAACAAAAATTCAATAGCTATAGTAATTCCAAACTCTGCTATCTGTGAGTTCTTTTCTAAGACCATATAAAAAATCGAATTGCCAGTACTATTAAATACGCGTACCTCATTAATAATTACTTACAAGCTATCTTGTCTCCATTTGAATTTGGAGCGACCTCTAGGTCGGTGAAGTCCTCCAAACGAGCTATTTCCTTCAACTGCAGAATTTTGTTGAAGCACAATTTCGGATTGAAATGGAAGAACAGTTTTCCTCTTTCTATAACGAGCGTTCTATTTTTCGACCAGTCCCAGAGTTCTTGCAAGTTTTGATTATCCAGTATGATGAGCACGTATTTTTGGTTATCCAAGAAGTTGCCCCTTATCCTTTTGAGACTTTTCAGGAAGTTTAACGAGACTAACGAGAAGGATCGTACGATTTTGAGGTAGCCTTCTATCTCTTCGATCATACTGAGGCTTTCCTCAAGCTCTGCCACAACGTTCGCTGAAAGTAAGTAGAATGATTAGGAGCGGTTCGGGATAGTAAGTAGGGTGCGTCATCTATAATATTTTTTCTATTTGAAAAATCAACACGCTTTTTCGAGGTGAAATCGAATTTGATTGATATAAAATGTTCAATGACTTTTCCCAGAATAATCGGGTCTATGGCCGCAATTTCATTCCGAATATTGCGCTTTAGGTCTTGAATTGTCCGGGGACCATTCGCATACTTTTCCTTCCCTTTCCTTTCAAAAATCCCCAAAGAAAATAGTCAAGAGGTGTGAAATCGCACGATCTCCGGGGCCAACTGACATCTGAATTTCGTGAAATCATGCGGTCTTGAAATTTCGTGTGCAATAAGGCGATTGTTTGACGAGATGTGTGAGCCGTTGATCCGTCGTGATGAAACCAAAGATCGTCGGCACCAATACGATCCAACTGTATCCACAAAAAGTCTGTTAACATGCCGCGATAGCGTACCCCGTTGACGGTAATGACCTTTTCTTCGGCATCTTCAAAGAAGAATGGTCCAACGATGCCACCAGCCCATAATCCGCACTAAACAGTCACTTTTTCAGGATGGAAAGGTTGTTCATGATATTGGCGTGGGTTTTCAGCCCCCCGGAATCTGCAATATTGCTTATTTACGTACCCATTGAGGTGAAAATGGGCCTCATCAGAAAAGAACACTTTGGCCGAAAATCCGTCTTCTCTTTCCAGCATTGAATTAACAAAAACACGCCGCTGTTAATGGTCTGCCGGCTTCAATTCTTGTGTTAGTTGGATTTTGTATGGATGGAGGAGTAAATCAATGTGTAAAATCCGACGTAAAGTGGTCTCACTAATTCCCAATTGTTGCGAACGGTGCCTAGTCTTCTCGCACACTTTCACTCACTGCGGCTATGTTTTCACGAGTACGAGCTGGAAGAGCATGTTGGTATGGTCTGCGACCTTCAACTGAACCAGTTTCCTTAAAACTACTAACAATCCAACGAATTCCAGGCTCTGTAGGGCGTCCATGTGTTTCCAAAACTAGTGCGAAGTTTGCGAAAAGTATTTTCTATATTTCGACCGTTTTCGTAATAAATTTGGATAACCAACATACGTTGTTCTGTTGTAAACGAATCCATGACTATAAATGGCATACCTTTGACAGTTCATTTATGCATACCACATGACTTTTGACTCACATGGTAACACATAAACTTATAGGTTAAAAAAAGTAATAGATGGCGCACCCAGTACCAGAAACTCCAAACATATTCTAACGCCCTCGTAAAGCTGGGACCTTGAGCATCGAGGAGTCGCCTTGCAGAGTCGACTAGGCAACCTGTTACGCGACCGTGTGTGAGCGCTAGCGGCGGTCCAAAAAGGAATTTGGCCTAGATCTAAGAATAATCGAGGTCAGTCTGGAGACACTGCTGCTATCAAGATTACTTCCAGGGAAATTCGCAACTTGACCCGGAAAGCGCTAGGACACTTCTCAATGATTCGATAGGGGAATAAATACCCGACCAGATGGCGGAGGCAGTTAGTCACAGTCGAGACAGACAAACAATGCGTTCACCCAACATGGTTATAAATTGTCATTAGTATGTGTGTTCGTATTGCAACGTACACTGTTTTGTTTCTAGGGTGAAGTCACGCCGCTGGTGGTAAACAGGGCAGGTGCTGTGGTAAAAGGCGTAAATAACAAGAATCAACATAACTATCGATGTTATCTTGTAGATTATGTGACATAAAGCAATTTTAAGCGACCTACCAATAATAACCGCTAGTGTTTTGTTTAGATTTTTTCATCTTAAGCGACTCGGTTTATATCAACTTTCCTATGATGACGTCACGAACTGGCCTTTTACGACAGTTAAAAAAAGTTAAAAGTGAATAAAACGATGTCAGGTGGCAATATACGTAAAACTAACGAGTTTTTATTGAGTCACATATTGTTTTTTTTAGCAGAGTTTAAAAAGTAACATCACAGTAAGGTGTTTACTTATATTTGAACTATATGTATAATCGTTGACGTTGGACCAGAAAATAGTTTCGTGAAGCAGCAAATGACAAAATAATCAAGAGCATAACCAAGGAATAGCCGCGGTTTATCACAGTTCATCGCTTAAAATTGCTCATAGAAAATTAGAAGAAAATTTTTGCAGCGTTTCTTTTTTTTGATCATGTTGAATGGTATAAGGGTATCGGTATCAAACCCTTTTGATTTTCTTTTGCGGACACGCCAGTCGAAAGCGACACATATGATATGGTGGTAATGTAACAGCGCTTTCTTTTCTACTTTTTTTTATCACTTCACGAGCCTCTCTCAACCTTTTCGCTAGCATATCACTAAAAACTGAGCCTGAACCTAAACAACTTTTAACCACATGTTGCTCTATTGTCCTCCTGAAGGAATGAGCTCAATCGTGATCGTGTGAACACCACGACCCTCGTTGATTCACTCAAAAAAAGTTTTCTTCTCGATTTCGTTGGCTGCGTGCACATTGCATCCCCTTCTAGGATATTTCGTCCATTTGCGTCTTATAACGCTCTAATTCAAACTAAATGAAATATATATTAAATTCACATAGTCAGAAAGTACTTACTTCCTCTTCTTATTTGAATTTCTAAGGAACCTCTTATATGAGTACAGCCTCTTAATTGCTTTGCTATTGTAATACTGTCTATATTAATACCATCGCAGTATTTTTCACATCGTCCTGGAAAAAAAAACAAAATTCAGGTCAGAATTAGTAATCGCGTAATCCAGAGTTACTTGAAACACGTTAGGCGCGCGTTCAGGGAATGACAGCACTGTAGCACTTTTCGGCTGTGTATATTAAAATCCTAATAGATTCTACCGCTGCAAAAAAGCCAATAACATAAGGCGTTGTAGCATGATCGTCAATTTTCTGTATGACTTTTTTGCTACAAGGACAACAATTTGTCTATTATAGGTTTACTTACCGTCACATGGTACGCAAGTGTAGCCATCACTTTTGTGATTGACTGGGCAGTGAAGGAGACACGAGTTATTGAAAACTTTATACGGATGCTCGCCCTCATTGTTTACCGGTTGGTAGTCAATTGGCTTTTTCATACCTATACATTCCTCCTTAGTGACACAGCGGCGATCCAAATACTAAAAAAAAATATATATATATAACTAATCAAAAATTGAAAGAAAGTAATGTAACGAAAAAGGTTCATGAAACATTATTTTTTTCACAAGTTAGTCCCTTTAAGTACAACATGTACAATAAGAGTTAAATGGATCAAGTCAGTCAAACAAGCCCATGCATTTAATCCCCAATCCCTACCAATTTCACAACGTTGCGATCTGGAAATTCAAATGAAATAATTTATTAAAAAACAGATTCGTATTCCTATATAAAAGTACCTTATAATAATTTGCAGGGCACTCCTTCACACACTCTTTCCTATCGTCGAATAGCAACGTTAGGTGCCTGCACACAGTGCACTGACTTCTATTATAACTACTGCATCCTCCCAGACATTCTGAACTACAGCACTTTCCGTTGTTATCACACGCTGTACAGTTCGACCTGAATATCTTTTGCAGATGATGCCTGTTCCAACAGAGATGCCTGAAAGACAAAAATCAGATTGAGACATTTTAGTCCATTCAGAGATACAACGGATATCCAGGGGTGGGAAGCTGTTCTCGAATCTCGCTTTCAACATCGAATGCTTCTGCAAATTGTTGTCCTTTTTTATATATACTAAAGCAGCCACGCAGGCAGAAGGCTAAATGTCGGCTGCTATGAAATTTTGTTGAACTGTCTAAGGTTAGTAGAATTGGGAAAAGCTTCCTCTTGGAGATTGTTCCACAATCTCGACACCCTCGGTACAAAGGAGCGGTCGTATCGGCCAGTTCTGGATGTACGACGTTCGACACGGTTAGAATGGGATATATTCAGTACATACTCCCGCTTTCGACAATGGAAGTTTGTTTTTGTGATTTATGTCATCGCTTTTACAAATAACGAAGAGTATTTTTTGCAAATGTCTACTTTATTGTTGTATGGCCTTGGCTTCGCCAGGTTCTGTCGATTGAAAATCATCGATTCCGAGATTCGAAAGGTCCCCAAAAATCCAGACACTTCCAGGAAATTTGATTCAGACTTAGTTCGGCAACTATCTTCACATCTGCTCGGAAAAATATTCTGATTCGATTTTTTGCACAATCTTATTTTAAAAAAAGCTCGTTTAGCAAATTTGCATGTTTCCAGACCTAGAACTGCGTCAAAATTCCAGAAATGGTTTTAGATTTTTTGGGCCGTCCTGAACCAAAAAGGTTCATAAGACACAGGGTGTCCGCAAAGTTGGGGTTTTCCTTTACACGACGTGTAGATCTTGAAAACATAAGCAATTTTTCTTAGTACCATATACACCAATGTCTTAAGGGAACCGAGATAAAGGGCTCTGCAACATCAAAAATATCTGAATACCGTCCTGTAGCCGCGACCCGCGACATCCCCGAGTGGTACTAGGACACTAGCTCAACCCGACGACAGAACTGGGTCGGGGTCAGTGTGTCAGGTCAGTATGCAACCTTCAACCGACGGTTACGGTCACGCGTGTAGAGGTAAACGAACCCGTATAATCGATTGCGTTTCAAAAAACAACAAGCACTAGAGACGTGGCTAGAGACGTGCAAGTATCAAAAACTAAAGTGTGGCAAACGCTGCGTGAAGAGCGCTGTATCCGTTTCACGTCCAACGTGTACAAGCCCTTCAACCTGACGATTTTCCAGCAAGAGTGCGGTTTTGTGAGTGTTTGTTGCATCAACATGACAATAATCCGGACTTTTTGAAGTGCATATTGGTGACAGACGAATCTACGTTCACGCGTAATAGGGTGAATAACTTTCGCAACACTCATGTTTGGTCAGTAGAAAATCCGCACGCTGTCCGTGGGGCACATTTTCAACAAACATTTTCGGTGAATGTTTGGGCTGGCATGGTGAACGGTATGCTCATTGGACCATTTATTCTCCCAAATCGATTGGACGGGATGCAATACCTAGACTTTTTACGCAACATTTTGCCTTCCTTGTTAGAAGATGTGCCATTAAGTGTAAGACAATCAATGTGGTTTCTGCACGATGGTGCACCGCCCCATTTTAGACGCGAAGTGCGTGAGTTTTTGAATGAATTATTTCCGAATAGGTGGATCGGACGTAATGGACGCGTAGCGTGGCCTCCAGACTTAACACCGTGTGATTTTTTTCTTTGGGGAGAAATGAAACGCTTAGTGTACAAAACCGAAGTGCATACAGTTGACGAACTTCGTCTCAGAATTGAACAAGCTGGTGCTTTCATTCGGGGGAGGGACTGCATTCGCAAAGCCTGCACCGATGCTTGGTTACGTCGTGCACGCACCTGTGTTTTTGAATCAAACGGCGATAACTTCGAACAATACCTATAAAGTACGTTTACCTAAAAACTGAAAACGCAGCAACGCCGTCATATTTGATACCTCTGTTCGTGGTCTGCACCACCGCCGGCGTCTGCTCGGTAGCGCATCAGCTGATTTCATTTTGTGTTGGAGCGGTATGATTTCGGGCAGAGACGTACTTAGCCCTTCTCGTCAACTGGAGAGTGAGTACTTTTTCCTTTATTTTTTTTTACTTGGTTGCCCTCGTTTCACTACACATTACCTTTGTTATTTCAAGGGTAGTTGTTTCTGAAAAGGAAAACCCCAACTTTGCGGACACCCTGTATTTGAAAAAGGGTAAAATATGCCATTTTCGACCACTAAAAACAATATGAAAAAACGAAAGCTTTAATGTTACTAAAGTCTCCTGACATTCTACAAACATCCCTTAATAAAATCCCAAAGCATTTTTGGGGGTATTGTAATTGCAAACCTTTGTGTTTTAAATGGTAATCAGGGGCGCGCCCTGTATGAGCGAGCTCTCAACATTTTTGTGACTAAGTACGAGGGCAGTCCGATAAGTACTACAAAAAACGAAAATTTTGGAAATGTGATGATTTATTTTTCAACATAGTCGCCTGTTAGCTCGATACAGTTGACCCAGCGATGCCACAACTTCTTTAACCCGTCTAAAAATTACGTTTTCTGGAGATCTGCAAAGTAGGCCTCGTATAAATAAAAATTAATATGAATTTGAATGTTGTATAAAATTCAATTCCTGTTGGCATTATATCTTCCATTTTGCTAGGATCGCTAGTGTCTCTACTTATTTGTTGTTTTTTTTTTAAGTAACAATCGTTTTATAAGGAGTCAAAGAAACTTTAAAGCGTAAATTGTATCACAAACTAAAATATGAACATTTTTTATTGTCTATCTGGTATCCCTACCTATCCCGCGACCTCTCCTTATCAAGACCCACAGCAGCCGACCTGGGACACACCGCATTCAATACATCTCCCACCAGTTCATCACTTGAACAAATCGGGCACTCGTTCTCCGGTTTCAAGCTCTTGATCAAGTTCTTGCCCCTTTGATCATGGATAATCCTATCCCAATCTACTGTATGAACGAAACACAGCGATGGATTTTTATCGATGTAGACGTTTCCGCGCATGATATCTGTGAGGGAGTGAAGGCCGATCTCCTGCAGTGAGGTCATCTCGAACACCACGAAAGCGTACACGTCTTCGAACAAGGCTTGACCTGTAACAAGATGATAATCTATCAGTCAAGACCTGTTAAGGGTAGAATTGAAGAAACATACAGAAAAGTGGGAGAAAGTCTCAATAATGCACAATGGAAAGCAAGGGAATCGGGCTATATAAATGTTGTACTTCAAGACTCAAAATAAGTGTATTGGCCATTATTTACCTCTATGCAAAAATGCTTCGTTTGTCTGTTAGAGTGTTTTCTTTTTAAGACACATTTTTTCAGATATCTTTGGAACCGATAGTCCGATTTGAATGAAACATGTTTTGGTAGACGTCATAATATTTGACTTTCAAAAAAAGCTATAAAGGGTTTGAGAAGGGTGAAAGCTACCTCCAGCCCTATATAAATTCTAGCAGATTTTATTGGAAACTCTTCCAAATACTTTTTTTATTTCAAATACCCTTTTATTTACTTCATCTTTTGTCTCTTATAAAAACAGTTTTTGAGAAACAAATGTTTTTTGAATTGTTAAAATCTAGTTGGCATCTAGTTGGCGAAAATGTGGGGTGTTACGTCAGTCATACAGTTTTTTATGCATGATGGTTCTCCATCTCACGATGCACGTGCTCTAAGAAACTACTTGAACGAGACATTCGATGGTAGATGGATTGGTAGAGGTCAAGAAGCTCCTATTCAATAGCCACCTCGTTCGCCGGATCTAAACCCTTGCGATTTTTTATACGGGAAGCATTAAAAATAAAGGTATACGTGGTTCAGATAGACATCGCCAATCAACTATACAAGGTACTATGGGGCAAAAATGTTTTCTTACAAATTACAGGAATTATTTGCAACCACTTTATTGGCCCAATTTTCTTCAACAACAGTTGCCTTTGCTGCTTGATGATGTTCCGTTAGTAATAAGAAACAATATGTGGTACATGCATGATGGTGCAGCAGCGCATTTCAGTGTAGTGGTTCGTAATTATTTACAAAGTGTTTATCCAAATCGTTGGATTGGCCGCGGTGGGCTCCAAGAATGGCCAAGGTCCCCAGACTTTAACAGTTTAGATTTATTTTTGTGGGGCTATCTTAAGACACTAGTGTACACAAGTCCCATTAACACTGTAGAGGAATTCAGAGAAAGAATAGTTGCAGCTTGTGATAGAATAAAAAACACTCCAGGGATATTTCAATGAGTGCGCAATTCCATGAAAAGGAGGGCGGAAGCATGCATACTAAGTGAAGTGGGCCATTTTCAACAATTTTTGTAATCATTTCGTTGGTTTTAATGTTACGTTTAAGTTGTCAGTTGTTGTTCATTATCCCTAATGTATTTAATTTTAGGCAATAGAACGGTTTTTATTTTTTTACTCAAAAATGGCACATGGAAATGGAAGAAAAACAATTCAAGAGAAATCATTTCTTTTAAATTGAACGGGGAATTCAAAAATAATTTTTATTTGGCAATCAACCATTGGCATACCATTTTTTTCTTAAAAAATATCGAAGTCAATACCCGTACGCACGCCACAGTTAAAGCTAAAAATTATTTTTGCATTGAAAAATATGCAACTTTATTAACTTTCACTACGTACTAAATATCAGTGAAATATCTGAATCGGTTCTGAAAATATTAATTCATTTCCATTTTTTTTCCTAAAACTTCAACACCCCGAGTTTTTGAAAGGAAACATTTTTGGACCATAGTTTATAAAGCAAACTAACATTAATTTAGTTCACTAAACTGCTCAAAAAAAATTAAGGGAGCAAGGAAAAATGCAAAATTTTCGGAGATTTTTGACAGGCTGCATTTCGGTGAAAAATGGTCGTATCTAGACTTTAAAAAAGGCGTTTTCTAGGTTCCAGGTTCAATTTTGCTCTTTTGATTTCTTTCAAATTTTGACTAATCAGTCCGGAGAAACCACACAATGGATCGATGTGCCGCCGTGTACGGTTATTAGGGGTACATTGAGGTATAAAAAAACCTAAGTGCCCTTCTCATTAGCACTTCCGAAAATACGGTCGATTTTCAAAAATAAAGCAAAAAGTAACTTTTTGACTCCGCGCCAAACGTCCGTATGGAGATTTTAAAAAGAGGAAAAATGTTTTCAAACACGTGGACTAAAAAGAAAAAAAAAATACAACAAAATGTTCCTTGCGCTATCTGTTAGAATTGCGTAATAATCGTTGCTCCTAAAATTTGTCGGGTACAAAAACTAAAATCCTAGAGCTTCAAAGTGCTTTTTTAAATTCTAGATACGACCGAAAGTTTAACCTAATCAGTGAAAAATTTGCTTCCTTAATTTTTGAGAAGGGTATATTCTTGCCCCGTACTGTTACGTGCAGGAACATAAATGGTGATCATATTGGATACCTATTACGAAAGATTCGCAATATTGCCTGAATTAAATAAAATTGTAAAGTCAAATTTGTTTATCTTCGTTAACTACACTCAAAGAATTAATAAGATGCTTGAGAACCTCTTGATGCAACTCATTTTTTTCTGGAAAACTATCCGAGACAGCCTGCGTTTATAGTAGACAAAAAAGATTAAGTAAACCAAAAAATCTGCTACATAAAACAAAATCAGAGTCGTCGGGAAAGTTGCCAAAAAATTCTACTATACGCAAAGTTGGGGTTTTCCTTTTCAGAAACAACTACCCTTGAAATAACAAAGGTAATGTGTAGCGAAACGAGGGCGACCAAGTAAAAAAAGAATAAAGGAAAAAGTACTCACTCTCCAGTTGACGAGAAGGGCTAAGTACGTCTCTGCCCGAAATCATACCGCTCCAACAGAAAATGAAATCAGCTGATGCGCTACCGAGCAGACGCCGGCGGTGGTGCAGACCACGAACAGAGGTAACAAATAAGACGGCGTTGCCGCGTTTTCAGTTTCTAGGTAAACGTACTTTATAGGTATTGTTCGAAGTTATCGCCGTTTGATTCAAAAACACAGGTGCGTGCACGACGTAGCCAAGCATCGGTGCAGGAATGAGAATGGAGTCCCTCCCCCGAATGAAAGCACCAGCTTGTTCAATTCTGAGACGAAGTTCGTCAACCGTATGCACTTCAGTTTTGTACACTAAGCGTTTCATTTCTCCCCAAAGAAAAAAATCACATGGTGTTAAGTCTGGAAATCGCGGAGGCCACGCTACGGGTCCATTACGTCCGATCCACCTATTCGGAAATAATTCATTCAAAAACTCACGCACTTCGCGTCTAAAATTGGGCGGTGCACCATCGTGCAGAAACCACATTGATTGTCTTACACTTAATGGCACATCTTCTAACAAGGAAGGCAAAATGTTGCGTAAAAAGTCTAGGTATTGCATCCCGTAAAATCGATTTGGGAGAATAAATAGTCCAATGAGCATACCGTTCACCATGCCAGCTCAAACATTCACCGAAAATGTTTGTTGAAAATGTGCCCGACGGACAGCGTGCGGATTTTCTACTGACCAAACATGAGTGTTGCAAAAGTTATTCACCCCATTACGCGTGAAAATAGATTCGTCTGTCACCAATATGCACTTCAAAAAGTCCGGATTATTGTCATGTTGATGCAACAACCACTCACAAAAACCGCACTCTTGCTGCAAAATCGTCAGGATGAAGGGCTTGTACACGTTGGACGTGAAACGGATACAGCCCCTCTTCACGCAGCGTTTGCCACACTTTAGTTTTTGATACTTGCACATCTCTAGCCACGTCTCTAGTGCTTGTTGAGGGATTCTCGTCTACGCGATTCGTGGTTGTCTAGGCCTCCCACTGTGCCCACCTCGAAATTCCTCCAAATGGCCCGTATCCCTGACTCTCTGGACCAGGTACACAAATCTGCCTGGCCTTGGATGATGTCGTCTAGGGAAACGATCTGCATACACTCGCGACGCCTCTGTAGCATTTTGAAGACATTCGCCATACATTAACAACATATCAACGAGTTCATTATTGGTGTATGAGTGTGCCATTATTTTTTTTTTGAAACGCAATCGATTATACGGGTTCGTTTACCTCTACACGCGTGACCGTAACCGTCGGTTGAAGGTTGCATACTGACCTGACACACTGACCCCGACCCAGTTCTGTCGTCGGGTTGAGCTAGTGTCCTAGTACCACTCGAGGATGTCGCGGGTCGCGGCTACAGGACGGTATTCAGATATTTTTGATGTTGCAGAGCCCTTTATCTCGGTTCCCTTAAGACATTGGTGTATATGGTACTAAGAAAAATTGCTTATGTTTTCAAGATCTACAGGTCGTGTAAAGGAAAACCCCAACTTTGCGGACACCCTGTAATTTATGTACGAGTGGGGGTAGTTTTCACCCTTCTCGAACCCTTTACAGTTTTTCGTAAAAGTCAAATATCAGAACGTTTAACAAAACAAGTGTTCCTAATTTCATTCTCATATCGCGCTATCTGTTCTTAAAATATCTTAAAAAATGTGCTTTAAAAAGAAAACAGAATTTTTTAGTAACGAGCTCCGGAAAACATTTTTTTCTCTCGAAAACTATGTGAGATGACCTAGTTTTATAAGAGACAAAAAATGAAGTGAATACAAGGATGTTTTAAATAAAAAAAAGCAAAGTCGTTGAGAGACTCGCGGGAAAATTTTGCTACAATTTATGTGGGGATGAGAGTAGTTTTCACCCTTCTCGAACCCTTTACAGTTTTTCGTAAAAGTCAAATATCAGAACGTTTAACAAAACATGTGTTCCTAATTTCATTCTCATATCGCGCTATCTGTTCTTAAAATATCTTAAAAAATGTGCTTTAAAAAGAAAACAGAATTTTTTAGTAACGAGCTCCGGAAAACATTTTTTTCTCTCGAAAACTATGTGAGATGACCTAGTTTTATAAGAGACAAAAAATGAAGTGAATACAAGGATATTTTAAATAAAAAAAGCAAAGTCGTTGAGAGACTCGCGGGAAAATTTTGCTACAATTTATGTGGGGGGATGAGAGTAGTTTTCTCGAACCCTTTCAGGTTTTTTTGTATTTGTCAAATATTAGGACGTCTAGTAAAATACATGTCTTTCGACGTACTTTTATATAGAGGTAATTCATTTCTCATCGATTCATTTTGAGTCTAAAAATACGTGGTACTTCTAAATATTCAATTCGTGGCGGTTCAAGTATACAAAACAGAAATAATATAGCTTGCTACTTACCTCTGATCACCGACAGATTAGGAAATAGCTGACCGACGCTGCGAAGACCGTTGACGCGGTACAACAGGAAGTAGTCTGTGATCTCGGTGAGTTTCGGGAACTGGAGTTTCATCAGTTCGGTCTCGTTGACGTTGTCGAAGAGCAGGATGGAGAGGAAGCCTTCGATAACCTCACAGTCCCTGAGAATCTCAAGGTCGCGGACTGAGTTGCGGATGTCCGTGCTCTTGCAGACTGAAACAAAGAAAATTAAATTTGAGGGGGTGTCGCAGAAGACGAAGTCAGGACAAGTCATAGTTATCCGAAAAATATAAAAAATCTAATTCGGGTACACCCTGCGATGATCATTTCGATCAATCATCAATATCAAAACAACTTAAATGTTCACGAACTTGACGTAAAAACTTCTTGATTGACATTGTTAATGTCAAATAATTGACTTGTGCTTGACTTAATTTCAAGCCGTGTCATGTAGCTTGAAAATCAGGTCAAGTAATGAATCCCTAATGTGACCAACAAAAAATATTGAAGTGCAGTAAGTAGACTCGGAAAATGAGACTTTCCTTCAAAATAAGCAAAAAAAATCCATCACAGTCGTGATTTAAGAACCCAATTGATCCAAGAAAAAACTTTCATTTTGGGCTTAGATTTCACCATACCTTTTAATTTCCTTATAATTTTCATCGAACAACAAACTCATGGCTAACTAACGAAATAGTCAATCATACGAGTATTAGACGAAAATACCCATGGTTTGCGAAATAATTGTAAAGTCTGGTTTTATTGCTGCAAATTGTTCAAGGAGGTATTTAAAACATGGGTACAAAAATTTTGTGGGAAAAATTTTTATTCGACAACAAAGAATGAGAAAACGTGTTTTTTTTTTGGATTCAATCAAAAGTGTTGGCAGGAACAAAACAAACTATTCATATAAGATTTTTAGGTATTTATGAGACCTATAAAATGAGACCACACATAAAAAGATCCGACTTATAGCAAAAAAGTTATAACCGAAAATCGAGGCAAAATGCGGGTTTTGACTCTTGTTGGTAATGCGACGATGGTTTCTCGCGGATACTTGGAATTCTTCAAATTCGTAGAATTCCAATACAGTGTCCATATGAAAAAACAAAGTTGGTGATGGAAGTCGAAAAAAGAAATGTCGAATTACAAATATGACTACGTCGTCTGTAGAATAAGTAACAATAACAACCCGTCAATTTGTTTTGAAGTCTCATTTCAAATAAAGTCAGGAAAACATAAAGGTAATTTTGCGATAAATCTGGTATGCGTGATAAATCTGATAATTTCAAATTACTTGCCCAGGAAATTCTGCTTTTTTTGAAATAACTAAGCCTTGGCAATGTATGACGTATTATATATTCTGGGAATCAGAATATTAAAAACTTTGTTCATCTGTGCAAAAATCCAATCTGGAGTCCGTAAGAAAAAATAAAGTTGATGTTTTAGGACAAGACGAAACGTCACATTGAAATTCTAAGTATGCCTTCTTGTAGAGGAGAAAAAGTAACGATGTTAGTAAAATGACCCTAGGATAATTCGCTTTTTTCCATCCATCTCCGAAAATAAGCGATTTCGTATCTCTTGCAGTTTCCGAAATCCCAATTCGTCTAATTTCCTTTCTACTCGCAGCTAGCTGATTTTATATAAGTCGCAAAGTTCATTTGTGCCCTTTCATCTATTGCCACAGATTTAGAGTACAAAAATGGGACTCTTGAAACGTCTCCTCGATGTCAGGGAAAGACTGACAGCAGATCCATGATCTACGCACCCATGAAATACGAGCCCCTTCCCACTTCAGTTGGCCCAACTATTGAAATCTTAGTTTTTTTCTTATCAAACACAAATAATAAAAATGTAGCAGGTTTAAAATATTAACAATGACTATTTTGATAAAAAAATATAGTAAAAAATACCAACTTTATCACTCCATAATCAAATTTGCAGCATAAAAATACATGTTGCAGTCACAGCATATCAACCTATTTTCATTTCAATGCAAAATAAGTCTATAACGCATAGGTGGCCGTGAAAAATAAAAGCCATGACAATTGTTTTTATTAATCACAGCTGTCAGAATACGTTTAAAATAGTTTTGGGTAGCTAAGGTTTTCAAAATGGGTAGAGGAAAGGTTATTAGTGAGAAAATTCGGTTACTGATAATAAAAATTTTTAATTCTGGGAAATCAAACTCAGAAATTGCAACTTTGTTAGACTTATCGCGGTACAGTGAATATTGAGCCACGATATGCGAAAAAAAGTAATATCACAAATACCGACCGAAGAGCATTAAGAAGAATAATCGTGAAAAACAGACGTGCCAATTATTTACAATTAAGTGCTCTGTGGAGTGACGCTGTTGGAAGGAGAATTTCGAGGTCCACAACTCATAGAGAGGCCCACAAACTGGGATTTAGCACTTGCAAGGTAAGTTTTCTTATAAAAAAAAGTTAATTAAAAACCCTAAAGTTGCACAACTTGTTTATAGGCCAAAGAAAAGCCACTGTTAACTCCACTGCAAAAGAAAAATCGGCTTAGATGGGCTAAAGAACAGACAATGGACACCTCAACAATGGTGTGCAATACAATGGAGTGATGAGGCCCGATTCGAAGTTTGTGTTGGTGACAGGCGCAGTAGAGTTATTCGCAAAAAAAATGAAGCATTCCATGTTGGCTGTCTGAAGAGAAAAGTGATATTTCCAGCATCCATTATGGTCTGGGGCAGTATGTCATCAAAAGGAGTAGGAAAACTTCATTTTATTGATGGAAATGTGGATACAAACAAACACAGGTATTTGGCAATTTTAGAAGAATCGCTTTTACCAGTGATGGAAGAATGTTTGACATCCGGCCAAGATTTTGTGTTTCAGCAAGATGGTGCAGCGTGCCATACCTCAAAGAGGCTATAAAATGATTGGAAGAAAATAATGTACCACTTTTGAAATGGGTTTCTAGCAGTCCAGATCTGTCACCTATTGAAACTTTGTGGCCCGAGATGAAAAAGGTTCTACGACAACATCCTGCTCGTAGAATCGCCGAACTGAGACGAAAGCTTCAAGAAATATGGGATTGTTTTACACCAAATTATTGCCAAAACCGGGTTAACACTACGCCCCAAAGACAAAGAATTTCAGACGTAATAAAAAATAAAGGTGATGTTACCCAATGGTAATCTTTCAATTGTTGCTTTGTTAACTTCGCGCATTTATTCGCACATTGTTTATTTGTTCAGATGTTCTATTAGTTATAGGTCTAAGTGATTTCAAATATGTATTTTTTACGACTAGAGTGCATATAAAATGTTTTTGAGAAAATAAATTGTTTTAGAAGTAAATAGTTTCGTCATGTTTGGTTTATAAAGGCATATTTTGGTACAAATCTTGAAGTGGGCCAACTGAAGTAGGAAGGGGCTCGTATAAGTATTTTTTTAAAATGAACATTAGCTTGCAAAGTGCCTGGCCACAGTGCACTACATACCTATTATACGCCTGTTGAAACATCTTACATATTTCCATCTAATAAATGTAGGCCAAAATAACAGCAAAATAAGGATATGTACATTCAGAAAAGATCCGTAATGAGCGCAGCATGTCGTCAACACCTTGTTTACAACAGCTGGTGGCGTCATTCCTCGGCGGAAAATACACGAGACAGCATTGTAGAAATAACTGGATGATTTTATTTTATTGTACCTTAATCACGCGTTATTTATTCAACCGAAATCTTTATGCAAAACACAATATGCAAATTTGCAGCCTTGTGCGTTCAACATGCGCTTATTAATTTCATTCATTAAAAAAGTACTCTCCTCTTAACAGCCGGGTTAATGGATCGCTTGTGTGTGTTTTTCTTAAATGTGCATTCATTTATTATGCTTCAAATACGTACAGTAATGGACAAAAGTATATAGACAAATATGAATATTTACCTAAATATCTTTAGAGAACGAATTCATACTTCATTGCTCCATAAACAAAACAGCTTTAGAAAACGAATTCATACTTCATGGCTGCCATAAACAAATGGGTTATTAGTAGAAAAACTAAATTCCTTGTGTTTACATTATATGCAGTGAACACAATACAAGTCTGAATATAAGCACTTTTTTATGAGGGACAAAAATATGTAGACAAATTCTTTTCAACACTAGTTTAGTACAGTTTCGTGTCAGAAGAGTATTAGTTTGTGTTCATCAAGTATTGTAGAATAATTTGAGTGATTTTAAGACCATGCCGCGTGGTCCAGAAATTTCTTTCGATGTGAAAACTAAGATCATTGAGTTATACAAAGATGGTCAACGTCAAGTCGACATTGCCAAAAATTTGAAGCTGAAATTAATTTTCTATGAATATACCCGATCTTTTTGATTTCAAATATATCACGCTATTGAACCGATTTTGGTGAAATTTTGCAAAAATAGCTAATTTACCTAGGACAGCTAAACGGTTAAATAATCCATAACTTTTTTGTAATCCAGCAAAACCAACAAAAGCCAATTATTATAGGTTGAACCTCTATTTCTTTTTCGATAAACATTTAATATATTCAAGTATCTTATTTCTATCAGTTTATGTGACAAAAAATACAAAATTATAAGACAAGTTGATTTCACAAACATTTTACAAAATAGGGCCTAGAATTGAATTAAAAATGTTTTGGGAACTCAAGAGTTCCGGAGCTAGATTCACTTTTTTATTCCTCTGTATTTTATCGAGCGCAACTCACTGTAACTTATACTTTGAATTTATTATTTCATAGAAAAAAGAACAATAAATGATATAAATAAAAGGAAAACTTAATGTTATGCACCCTGTTTACTTATTTCGGTAATTTTTCAATGATGTGGTTCTGCCAACTGATGTACAACATATACTCAGTATATATTTTTATTTTCACATATGAAAAGGCATCGATCCATACTATCTGCCGTTTCACCATGTCCATTTCCTCATGGAACACACTGTACATAACAAATTTTGAGAGAAAAAAGGCCAGAAATGTCCAAACAGCAGGACTTATTACAGGATTAAAGACTTCTTAAAAATAAAGAATTTTCCCTGGCAAAAAGGTATTTGTGAAAAAATAAAGTAAAGAAACTTTTTTTTCTCAAACGCCTTGAAGAATCTTTATCAAAAATTTGTACTTGCTTATCCAACCTTCAAAATGAGTTAAACAGTTTTTTGTCTTGCTATTCCCTCTTATATTAAGCCTAT